AAGAGCACTTACTTAAAATAAGTAACTATACCTACTTTACTTATACTTATAGTTAATAGCTAGAGGATATTTTAACTTACCTACTTATAACTACTATTTTTTTATTTTTTAACTTATCTAACTTATTACTTTTTTTTATAATTTACTACTACTTTTTATATTATAATTTACCTTTACTTTTTATAATACTAGTAGTAGTTAAAGCTAATTATAAGTATAATATATAATCTTATAATTATACTATTAAGAAAACCTAAAGCTTTATAAGTAATTTTAACTTATATAAGGATATCCTTAACTAAGACACCTTTAACTTTAATAAATTTATTAATAAGGATGTTAATAATAATAAGATATCTAAGTATATTAACTGCCCTACTTAGGCTAGCGCTACTAGTAGTTAGTAGCTTATAAAGAAGTGTAGTAGTAGCGCTATAAGACCTAGCTTTACCCCTATTAATCCCTTAGCTTAAGGTAATAACTAACTAGACACTAGTATAAGTAGTATAAGTAAGGAAGGCTAAAATAATAAGGCTACTATAAAAGACCCTAACTATAGTAATAATAACACTAGTAATATAGATCTTAACCTTAACTTTAATAATAATAAAGTAAGTAGTAAGAACTTTAAGGTATCTAAAGTCCTAACTAAGGAAATTAAACTTCTAGATAGTATTTATAATAAGACTAAAGAGGCTAATAAATATATTTAATAATAGAAAATAGTTAAGTAATAAGAGAAGTATAATAAGCTTTATAAATATATTAAGTAATACCTTAATATACTTAATTAAGATAGTACGCTATTAACTAGATAACATACTATTAAGAAGGCTAAAAATAAAATAGTATAAAAGGTTACTATAGCAGCTAAGGTAAAAGCACTTACTGCCTTATATAAGAATATATTTACTACTAAAGAGTTAATAATTTCTATTAAGAAAGAGGTAATTATACGTCTTAATAAAGCCTTTTATAGTAGTAGTAACTAAATACTATATAAAGAGACTAAGGTCTAGGTCTAGTGCTTCTATATAAGCTAATAAAGCTTTAACGTTAAATAGTTATATACCTCCTTAACTTTAGATAAGTACTTTTAATAGTAGATTATAGCCCTTATAGACGCTATCTTTACTAATTATAAGAAAAGTAAACTATAGTCTAAGGAACTCCTTAGTTATATAGTACTAATTAGCTTTATGTTTTTATACTAACCTAAGTAAAGTAATTCTAAGGTTATAGGTACCCTCTTACTTATTTAGTGTTTAGACTATATCTTTATACTAGAAATTTAGTATACTTATTATATAAAAAGCTAATTATACCTAATTAACTAGCTAGAAGACTAAGTTACTAACCTTACTACTAAAGTTAATAAGTATATTAAGTTAATTTATAAGAATATAAAGAACACTACTGCCTTAGTAATAGCTATTAATAGGGCTAAGTTAGCTATAGTAGTATAAAGTAATATTAATAAAGCTATTAAAAAAAGCTTATATACTAAGGCTAAGAAGATTTACTAGTAAGTAGCTTAAATTAATAACGTTAAGAAATAAATTAACACTATTAAAGATAAGGTTAAGAACTTTAACTATAAGGTAGATAATCTTAACGCTCTTAATAAGTTTAAGGCTAAGGATTTTAAATAGTTATAAGATTAGGTTACCTTACTTATAAAGACACTTTACCTCTAGTAGGAGATATACACTACTACCTAAAGTGTTATTAGTAATATAAGCTTAAGTAGTAAAAGTAATAAGTAACCTTACCTAGTAAAAGAACTTAGTAGCCTTATAGGCTTATAAGGAAAAAAGCACTAGGCTAGGGCTATTAACCTAGGTAATAATAATAATAAGTAAATAGTAAGGTTAGAATATAAGTAAATAACCTTAAGGTATAAGGCTATAATATAAGGGAGATAAGAAATAGTAGATATTACTTTCTTAATTAGCTCTTAGAGTATTTAGTAAAAGAAGATAAGGTCTTTTTAAGGGGAGGCACTTATTATAAGATAAGGTAGTAAGTGCCTATAGTTAGGAGATAGATAGATAGTAGGGACTAAATACTTAATATATATATAATATATTATATATACCTTAGGTATATATCCCTTTAGTAGGTAACCCTTTATAGAAAAAAGGTTAACTATAAATACACCTACTATTTATTACTTATCTTATCTTATGTTATTTATTTAGCTCCTTATTATTATTTATCTTACTTTACTACTCTATTATTACGCTTTGCCTTTATACTATATTACTTTATAACACTACTATAGCCTAGCTTTATTCTATTAAAACTATAATAGCTACTAAGAAGGCTATATTATATATACTATATTAGTAAGGATATAGGCTATACTAGCTAAGATATAGTTAGGGTTTAGGTTTAAGATAAAGCCTATATTAAATTAGTATATATTATATTACTACTTAATAAGGATTATATATATACTTACTATAGTAGTGTTTATAGGCAGAGGGGTTATATATATTAGTAATACCTAGGTTTATATAGTTAGTAGATATCTAGAATATTATTAGTATATACTTTAAATATAGTAAGAATATATTAAGAATTAATTATAAAAATACCTTAGTAGTACTATAGTAGTAATTATAGATTTATAGTGTTTTTAAAAAAAAAGAATTAAAGTAAGAAATTTTCTTAGTAAGAGTTTAGTATATCCTAAGTGCAAGCTAGCGCTAGGCCTAAGGTAGAGATAGTAAATAAAGTCACATAATCTTAGTTATAGATTTTTTACTATACGCCTATAGGCAAAAAGCCCTAATATTTACACGTATTACTTTTATATAATTAGTTAGCCCTACCTCTTTTACCCCCCCCTAAACTTTTGCCCCACTGGCTGGATACCCCCCCCCGAACTTTGAATACCCCCCCATGAGCAGGATCCCCTCAGATGACATGCGTCTCGATTCGCATGTAATTTTTTATTTCATTTCTTTGCCATGAGAGGAGACTGCCACGAAGGAGGCATGGTGCACCGGGTCGACCTATCTATTCATTTTCGAGACGAGAGATCGGAGGTTCGGGTCACTCGTGGTCCCGGAGCAATAGGCTAAAATCCCCAGGGGGGGGGGGGGGGGGGTGGCCGAGATGTCGAGGATCTTGACGAGTTGGTGGTGACCCGGCCGAATGTCACTGGGGATATGAGGAGGAGAACAATCACTGAGGCCAATGTCATTACGTGGGACCGTGTGCACTGATAACGAGCTGATCAGTAGGAAGCGACGGGCCCCTGGTCTGCTGCTTAAGTGAATTGTGTGGTTGGCCATCTGGGTTCTAGTTTTCGGGACGCCGGAGTAGAAGGTAGGGATGCTCAGATATGCTCATGAAGCCATATGAAGCCATGGTTGTATGAAGCTAAAAGCAGTTAGGTTTGAAGGCTGAGAGTGAAGGATATTCCACATCCAAGTTTAAGCGGGCTTGGATCCCTAACCTTGAGCCATGGTCTATTTCTTGACGCTGGTCCTATCGAATACACTAGAAGCTCTAGGTGTCATATCCTAATCAGCAGGCAGTATATCAGCAATGAGTGTCTCGGCATCACATCACATCCCACATGGAAGAACATACGTCTGAGCTTTGCAATCTCGCAAAAGCACATGCAGCCGGCCTAGGACTCGTAACCAGTTATAATCATAGCCTTAACCCTGCCAACGCCCGCATCAGGGTCGTTCGTAGTAGGAGCCAACTGCCCACTCAGAGTATCATCACCTCTCCGCCGGAAGCCGGAGGTCCGGTCCCCTTCTTGTTCGAGGTGCACTGAACTGTCTCCTGCGGCGGTGGCTGGAAAGACCAGAGATGTTGAGGGCTTTTCTACAGATTCCACAACATCAGGAGCTGTATCTCAAGCAGGTTTTGAATGGGCAAGGTTAGGTCGGCTTGGGGCAGCCATTGTGTAATTTACCGGTGTCAGCTCAAGGGAAACTCCCGGAAGGAAGAAAAAGACGGGAGAACAAACATAGATCAAGCTGAATTTAGGCGGGTTTGAATGGTGCAACGGGCTTCGGCCAGGTGAAAGCCACGGCCATTCTCTTGTTGGTTGATACTAAAAGTCGACAGGAGGCCCTACGTTTTCCAGCTACTTCTATCGAGTCGAGCGGCCGTCACAAAGGAAAAGTCGGCAGTTCAAGAGCCGCCAAAGAAACAAGTAATCCGAGATGTTCGATAGCGGTCGAGCCACTAGCCCGCAATGAAACCAAACTCACGCCGACTTTGTCCAATCTGCTTTGGGGGGCCTTGATGCAATACGATCTTACAGCGCTCGCACCGATGGCGTTATATTTGCTCTGCATCTCTTGGCCAGGCATATGAAGCATTTCTTGTTCATCCTTTCAAAAACCGGGAAGACATGAATGGCCCACGTAGCATGAGATCAAAAGTCAAGCTGATGGGATGCATATTGGCATGCAAGAAGCGAAAGGGCTTCAGGAACAGGTGTCTCAATCTTGGGCACCTTGTATCTTCTTCTATACTGCACTTCAGCCTTAGAGTTCAATGGCATAGCTGTCCGCTTATAAGGTGGAGAGCCTGGTATCAGACACAAGACAAATAACGGAGATGGCAAGCAAAGACGCAGCTTCAAAATCCAATGTTGGAAAGAATTGTACAGACTATATACAAGAATGTTACGGGAGAAAAGCAAAACCGGTGAGAAGACCTCCCCAAAAACGACCATGACTTCTTGTCCCGGTGCCTTTTTCCCCCACACCATCACTTATAAACCCCTCCCCTGAAAACCCCTAGCCGTGGTATGTTCACCAATCTCGGTATTCCCTTCCCCTAATAAAACCCATAAGAACTTTGGGCTGCAAACAATTGCAAAACAGAAATCTCGAAGCGAAGAGAAGGTATCCAGTGATGGGGAAAACCCCCTGTTGTGATTTTGTTTCCTTTTTTCATAATCGTCATAATCACGTCCTTTTCTCTTGTTGTCGTGATGTGATGAAAAGAGCGGCGCGGCCTCTCTCTTAGTATGTGCTCTTACGAAGGCTGGAGGGCTCGAGGCAGAGACCGAACTTGCTCTGGCAGCCGCACGAAGGTCTGCACTGAAGGATCTTGCTGCCGCACTTGCCGCTGGCGGAGCAGCAGGCGCCGAACTTGCTGCCCTCGCAGGTGAGACCGGTCTCGCCACCGCATGTGCCGTCAGTGGAGATCTTGAGGCCGTTAGCGGCGGTGGGAGCGGCAGGGGCAGCGGCGGTGGGAGTAGCTGGGACCGGGGCCGCGGAGGAGACGGCAGCAAAGGTGGGAGCGGGCTTGCTGGTGGCAGCGGGCTCTACGGGGGCGTACTCGGCCACGGGGGTGGCGGCGGCAGCAGGGGATGAGGCGGCAGCGGAGGGAGCAGGAGCGGGGGCGGAAGAAGCGGCGGCAGAGGGAGCGGGGGCGGAGCCGGTGTTGGAGTTGGAAGAGCCGCCGAGCAGGTTGAGGTTCACGGCGGCGGGGATGGGGCCTGGGGGGGAGGAGGTGGTCGCCTCCATCTCGATCTGAGGGGGACCGTTGAAGTTCTTGGCCCGGCACTGAGCCTCGAGGCCCTTGCACATCTTGTCGTTCCAGATGTAGCAGTTGCTGGCGCCGGTCGGCGGGGCCGAGTCGAAGCATTCATTACCCTGAGCGTAGCAGGCGTCAACGCCGGCCCAGCAGCCTGTCTCGGAGCTGTAGGCCGCGACGGCCTTACCGCACCAGTTGGCGTTCTTGATCAAGCAGTCGCCTGGGACACCACCCTCGAACGATGCGGCCTTGACGCTCGAAGAAGTGCCGGTGGGGCTGAAGGGCGCGGGACCCGGGATGGGGTAGGGGAACTTGGGGTTATCGTAGAGGTTGAAGTTGTTGCCGGGCTCAGAGCCGTCAATGTAGCCGGGGATGCTAACGGCGTACTCGGAGGGTATCTCGAGAGCTCCCGAAGGGCCGTTCTGGATGTAGATCTGGGCGCAGCCGACGTAGTACTGGGGGTCCCTCAGGCTGACGGCCTGGTGGAGGGCGAGGACCTCGGTGCGGACAAAGTAGTAGCCGGCAGGGAGGCCGGAGGGGAGCTCGACGGTGAGGAGACCCTTGTTGTCGATGAGCTTGTCGACGCACCACTTCTGAGTGGATTCGTCGTAACCCTCATCCCAGATCTTGAACCAGCCGGGGCCGGCGGCGGGAGAGGACATGTCGTCAACCTTCTTGACGTAGACGGCGCAAGGTCCCTTGTGAGAGGGGTCAATAGAGCCCTCTTGGCGCTTGTCGGGCCACTGGCGGAACTCGAAGGTCAGCTGGGCGTTGCCGGGGGCGGCGCAAGTGTAGGCGGCGGCGATCTGACCGTCCTTGCCTGTGAGAAGGATGAGTATAAGTGAGTTAAGCCCGGGCGTCATGACGCCATGAGGATGAATGACTTACCGCAAGCCATGTCCTGGCTAGTCAGTCCGGCGACGGGGGAGGTGGATGTGGCGCCATCCTTGGGCATACGGATGCAGGTAGCATCGCCCTGGGACTTGCCGTTGATGTAGAGCTCCGAGAAAAGGGTGTGGGCGTTGGCGGCGGAAGCCAAGGCGAGGGCAGCAGTGAAGAACTTCATCTTGACGGTTGGAGGGTTGGGTATCCTGGTGAGTGCTTTGCTCTTTGGTTGCGTGGAACGGAAGGGTTTCTGTATGTGACTGAAAGCAGGCCTGCTGAAGTCGAGATGAACGAAATCGATGAGAGTCTCGAAAAAGGGCGAAGTCGACCGGTCTAGAAGGACTGAAATGTAGTTGGTTTCAAGGTGTAAGCTCTGGGCTTTGCCTGTATCAAGGAACGGACTGGTCAACAGTAACTGCGTGCTGGACGAGAGACTGAAGGGAGCAACGACTCAAAAAGATATCGAGGCTCAACTGGGTATAAGGAATGGAACGTTCGTTCAAAAAGAAAGCGAACAATAAGGGAGCGTGAATCAGCGGCCAGCTGTGTACAGAACGCGATGGGTTGAGAAACAAAACAGGGAGGCCCGTTATCGAGGGCCGAAGATGGGTTTATATCAACCAACCAACCGTCCACAACCCCGGCCCTTCATGACCCAAGGAGGGAGGTCGTTTCCCTCTCCCCCCCTTGTCCGTGGCCCTTGACCCCTCCGAGGCTCCGTCATCCTGCTGGAAGGGGAGAAAAAAAAAAAGACTAGCTGGGGTTTGCGCAGCGAACAGTGGCACCCTCACCCCCAACTCGCTGTGCGCCAAAGGCACAACCGCCGCCGCCCCCCTCCCTCCTTTACACTGGATGTATCCGTACAGCTCCGCTCCTGCAGGTTAGCCCTTATCCATTTCATCTCGGGCGCCTCTGGTACCTTGCAGCTGTCCGGGCCCTCACCCTACACTGTAGTACAGGATATCCGTACTCCCCCTCCCCTCCCCCTCCCCTGATGGTGCGTTGGGTTCCGCACCGGTTCCCGCCTTGCAGGAGGATGCTACATAGAGCGGCGCTAGCGCGGTCCTCTGCCGAAAAGGCAAGCTTTGGAGAAGGAAAACTGCCACTGCTGGGCGACGATCCAAGAGGCAAGGGGCGAGAGTGATGGATGTCGACATCCGCAGCTACCCAGCCTAACCGAGGAGCCGGCCCAAGGATTTTAGGCCATGATACGGCCGGGATACAGGGGATAGGGAGTGAGAGGAGCAAAGCGCTCGCTCGTAGGAGAGGTGGAGGAAGCTTGGCCAACTGGAAGGACGCTGTCGCTTGTGTGCCTTTTGCCAAGACAGCCCGCTTGGCAAACGCCGAAATATGTTTTTATTGCAGGGCCTCGTGGCGTGCGTTAGTGGGAAAACGGGGCAGGCAATATGAAACGAGAGTGGGCGGCGCTACGGATGGCGTCCTAAACCACCCTTGCTCCGTCACCCCCCTAGGCAACGTGGCGTGGCACCGAGTTGCCCGTTCCATCGGGGAATTAGTGGGTGATATTCCAAGGCAGAGAGGGCAAACCAGAGAAGCAACTGATCGACCAAGAGCCGAGATAGCAGACTGCCGCCCAGGTAGTGTAGGCGCGCACTGTTGCTATCACTACGTATTCAGATGGAGAAGAGGAAGTCTCCTCCGGCCTAGGGGTCCAAGGAGCTGTACACGTGGGGGCCAGGCGAGCACCGCCATACGTACACTGGGCAACCTGCATAACGGTCTGGGCTCCTGTATCCGTATGGGAAACGTCCTTTCCCAAGAAGCGATCAACATGGCGGAAGGATCGCGAAGCCTTGCAAAGTGCAGATGGAGTCGTCTTGGCCATGCCGCGCTAGGAACTTTTTTCGTTTTTCGTCCGAGAGGATGCTGTTGATGATGACGATGATGCTCTCTTTCTGTGTTCGTCTAAGCAGGCAAGGGAACATGTCAACCCAAGATTGAATCAGGGTTTAAGATCTGCCGATCTCCCTGGGCACTACTGAGTAAAGCCGGCCTAGTTGTTGCCAAAGCCGGCATGGCCGAGTCTCGTGGAATGAGACGAGTCAAATCAAATCGATACATTCCAGGAGTGGCAACGGGAGGAGCCAGGGGTTTGGAACCAGAGGCGCCGCTAGCCATGCCAGCTTCCAACCTCCCCAACCTTGAGAGTTCACCTGACGTCGTTGTGCCGAGATGAGGCGTTTATTCCGTTGACAGTGGTGTCGGCATCAGAAACTTGTCTCCTGGATAGGCGAGCTATCGACATCTGGTCTGGTCCAGTCTAGTCCAGTCTTCGTTGGTCTGAAGTCGCGACGGTTCACTTTAGTACAGGGGTAGCGAAGAATAAGAAAGCACATGTCATTGTATCGAGGTGAGAAGAGGACGGGACGAACCATTCCAGTATTGAAACAAGACATTCAATTAACTCCCGCTTCTGGGCTGACGGCTGGGCTCCCGCCAGGCATACCCGCCGCATGCTTACGGCATTCGTCCGTACCTTGATTGACCCCAAACACGTACAAGCACAGTATAGTTCGCACACCGTTTCTTAAACAAACGGCTTTGAAACAATCAGAAACGAACACTTAAGCACACTTAAGCACTTATAACGCCCTTAAGCTTGACTGCAAAGTTGCGCAAGCTGCAAACGCAAAAACCGGGGCAACGAGGGGCAAAAGGAAGTTCCAGACACCGGGACCGGGACCGGGGCCAGGACTGGAACCAGAAACCAGGTCCACCATCAGATGGGCTGCTTTCTGATGCTCCCTCGCAAACAAAGTTTCCATTACTTCCCGTCTAGGTATCCGTAGTGTATATCCCTTCCCTGCCTCTCTCCCTCGTTGCAACTAAATAGAAGATAAATTTTTATTCTTTATTTTTTATTAATTTCCTTGAACCATCTTCTCCGCTCTTGTTTCTCCAGCGGCCCAGCTGGCGACCAGGCATCACGCGCGGCAAACCCACAAGTGCTCCTGGGGATATTGACTGGGTCGTCCCAAATGTGCCGTGCCGCCGCGCTGTCAGAGCCAGAGACAAGAACTCTATCTTTGTCTCTCACTCTACGAGAGAAGGGGGGATTCACGGGATCAACATACAGACAGACAGATGCCTCTTTGCTCCTATTGGCAGCTGGGAAACGCTGACATGGCGCATACGCAGCCGCCGTGTCACCAGCAGCCGCCGCCTCCAGACCGAACTACAAACAAACACTCCGTACACATCTTACTGCAGTGACACCAACAAGCTTTCGCAACTCCGCTCTTCTGTTACAGATAAGCCGCCGCCCCCTCCCCTGAATCAGAACTGGGAGAGAGAGTCACCAATCGATTCGCTCCCGTTGATCGTAACAAGATCCCGAAAATCTCGCAGCCCAGCCGCATTCTCCACAATTATTCCATCACTTCCCTCCAAATTCCCTCATGGATCGTGTCCCCTGGCCTCTCTGCTCGCAAGGTTAAGAGAACAAGGGGGTTGGTTGAGAGGCATCTCGTCAGGGGGACCTGTTCAGCGGCTGGGCTCCCCGTCCTCGTGGGATCCGTCCGTTATCCATCCGCTCTGACCCGGAGTTCCCGTCGTCATCTCAATGGACAATTCACAATCTCCTGCTGTCGTCTCTTCCCTGATTTCCTGAAATTGGCCGCGTCCTTCTATATACCCCCGTAACTGTTTTGTTTATCGCCCAGTGCTGCCTTGGTCCCGGGGCGAGGGCACGAACAAGGGCCTCAGGCTCCAACATGCCCGACTACTTCGTACCCAGCTTCCTGTTTATTGTTCCCTTGTCCAATACCCGAGCCCCCATTCCGTGTATCTATTCACAACCCCATTGTTCCAGGGACCAACCGCCACCCACCTTCGACATTCCATCTAGGCCCTCATTCCAGCAAGAACCCACGTGCGAGGAGCAACAAGTCAAAGGAAAAAAGAAGAATAAAAGAGGGGGGGAGAGAAAAGGAAAAAGGTAGTGAAACAACAGGAATGGCTCGGTCACTGGCAAACCCTCTTTTCACATGCACTCTGGTTGATTGCCTGACCGCTGACGTCCGTGGCCCTGTCTACCCATACTCGCGGGTCCCTGGGAGGGCCCAGCACGCTCAAACATAACACAACAATGGCTATGTGCGTGCACCTGCAAGGAAGAGGAACGCTGCGGTGTGCTTCGTAGAACCAATGCAAGTCTGCCTTGGCGAAAAGGGACAGGCCGTTAGTATGGTGAGTAGCTGACGTACATCATGCTGTGGCCACCAGGCATCCGAGTCTATCGGAGCAACCTCGTCTCTGGCGAGCTTGTCTTGCGTCTGCCTGGCTGTCTCCGTGTCGGGACCGACGGAGACTGGGGAAACGGGCAGACACACAAACACACAAGCACACCTACCCACACACACACACACACACGCACACACGCGCACACTGAGTAGCCGTAAGTACCTGGTCCTCTTTATGTCCTACAAGCTCGAGGTACTGGCGTCTCCATCCTCAAAAAGGGACATGCGTAGTTGGCCCTCTTCTTGTCTCCCTTCCTGGGTCAGTTGTCGGGCGGATGTACAGAGGACGACAGGCTTACACGCTCTCGCCAAGCATGCCGTTGAGCATGTCTGGATAGAAGCAGCGTGCATGGCCATCATACGGGTGTCAACATCCTCCCAAACTCTAGCTTGAAACTATCAACGCGAGTACATGGGCTCCCGCCATTTTCGCCCAGCAGCATCATTCATCGACCAAATGTTGGAAATATGCAGAACGCCCAGCACATCACCAGAAGTAGCCTCACACCGAGATGACACGTTGTTTGATGGGGTGCTTGCAAAGTGACAGAGAGGAGAGGTTTCTTCGTGAATCAAACCCCACGGCGAATTGAGACATGGCGTGGCCATAGGCGACGGCGAAGACTAATGGAGTAACCTCCCTTCTCCCTCGAGGCCATGCCCACTACCCTCGTCTCCCAACATTGTGGTAACTCCTGAGAATACACGCTTAAAGATTACAACATGGTCTATGCAAAAGCTGACCTCTTACAATTCCTCCAGAGACAGTTTTCACGTTATTCAATCGAAACAACGGCTGGCCTTGTCGTCCCTTTCGCTTTTATGTTTTGTAATTTCTTTTGATACACGGTATTGTACACGCCAAAATCTCGTGGGTATCTATTACAGCCCTCGCGGCTTTGGACTTATGCCGACTCGTTGATCTTGGCGAGGATCCTGTTGTGGGGAAGCACATAGATCAGCTCATCTGATCTCCTGGGGGCATGGGAGGCCGCAGCTTTGCGCCACAAGTGCATATAGGGGGGTCAAACTTACTCGCTGTCGCGGAAGAGGTGGTACTCCTCATCACCAACCTTGACGGGAGAGCCGCCGAACTGCATTTATCTCGTCAGCCGTCAAAGTTTCAATGTCACACTCGTCTTCACCCCATCTCCTTGTCGTCCCTCCCATCACCTTGGCAATTCTCCCTGGCAGGGTGCGTGAAAAGGATCGGCAAGTAACGGGTCGGTCTAGGTGACCTGCATAGTCCCGAGGTCGCAGGTGCATTTTGCAACTACAAAGGCGGGGGCAGGGGGGGGGGGGGGGGGGAGAAGAGATATTCATCCATCTCGACATACCTGGGGGATCAGGACGCGGTCGCCAGAGTTGACGCCCATGGGTAACCGCTTGCCGTCGCGGTCAAGAGCACCGGGGCCGACGGCGAGAACCTTAGCCTCGTTGAGCTCCTTAACGCTGGACTCGGGAAGGAAGATGCCGCTGGCGGTCTTGGTCTCAGCCTTGACACGCTGAACGAGGACGCGGTCCAGAAGGGGCACAAGGGCGCGGAAGGAGCGGACGGAGGTGGCCTACAAACACACTTCAAGTCAGTGACCAGAACATATTGCAGTGGCTAAGTTGTCAAAGGCCAGCGTAGCATCACTCCGCGTGATTACCGAGGTCCCGAGTACGACCACCACGGCCGGTCAGGGAATGATGCTGACAGCTGGCCCAAGGGGGATCTTGAGGACATGATCTTACCATTGTGACTGTGGAATTGAATGGGGATGGATGCGTAAGAATTGGCTGTGGGGAGAGAAACTGGCGGTTGACAGACAGTCGAGAAAGAAGTCAATTCGAGGAACGAGCTTTAAGCCTTGAAGCTATTCCAAGAGCTTCCAGAATGTCAACAATTTTTTGGGTCGATCGGGCAAAAGATTTCCCGGTGTCCCACTTTTGACACCGTGCATATATGTAATCTGATGGCCGGAAGCACTGTGGACAGGGTACGCTTCATGCAGCCATTGCTTCACCCGTCCGGTCGATGTCGAATACTGATCCCATAACACGGCATTTGCTTAACAAACAAGAGGCGTGAGCACATGTTCGTCTTTTATTTTTTCTTGCTTCTCGTTGCGTCCGTACTAGTCAATTTCGAGTTATGGCGACGCAGGGCGTGCAATTTGTACCGAATGTCATTTTCTACCTTTCTACCTAATCTTCAATCGCCTGATACAACCTATTTTGAGCCGACAGTGCGACATCTACATATCTCAAAGGAGACTCCTGTATCGCTCAGGCTCAAAAGGGAAAAAAAAGAAGAGAAAAAAAGGGAGCGGCGTCGCTGTTTTTCTTAGTCCCAGACGCTCGTATCATGATAATCCGCCGCACCCCGCTTCCGTCCCAGCTATTCCCATCCTTGGTCCCTTGACAACCGGAACGCCATTAAACATGCAATTTGAAGCTCTTATCCCACGTAGCCACCAAAGACCTACTTGGGTGGTTGGGGTGGCTCGAGGGTGTGGACGTGGTCCTCGGCGTGGATCACACGACCAGGCTCTGGCTGCTGGCAGATGACCGTATTCGCAACCCATGGCTCATCCAGTATTTCTTGCATCGTTGCGCGCTCCTTAACCTTGATCTCAAGCATGCGTCCGATGATATGCCGAGATTCGCGAGGAAGCAGGCGCAAAATTCGCCAAGGGCCCCGTATGACCTCTTTCTTTTCCGTTTGCTGCCCATCGGTCCGAGTTGATGCTTGTGCTGAGCTCCCTTGCGATGCCTGACCTTCAGCTTCCTTGTGCTCCTGCTTACGAGCTTGATGCTTGCCTTCCTCAAAGTAATCCCGATGCGGAGTGTTTTCGAGATCGTTGGTCGACTTGGAAAGCGTGATGAGCTTCTTGGGGTCGTGACCCGGTGTCGGCTCCGCCGCGAAGAGCTTGAATGAGTTGTCGGTCATGCGAGGGACCTTCCAGGGGAATCTTCGCAATGTCATACAGCAAAAGATGATGGCAAGCGACCAGATATCGACCGCCTGGGGGTCGTATTTTCGCTCGTCATAAACCTCGGGGGCCAGATATGGATCGGATCCCACGATGCCTAGAACTCATCAGTCTTGTCTCTCGAAAGAAGTGTAGAAGATACTCACCTGAGGCGAGCACAATGTCGTTCTCAAAGGGGTATTTAAAGACATGAGCGCTACCAAAGTCGATGATCTTCATGATACCATGCTCGCTAACCACGACATTGTCGAGTTTCAAGTCCCTATGTGCAAGACCCATGCTGTGGAGATATGTCACGCCGTTGAGGATTTGTAAGAAACAGCAACCGACTTCTTCACGCGTCATTTTGCCCGTCATGACACAGGCGAAAAGGTCATACGGAGCGTATTCCATAACCTCGTACCACTTGCCCTTCTCCTGGAGGATGTCCAACGTCTCGATGACGTTGCCGTGGTGCAGAGTCGATCCGACGCAGAATTCGGCCGTCAATTTCTTGACATATTCCTTCTCGGTTTCGTATGAATGTCTCGGCCGGAACTCCTTGACAGCAAAGACAACGCCATCGTCACTTCGTTTCATCAGCCTAACAGAGCCTCCAGCACCTGACCCGAGCACCCTGCCGAGCTTTCCATACTTGGAAGAAAGACCATGGTCATCCCCAAAGGGAAGCTGGTGTTGCGACCCTCTCGTAGGAGGGGTTCTAGCACCAGACCTCACAGAGGAGGGCGAAGCTTCCCTCTTCATCTTGTTATGCCCGCCGACTTTGAAGAACCGCTTGAGGTCCGCAAATGAGCCTTGCCTGCTTGAGATACTAGCTGAATCGTCGTGAGGAACATGCAGTTCATCGCCATGGCCCTTCAGGCCACCGAGAAGACCCGAGTGTCGTTTGTCGCTTGCTCGGCCCAAGCTCGACGTAGAGCCAGAGGGCGACCCATGCTTGTTCTTCCTACGCGAGAATACAAATCTCGAGTCAATCTGGCCCCGCTGCGGATTCGACGGCGGCGGTTGGCGTTTGTGGGCGGCGTAAGGATCGTTGGCGTCCCCACCGGGGGTCATCGGCTTGGAGTAATACAGAGAAGCTCGAGATGGGCTGGACTCTCGCGAGACAGGGACGGATCCTCCTGCGCCGATAGAAAACATGCCCTTCCTGTGGGACCTCGTGTCATATTCTCGTTCCTCGGCAGACGCTGACCGTGTAGCGACTTCCTCGCTCGATTTGCCTCGGATAGGCATGGACTTTCTTGCCGACGACGGTGGTGAATCATGAGAGGACGATGCTTGAGGAGTGATGACGGAGGGCTCGCTTGAGGAAGGTTTCCTGTCCCCATCCTGATGCTCGTTCTTCTTTGCTGCCGGATCTGAAGGATCAGTCCCTGCCGGTGTCAAAGGAGGTGACTGCATCGGATGTGACGGACCAAAACGCGGCGATCTTGGCCCGCTGGAGTTCGGGGTTGGGAGCCTGCTGTTATCAGACTCGTCCTCTCGCGAGCAAACCTGCAAGTGACAGGTCAGTAACGGAGCGGGTTATGCAGGCTGGCGCGTGCGATGGAATGAGGAAGTTGAGTTGTCATCACAGGTGTGTAGGGTACCTGGGACGATCACGAGACTGATCAATGGAGCCCCCGGGTAGAAGTCCCATAGAGAGGAAGTTCGAATAATCGTGGTGTAGACGTGTTTGGAAGGGGGACTGAGAGAGGGGTCTAAACGCTGAGGCGGTGTTGCTCTGTTTGGAGGGGTAGGCAGAGAGTGTGAAACGCGACGCATAGAAAACGCTCAAGCAGAAAGCAAACAGCGTCGAGGCTGCCGAGGCCAAGCACAAAGAGACGAGACGGAAAACATACGCGAGATGCAGGTAGCGAGTATGGTTCGAAGCCGAATACATTCATCCGGCGCTGCTGCAACGGTGCACCTTGGAGGGATTTGGATAGGGCTCTCAGCTCGTCGGGCGTAACTTCGGCCAAGGACGCTCCGGTAGCGGCGTCGGTGGGAGACTCGGTGTCTGTTGGTGATGTCGTGGTGACGGTCGGGGCGATCTCTTGGACGGAAGAAGCAAAGCGGACGGCGGGCGCATCTTGAGGGGGCATCTTGTCTCGGTTGACATTGGTGTTATCGGAGGCGTTGCAAGAGATTTCTGTAGATTGCGACAGGCGCAGTGGTCAGCACGAGATCTGAGTTGGGGAAGAGGATGAGGATGTGGGTGTGCGCTTGGGGGGGGGGGGGGCGTGAGCGTGGACGCGGGACATTGGGCGATAGTGTTTGTCTGTGACATGCGCTACAGACGAACCGAGGGCGGGGTTGCGCCGGAACAGACGGAAAGTAGGGCGTTTTGTACCTGGGACTTGTAATTCCTCCTTGAGAGGATCGCGGGAGGGAGACGGGGGAGCCATGTCCCCAACAGAATGACGGTGGTCGACTGCTTGAGGGTGCTTGGTCGTCCGTCTATCGTCAAGAAATGGTGATAACGGCAGGGAAAGAGGAGCAGGAGGAAAGAAATTCAAACCAAACGACACAAGTCGGGCTTGTGGGAGAGAGAGAGGGAGAAAAGTGCTGTTACCCAGGACAGACGGTGGATGCCGCCAATTGCGGATGGTGGGGCAAAAGCACTGGGTACACTCTTACAACAGCTAAAATACGCCGCATGGGTAAGCGTCTCAAAACATGAGGTAAGGCCCAGGCCCTTACGAACAGGATCACTTCTGCCACAGCACCGCTACTTACTCATATTTCTCTTGCCTCTACCATTCCCGTTGCCCCGGCCGGCCTCTCAGAATCCTTCTGCGCACTAGGGGTAGAAGAAGAAGGAGGACGAGAAGAATCGTAAATGGGTTAGGCAGACGAGGAGGCTGTTCGCGGGCTCATCTTGCTGCCCGTAACTCGCGCCGCGAGATTTCACGCCGGAAAGAGAAGGGTACATGATACATGAGCGGGATGATGTGGTAGGGAAACGGTGCAATATGACTGGTCGGCGCCATCATTGCTCATGCCTTATCGGGGAAGCGGCAGACCGGATAAGACACCGCGACATCGAGGTGGCCGGCGGGTGGGGCTACACTGCCTCTAACTGAGGTGGGCAGGAGATCTTTGAGGCTTGGGAGAGGACCTGGCACGCCCGGGAAAGGGAAACGATACTTGGCAGCACGCCCAAAATCATGGATGCATTGAGCATATCTGCATCAGGAATCTGGTAGAAAGGCCCCCTGCCAGCTACACCTGGCCCTGCCTGTCCCTGGGATGATCGGAATCTTCTATTATTTCCAACCCCGGCTCTAGACCTGTCCATGCCGTCGTCCAGGACGCCCCCGTAGTCGGCCGTCTGCTCTACGAAATGCCCCTTCAAAGTTACCTATGGTACGGAGTAGGTAGTGTAGGAATGCGTCAGGTGGCTCTCGGCTTTCGCATCCGCCACATGCGACGGTAATGAAGCGCCATTCGACCACTTCATTTAGTCACCTTTTCATCGTTTTTACGAATCCCACAGGCCCGCAGGGAAACCAACCTTCAAGAAACAAACTCCATGGATCTTAATGGTCCGGCCTGCTTCGGACGCAGCCCGATCCCCACAAGACCGATGACTCTTCCCTATTGAGAAAATTTTTTTTTCCTCCTTCGGTTCCTCGCCTCCCGAATCCCAACTCCCGACAGTATCCAGGTCACATCCCGTCCGACACGTCAGCAAACACCCAATGTCCACTGGTTAATTCCAGCTCTTGCCTACCTAGACCGGAACGAACGAGTCAAGCCTGCCAGGAAACAAATACAAACCAATCCCAACCCGTCTTCACCCTCCACAACAAACGGAACCATTACCTATGAGAACGCACGCCTGACATCCTACCATCTGTCGGCTTACACAAGCTTAAAAAGACCAGCTTTCCATCAGGTTCGGCAATCAGACGGGTGTTCTGGCGACATGACTAGCATCAGAAATCTGAGCTTTGCTCATATTCTCAAATGTTCCTTGGGCCGAGACAGCACTCATTCAGAGCACATGCCGGGACATACCTCGCTTGCCATTCCGCAGTAACGCCGCATTTCCGCTCTCAGACCGACAAGCCCAGTACGGTGGTGTGGATGCTGGTATGCTGCAGCCGCAGCATGAAAACGGTCGACGTTCCGTCACCTCACCGGCATCGCATCGGTTCCACTCTGATGAGGCTGGGGGGCGTTTGCTGCAGATGACAGGCTGCTTCGATGGAACCTTTTACTCAGGCACGATGCAAAAGAAGGTCGCTTTTCAGGGAAAAAAGGTGGATAAGCCGTCCATCGGGATTGCCATGGCCTGGCAGTGCATCCGAATCTGGACTCGAAGCTTGTCGCACCCAGCGGGGAAGCTGATGTGCTGAAGAACCGGTCCCTAACGCCACTGCACCACGTAAGACTCTAAATCAAGTTTTCCGACGCAGGGCAAGGAGCTGCTGTCTGGCATCTCGCAGCACACGGAGCTTCAGCTGGCCATCAAAGCTTCTTACTCGCATCAACACTCCTGTCGATCGCGGTGGCGAGGCTTTCTGAAGACTCGACCAGGCATGCGGTAGACAAAAAAAAACCGGCACACCTTAAGTACTTTCGCACACCACATCCACTCCAAGACTATTAACAAGTGTTTAATTAGATACCAACTAGACTACAAGATGTAATCAAGCTTGAGGGAAAACATACCTAATAGTAAATAAAATAGTCCGGTATTGATTTCAGTTAATATGCATATGTCTATCTGTTTATTTGGTGTTATGCTGGTTGTAATAGCAAAGGTGGTGTTAATGTGTTTTCTTTGTTTTTGTTTTTTGCCAGGCCTGACCTTCCCCACTGATGCGCTGGCCCAAGCCGCTTGCAACGCTTGGTGTTTGTGTGGCTGTGTGTGTTTACCATAGCTTGTTATTCGTCATTGTGTAATATGCGATGACTACCCCGGACAGAAGGCTACGTTCGGTTCAACGACTCTTGACTTGCATCGATCAGACCGCCAGTTCCCGTCCTTCACCCCCGGACGGACGGCGGTTGACAACCCACTGTCTCGCACAAATGTCAAAGGTGAGAACGGACTTCGTCTCCAAATGAGACCATACGTCCGACGTCACTGCCCAGCTGGAACTTATGGGGTGCATGATGCATCTCTTCTGGTCTGTGATGTTCTGACCACGCGACGCTAGTGTACGAACGTTTGTGCCGTGCTCTGCCTTTTGGCTGGGCGATTGGGATTCTCATCGTACAATGCCTCCTGCTATTTTCCCCTCGCCTCTACCCTCCCAGTTATAGTACATAAAAGGCGCGCTTTTCTCGTTTAAGATGGTATACAAGAGGATGCGTTCTGCGCCTGACTCCGTGTTTATACGTGGTTGAAAATGAACTCCCATAGGACGGGCACCTTTTCATGGCACGACATTGATGCCAATCGACTTAGCCTGGTAAATGACAGAGCGGCAGAGCGACTCCAGGCTCAGGCCTGACAGACGCATTTCGGACTGCTTGATCTTGGCAATCTCGTAGACGTGCTTCAGGCTAATCGTTCCGACCGTCTCTTTCCCGGGATTGCTAGCACCCTTCCGCTTGCCCTTAACTATGGGTGCCTCAGCGGCGTTGAGGAGAAGCCACGATGTGTGCGGCGTACGAAGTTCGAAGTGGAATGATCGGTCGCCTCGGACGGTAACTCGACACGGCATCGGCGTGCCGGGGGTGATATGTGCTGTTCTTGCATTGAATTCCTATAGTGAGCAAAGACATGTTAGCATTGATCTCGGCCATGGCATAATCGTGCCCCTTAAAAGCACAGATGTTGGGCAGAAGGTGGCATGTGTTGATCGTGCCCAAGGAGGAGCCTCACCTTGCAAAAGTCCATCGACTTGACACCCTTGCTACCCAGCGCAGGACCGACGGGGGGACTCGGGCTCGCCTGGCCAGCGCCCACGATGAGCTTCACGACCTGGTCGGCCATAACCGCGCCTCGTTTCGACATGATGGCGTATGTGCGAGCAGCTCTGGTCGTTAGAAGGGAGTCGGGTGTGGGTGTGGGTGTGGGTGTGGGTGGTGAGGCAAGTATATGCGCCGCGGTCAACAGCCTCCCTCAATCGAACGACGGGTGTTTGGATGTGGAAAAATTTAGGAGCCTTATGCACTAGCCACGCACCAGAGGCCCAAGCGACCGGGATGCCCGGCGAACGCTGGACCCACCGTGATTGCATTAGCCACAGCTTCACCGTCATTGGGTCTTGGGATGACCCCTCGGCCCCTCGCCCCCCCGCTGGCGCTTGTTTTGGGCGGTCAATTCAACTTCCTCTCTCGACTGGGTTTTTCTCTTAAGAACACATCGAGAAGCTTGTTTTTCTTGGGAACTGTATAGACTTGTTGCTCTTTCACAGTCGAACAACCGCTTCTTGAACCACTCCGTTCCTTTTTCGCCCATTTCTCTCCCTCTCCCGTGTCCTGCCGCCAACATGTTCAAGTGGGCGCAACAAAAGTAAAGCATCCGCTGCCGTCCTCTCTTACGTCTTTCAAGGCTAATCTTCCAATAATTTCAGGCTCGCCGATGTGGCAGGTACCCAAGAGCCCATTTACGGTCCAACCGCCATCAGGTCCGTCGCCGAGGAGGCCAAGACTACTACACATACGGAGACGACCAAGAATGACCTGAAATGGATCGCGGCCGACTCAACTTCGGTTGAGACCCAGAGCTTCTACTTGATGGCTGACAACGGCCACCTTGGACTTGCCCAGATCATCTACAGTAACGTCGGGTACGAGACAGCTTCCGCCTCTCAGCAACCATGATGTCTTCTGTTCTGGCTGACCTCTCTACCGCGTAACAGCGGCATCCGCACCACATGCCAGTTTAATGCCAAGATCTTCTACCCCGAGAAGTCGAAGCCCACCCTTTGGGAGACCACGCAGCTTAACCACCACGAGGTCAGTGAGGACCGCATGTCCTTTTACGCCGATGACTGCGCCGTCGAGCTGTCTGAGGACGGAACCTACTACACGATCAAGAGCATGAATTCCGAGAACGCCATCGTCAACCTCAAGGTCACCCGCACCTCGCCAGGCTTCCACGCCGGAAAGACGGGCAAGACACTGTTCGGCACCGACCTGTCCAAGCCTTGGGGCACGATGCGCCACGCCTTCTGGCCACGATGCGTCGTCGAGGGCACCATCACTACCAAGGAGGGCCCTGTTGACTTCACCGGCCGTGCGTTCTACGTCTACGCGCTGCAGGGGATGAAGCCTCACCACGCGGCGGCCAAGTGGAACTTTGTTGACTTCCAGGGCCCCAACTACTCGGCCGTCATGATGGAGTACACCACCCCGCCCTCGTATGGCTCAACAGTCGTCAGCGTTGGTGGTATAGCGAAGGACGGTGAGATGATCTACGGCGGCGTCACCCAGACGGCTACGCACACCAAGGCGAAGAACGACTCGGTCAACGAGTGGCCGGAGCCCGAGGAAATCAAGTTCACGTGGTCCGGCAAGGACAAGGAGGGCAAGGCCGTGGAGGCTATTATCGAGGGTCCGTTGGGAGAGCGCCTCGACAGAGTGGACGTCCTGGCCGAGGTTCCTGGCTTCGTCAAGAAGATCGTAGCGGGCACGGCCGGCACCAAGCCCTACATCTACCAGGTAAGCCACCTTCTGCGCCATTCCAAGTTGTGTAAAACGTGCTGACAACAGCCGCAGTACTGCCCGACCAAGAACAAGCTCACCCTGAAGCTCAAGATTGGAGACCAGGAGATCTCCGAGGAGGGTCTTTGCTTCAGTGAAGCCACTTTCATCTCCGAATAGACCTGAATAATGAATTTACGACGGCAACTCCTTGGGTAGATGTTGCCGGTCTGGTTAGGCGTTTAGACGGTGGCTCTATGGTCACTCGTTCCTTGGTTACACGCATCCTTGTTCTATAAAACCGTTTTAATAACAAACAAACACTTTCCATGTTCTGATTGAATCGCTCACCGTACCGCTTCTTTGCGACATAAATACAACGGCGCCCCTCCGGCGTCATCGTGCCTGAATCCGGGGGATCTCCTAGACCCTGAGCACAACCTCAAGGTTCTGTTTGAAACAAGGCATCTGACAGGCAGAGACGACACCACCTACCAATGGAATCGCGACATTGGCGTACAGTACAGTGAGTGCCTGTACCAACCACACTTTCCACGGTGTTTCTGCACGGGACAGGCGACCAAGCACAGGCCAAGGGCCTCCGATAAGCTCGATACAGATAACTGCAGGATGCGCGCCTTCCAACGTTGATTTCCCCACCTCCTTCCCTGCCCTTTCCCCCCGAAGCCACACCCACAGTTTGCCGCCGGCTCTGACCCAACTCCAGCAGCTCTCCTCCACTTCTCACGCGATATCCTACCAGCGCCTAGGCCTAACAACGTGCAACACGACTGTTTTTCCGTCAATATACCAACACAAAAAACCTTGATATCAACTCACCGTCATTCACAATGCCGCCGATGATCCCTTCGCGCGGCGGCCCCAGCGGCATTAAACGGGGTACTGCGTCTAAAGTGCCTGCTGGAGGCAAAGGCAAGACCATACTTCACGGCGCAGCGGGCGCCAAGCGACATCGGTAAGTCATTCCTCACAGGTTTTCGCTTCTCTCAAGTGGGATTTTGCTACTGACTAGGAGAATAGCAAAATCGTCAAGGATTGCATTCGGGGTATCAGTGAGTAATCCTGGTCCACTTGGAGCTTACACACATATATGAACCGAACCATGCTGACCTCACTATAGCTAAACCCGCTATCCGGTAGGTTTAAAGAACTCCTTGTTTATCAAGCTCTTGATGGGCTTCACTACTGTTTCCCATGCCCCTTCGTTAATGAGTCTATCCCTGTCTTCTTATACAATGAAGAAGAGGAGAAGGAACTCAATCCTACCTACTTGCCTCACCGGGATCTGTCCGGTCTTAGCCTTCCGACCTTCTTCGCCCACTTACCTCGTTGTTATCTTGTTACATTCTAACTCAACCCCTTTATCTTGCATCATCATTTTTCTGCAACGCAAACACTACATGGTGCTAAAGTGTCATCTCACTTAGTCGTCTCGCTCGTCGTGGCGGTGTCAAACGTATCTCTGCCACGATATACGATGATGCACGATCCGCACTTGACGCCTGGCTGAGAGGTGTAAGTCTTGCCGCCAAATTCCTGGCGAACCAATACGTACATTATGGGCCACAGCTGACATCACCAACAGGTTCTTAGAGACTGCGTAGTCTACACTGAGCATCGTCATGCCAAGACTGTCACCATCCATGATGTGAGTTGACAAACAGCCTCCTGGTACCCTTGGATACGTCAATTCATTCTGCTAACGCGTTACCAGGTTCTCCACGCACTCCGACGTAAAGGAACACCGATCTATGGATTCGACCCAGATACGTTTGTCGACCAAAAGACACGCAAGGCAACGGCGGCGAGCGGCGAGTGAGCGCCCTCAGCTGTAAAAAGAAATGCGTCGCGAACTAATGTGCCTATACCAACGGAAATTCTGATAACCCGCCGTGTTTGTTTGTTCCTCGATCCTAATAGGATTCATGGCGTATTTGGAGTTATGGGCCTCGCAAGCGATAAGACAAGGGCAAAGGAGTGGTGGCTACACAACGACATGTATCGATTTTTAATTTCCGGCCTGGAAGATGACCCTGGATTTCGATCGTAAGGATATGAAAAGGGGATGGATGGGAGCTGGAACCACGGTTTGGCTTCGCTTCGATGGCTTAACTGTCTCGGAAAGGACGATTGTATGTTACCGTCTTTGAAATTGAAACGCGTAACTAAGTTACCGAGCTGCTCCTCACTGACAGAGAAAGCACTGGTCCTGTAGGTATGTTTTGCCTTTGTAGGCTAGACGTCGAGAGGGAGGCTTGGGCGGAAGCCAACGGGGCTCTTCTCTGGTAACCAGAACTTCCAAGGCCCTTGGGATTGATCGACTCGGCCCATTGAACGCGACAATGAATAGAAGAGACATGATTTGAGCACCAGAATGGACGCAAAACTCACGTGCTAGTTGGAGGGGAGATGACGTGGGATAGGTCGATGAGCAAACGAAGGGTCTGCCTTCCGTTGATCTGCACTTTCGCAGAGATACGTAGCCGGGGGCGGTTGGGTACCTCCGGGAGCCTGCGCAGGACCACGGTGATACGGAAACGGCGCGGGGCAACAGGTATCTTGCCCAACACTGAACACGACGCAATCCCTCTCTTTCTCCGCAAGAAGAACACGGCGCCGCCGAAGCATCCAGGCGGCCGACCCTTCCCCACGGGCCAGGTCAGCCGCCAACTTTGGGAGTCCGGTCCCGAACCTCGAACTGGCCGATGGGACCTTTCACGAACAGGCTGGTGCCCCGGTCTTGTGAAAAGCGCCCGATCCTGACTCACAACCATTTCCGTCACTACTATCTCGCTCACCCACCCAGCGCGTCGAGAAAAAGGGGGGAGGGGTCAAAATCAGGACCTACCTCGTCAGCGTCACGGAAGCGAACGAGGTGGGCGAGGCCAGCGTGGCAAACGAAGGGATCCGATTAGGCAGGCAAGGCGAAGAAGAACAAGAAGCTCTCGGGCTTCGTTCTGTGTCCCCTGCAATTCTAGTAGTACTAGTGGTAAACCTTGAACATCCCTACATCACCGAACTTAAACACGGATATGTTTCCCGTTCCACCTTTCGCTCTCTCGTGTGAGGCAAAATCAATCTACACCGCCGGCATCCGCAGTAACGAGGGGTATCGTTTGAAAAGAAAGAAAGAAAAATGTCGAAGAAATTAAGTTCAAAAGACACGAAGAAAGATCCCGCGAGAAGTGGCTGCCTGCCCTGCACGGGATCCTGGGGTATAACCGTTCCATCCGACGTCGCCGTCCAATCCGTCGCCGCCATTCCGCCACAAAAGGAAAGAAAGAACCCGCAGCAAGCACTATCAGCTCGGGATATGTATCATTCCAAACCAGGTCCGAGTACACAGCTCAAGGCGAGATAGTTGGGGGGGTTTTCACCTCTTCTTCTTGGCCATATCCCGCTCGGCCAGCACGCCGTCGAGTGTCTTGGCGGCCCAGCGCTCCCGCTTCCTGAAGGTGCCGTTGAAGAACTCGGGCAGCACCATTTGGCTGTTGGCATGCTCGAGCGCGAAGCCGACCTCGGCGTCCTTGCCGCAGCGCTCCCGGGCGATGCGGACAGCCTCGTCGAGCATGTCAGTGCCGACGCCCTTGCCTCGGTAGCGGATCTTGGTCGTCCAGGCGCGGATGATGCCCTTGCCGCCACGGAAGCTGCCGGCCTTGTTCCTGCGCTTGCTGCTGAAGGTCGTGGCCGCGAGAGGAATGGCGGGCTCGAGGTGCAGGACGAGGGCGCCTATGATTTCGGAGCCGAAGCGGGTGCCGAGCACGAGGTCCTCCTCGTCGGAAGAGGCGTCCGGGTGAGGCCGGATGAAGGACCAAGATATCTGTTCGGCGAGGGGAAGGTAGCCGCTCGTCACCCAGCGGATGGCCAGGAGGTAAGACATGATGATACCGCTGAGGAGGGTAAGAGCCATGCCAATGTCCCGTTGCCGGCCGTAAGAATACTGATAGGCGACTGCGAGGGCCAGCGCAAGGCCGGCCAGTGGAACGGGGTGGAAGACGAGGGCGGAGGATGCCTGTTGGCGCTGCTGGGCAATGGAGTCAGCGACGAGGCGCAGCGCTTCGGCCTTGTCCTCGCGGGTGGAAAGGACCTCGAGTGACAGGGGAGGAATGTCATCGAGAGGCTCAAGTGTGTGAGACGTTGCCAGCGGAGAAGGTGCGGCGCGTCGGTGGCTGTTTTGAGCAGCACTAGCCGTAGGCTGGAGTACGGGTGATGACATCGCCGAGGGGTTCAAGACCAGGTTGGCACGCAGAAAAGTGAAGAATGCTGAGGCGGCTGTCAGTACGTTGAGGTCAGGTAGAGAGTTGTGTCGATGAAGGCAGGTTAAATCAAGGACGTGAGAAGTCAAAGTAAATCGAGGCGCGCTAGGATGATGAGGCCTGGGTTATGTGTTGTGGCAAGACAGGATGAAAAGCTTGTCGAAACTTGGGACGAGATGAGGTGTGCGTGATCACGTCCGGCTTCACTTCTGGATTGGTCGAGTCGCCGAAGAGCCGACAGGCGTACCCGGAAGAGCGGTGGAAACTTTCGGCGCTTTTGACGCAGAGTCGACGCACAGAAGCACTCGGAAGAAGGTTCCAAACGGCGTGCCCAAGCGCTGCAATGGTGCTACACGATGACGGCTTGTGGTTTGTGGCGGCTCAAATATCGGCACATGCCAAGATGCAGCAGGGCGAGATATTGAAGAACAAATGGCCAAAAGAAAAGAAAGGAGGGAATGCACACGTGGGGAGAGACCCCCAAGGCAAGACAATAAAAAAGACGAAGAAAAGTGGACTGGCTCTTCTTACCTGCACTTGTCTTGATAGCTGGAACGGCATGGTTGAGGGTGTCGGTAAGGGCATTGTGTGAGTGCCAGTTACTCACATTGAGCTCGCGGATGCCCATGTGGTGCTGCGACTCCATCTTATTGGCTTGCCGGTTCAATCGGGTCGGTCCAGTTTAATGGGGTTAGGCGTATTATGGTGCCGGGGGAAGGACGCTTCGCTTCGCTAGTTATAAGCGCCTTATATGCTGCTGAGAGAGAAGCGCCAGTGGCAGGGGGGACAGACGATAAAGGCTGCAAATCGGAGACAAGAATAAAAATTAAAGATAAAAGGTTGGGGGGTGGCTGGCTTTTCAGTGGTGGCAGCTGGCGACAGACGATAAGCGCGGCGTGAGAGGGCTCGGCATCGACAGGATGCTGGAGTCGTAAGTATAATTCGAGATTTTGGCGTGTGTGGTGTGTGAGTGTGTGAGTGTGTGTGTGTGTGTGTGTGTGTTGTGAATGGTGGGTGAGATGAGCGAGAGAGACCCTATCACGGTAGGAGGGGTCGAAACATGGACCGACGGTTCGTTCTATATATCCTCTGGGGGGACTCTGACGATGGGCACGGCGCGTAAACGTCACCGCACGTTGCTCGTTCCTGATCTTTAAGTTTTGAGGGTGGTAGGTGGCGGGGATGGTTGAGGCTGGATTCTCCGGGTGAGAAATACGTTGACCGTTGCGTTATGCCGTTGGCTTATTAGTGGCTATCGCCGGCAAGGTTTGGTCTGGTTTGGTCTGTGTCTGTTGGTCTTGGACAGTCTGTTGGTTGCGTCGGCCGTTGGACTTGCACCCACACTCGGACGAAGAGATGAATGAATAATAGCCCGCGCACCCAGTCGTCGGGGATCCCGTACCCAAGTTTCCAATAGAGAGGTAGGGGGCTGGAGAAGCAGAGGCTGAGAGGATTAAATAGGGAGTATAGGAGGGCTTGGGCGGTTGGTTGTTTTCTTCGACCCCTTGGTCCAGCAAGTTGGGGGCACTATCCGTAACAAAAATGGGAAACGAAGAAGCAGGGTAAGATAAGACTTGGGGCCTGGGGTAAAATAAAATAAAAATCTGCAGAAAAAAAAACCAAAATAAAGGTGAAATTTTCTGAAGGGTGGGTGGACTTTTGGTTAAGTAGGAATGGCAGGCAGGGAAGCAGGTGTAGACTGGATCCGCAGGCCTAGGCTGGATGGTCCGGGGGGACGGTGAGTGAGCATGGATGGGATGGACATGGTGTGAAAGATTGTCGTCGTCGTCGTATGCGTATGCAAATAGGAACCTCCTTCAAACCAACGTCGAAACAAAGGTAGGTACCTCCGCCGCTAGGTACGGCACAGCTTAGGTAGTCCGTCTCCTGACCGTCTACTTTGGGCTTGACGAGAGGTCCCTTCTCCTTCAGCTCGAACCGGGGGTGTAAGGGAGATGGTCATCTAGGTATCTTCCCTCCCCCCCTGCTTCTCGTCCTCGTCTTGTTCCAGCCTTCCAGGATGCCGTAACTCTGGAAACCCCCACCGCCGAGTGGACGTCCACCTCCTCCTCCGTGTGTGTATCTGCCATGTTTCTTGATCCGCCAAGGTGCGCTAGTTCTCGTTGATGGCTTGACGCTTTGTGTATCGACTAGATATCTAGCCAGATGCAGAGTGTGCGTCTGCCCATATCAACCCTATTATCCGCATCATCGGATCGGCTGCCACACCGGTTGGCTATCCCCCCCCCCATCCTATCCTTACCCTGCACTACATCTTTATCTACACTATCTGTTGACGCCAGTGGTGGAGAGCGCATGTGTGAAAGATGCATCGGGTCGCACACAGACACATGCACACACAGGCAACACGAGTCCCCGGGGCAAAGGTGCTCTTGGAACGGTGACAGCGACGGTGACAGCGACAGCGACAGTGTCACGCCTGCTGGGATGAGTGGTGGGGGAGGAAAGGATGCCGCGACAGCTGCGCCATTACAAGAAGCATGGCAAACCCCACACACGCGAGTTTCCTGGTTGAAGACCTTTCCCTCTCTCCCTCTCTCTCTCTCTCTCTCTCTCTCTCTCTCTCTCTCTCTCTCTCTCTCTCTCTCTCTCTCTCTCTCTCTCTCTCTCTCTCTTTCGCTACCGGTAGGGGCCTTGGAAAGCTTCTCAGCCTCTGACAGGCTCGATAAGGCGGCACCGTGGCCACACGCCAATCATGTTTGAAGAGACCGCCGCCGCGGCTTGTCAACCCCAAACCAGGCCAGCCTATGCCAGCGACCGGGACCAACTGACGGGGTTTGTTGGCCCGGGCACGGGTGGAGGGTGGGAGTCTGCGACCTTGCCCAGACTTAGTGTTGGAGGGGTGGTGGTGGGGTGGGGTGGGGTGGGGGGTCCGGCCTGTTGGCGTTGAAAGGGTCCAGTCCTTGGAGTGTCAGAATCCGATCAAACACGACGTGACCCCAATGCATCATGGAAGTGACTTCTTGCTTGCCCCCCCCGGTCGAGTGGCCGTCTCTAGCACCCAGTAACAGTCGACCATTGTTTCCCTCTGTTCTCGTGTCTGGCCGTCATGGTTGGTTTCGACCGACGGTTTCCAATCATCGTCATTCGTTGCACTTCAAGGCTGGCTTTGTGTTTGCGTCTACATGTGTACAATGTACGGATACTAACTGGCACCAACACTTTGCGTATATGAACTAGACAGTATAGGGTCATGATGCACGGGCCATGCTTGCGTGTGTTGCGTTCCGAATTCTGATTGACTGGCAAGGTGAGGTGAGCTAAGGTAAGAGAGCCATCATGAGATGAATGCCCATCTCTGGTACCCAGTGGTGTCCGTATCAATATCAAACTTTCTCGTCGACCTCTGTGATGGGTGGTGACATCGGCCAACGCCATTATGTACAATGTATATTCTGCAAGATGTTGTGTCTCTGGCGTCACTCTGAGGGCCCTGGGCCATCGCATGGTAAGTGATGGTATATGAGGTGGGATGATCTGCATTCGATTGGACTACCTACCTGACTTGGGAGGGGGGAGATAGCGAATTCGCCCAGCAGGCTTGGAAGCGGCGGCTGGCCCGGCCGGTGAGAATCGATACCCGATGCGAAGGTCCGGCGACTCAACCCGACATGGGGTGGGTGAATGATGCGAGTGAGGCTAGGTGCATCGTCGAAAAGGGTCTCTTGCATTAGAGGGAGGTAGGCGGCTCTCAATCATTCGACGATATTGTTGCTCTGCTCTGTAGTGTACCGCCGCTGTCTAGCATGTTGAGAGGCATTGCCCTGCCCGTCGTCGTCGCCCTTCGTATTTTTCTATTTTTTATTTTTATATTTACGAGAAGCACGCAGGACGCTGATTCAGATGTGCGTTATATGCCCGGGGTCTCATATACGGCCTCGGTCGTCGCCGTATTCATCGCCCGTTCAACCCCCCTAAATATGACGAAAAAGACGAGGATGACAGCGGGAAAGATACTTCGGGTACATGAGACGATGACAGAATATCCCAAAAAGAACCAGTCCGGCAGCCCCGACCAACATCGACAACCCATCCATCACGTGCCATCCCATGCTCAAGCGCTCTACCCGGTAATGAGAAGAGACAGAAAGGGAGAGCGAGAGAGAAAGGTTGTGGGATCGTCGCTGGCAACATCCCTGCAAAGTGCGAGAGAGAAAAAAACCCCCCCGCCGCTAGTCTGCGCGCGCCGTCGTTGTTCTGCCGTCCGGCTGAGGCCGAGGCCGACGGCCCCCCTCCCCCACGCGCCAACGAACAAAGACCTCTGTTTGACCTTTTTTATCTTCTTCCCCCAAATCTTCTGGGGGAGGGGTGGGAGGTGATGCGACGCTGCGAGCAAAAAAGCAAGTAAACCACGACGGCGACCGCCGCAGGTGAAAGCAAGATAAGAAGGGCCTGCATAATGACGTTGAAGTCGGGGAGACTGGGTAGCGCCAATGAAAGAATAACACGGAGTTGATAAGGTTCGAGTCATTTAAAAGTCCATCGCGGTGATTTCCGAACGTGGCTTATCGTAATTGTCCATTTCCCGTTGCGCGGCAGATGTTGGGACTCGTGATACATGTCTGTAGTCGCCGATATTCGATCAGAGGGGGGGATATTAGGTGCGACTGAGTGGGCGCTCAACGAGCTGCCGAGAACTGCTTGATAACGAGAGGCCTAGCCATATCTGGGTCTCTGCAAATAATTACCGACAGCTATTGGATAGTTGGCCTGGATTGCTGTAGTCTTATTGGTCCGAGGTTGTGTGAGGTCACTTCGCACTCAATGGGATATGGGTTCTTGTCGGTTATAACTAAGAGAGAGACACCGAGGCTCTTAGAGTCTTGCTTCAAACCTTCATTTTCATCAGAAACCGAATCTTCCGGGCGGGGAGGTCCTACCCTCTAAAATACTGTGGTTTACATGCAATACAGCCTTGCCAAATTCTGTTTGATGCTTCTATTCAAAGAGAGCCGCCAGGCGGAGTGTGGTTGTAACCAGTCCAGCCAGAGCAGTCCGATGAATGAACGAATGCTGCAATTTCACGGCTGGAGAAGCCTTGCGAGCCAGTCAACCAAGGATGACGGCAGTCTGCTGCTTGCTCACTGAGTCGGCAGTCAATCGGCGATACACTGCAGATATGGCAGGTTTGCAACTCTACAGGTATTGCGGGGCTCTCTGCCTCGTTCCCCTTCTAATGGGGTATCGTTTACAACTTTGCTGGCGTGCTCAATTTGATACCGACCCCAGTCGATTGGCGTTTCTGTAACACACTTCTGCAAGCTGGAATCGACTAAAACAAATCCCCGCATAGGCCAACCCCTGATAAACAGGCAGTCTGGAGTGGACTGGCCAGGGCGTTTGCCCGCCCCTTTTTTCCGTTACTGCCTCAGAATTGCGCTCATTCGCCCCAAGCAGCTGGTTCGCGCCGCACTGCCTACCTATCTATGCAGGGATGAATAAGGCCGGCTGGAGCCGCGCATCTCGCCATGAAGTTCAATCTTCTTCGCTCCAAAGGTCACGACATCCCACCTTATCCTGTCCACGACAACCAACTTTACAGGCGACGGTACCCATCTCCTCTTTGTTTTGCTGTCTAGGAAACCTGACTGGGCTGCGGTCAGCATGCTACCCATATTTCTCCTTGGCACGCGACCGAATTCACAAAGACGTTGGCCGCAACGATCCGCCCACACTCCCGGTATCTGAAACAGCGGGTAAGTAGCCTGCAGCACGTCTGCTATGCCTCTTGACGATCGCCTCCCAAAAATAACGCCCTCAGTGGTATTCGGCGTCCAACGGCCAGCGACCCCGTGCTGCCTGTATCGAGTAGAATGCCGAGATGCATTGTATGTCGAAGGAAGGAACCCAAAACACAAAATCATCCCGAATGACCCGCCTTCCACGTAATTGATCGTCGAAACATCTACCACGGCGCCATGGCACCGCTTGACGCTGGCGTGAGATGTTTGGATTCGTGGAAAGATGGAACAACGAGTCATACTGGCCAGAAGTTATCCGCACTGCCGTTCCGAATCAATGACAGTAAGTGATGAAGAAGAACCGGCGGAGACTTGGGATTCTCACATGGCTTATACCCAGAATAGCTTGCCATGTGTATTTTCATTCTAACCATCGGAAGCGGTCGATTGCTGAGCACAAGCATATGCCATCGTTTACATGCCTGCGTTGGAGTGAGCATGCCCGCATCACTGGATGACGCTGGATAACTGCTTGCCAGATACCCCTTAGAGGCTAAGCACCCGTGAGATTCCTGATGATTCCTGAGTGCTGCCAAAGACCGGACAAACTGTCGTTGTTAACGACATCAAGGCCTTGGCCTGAACCAGGGGGTGAGCCCATCCTGTGTCCATGGCTGGCGGCGAAACCGAGGACGGAGAACACTCTATTCGGAACGCATGTTATCGTTGTAGTCAAGGGTTTTCGGGTAATTGGGCCTTTGCTTGATGTCAGCTAATGAGATGCCCTATCGCCCTTCAGTGTTATGCGGTATACCAACAGTGCGCATTGGGTCCGCAAGACAGTGCAGGATGAGGCAGGCGTGCACACGATACTGGCCAGTGCCTTCCTTCTTTCCTGGTTTCCTTCCTTCCTCAGCTTCCAGGTCACTTTCCCAATCGCCTTGGGTCTTTCTGTTGGTACATCATAGCGTAGGTAGGCTGGATCGATAATCTCCTCCTCGTCGTACCTTTTCTTCAGTGTCCAACGTTTCATATCTGACAATCTTATGTACCAGATGACTGGAGCGACATCGAATTCACCGAGTCATCCAAGATGGTGCGGGCTCACCACGGGTCGGTGCTTCCTTCTGCTCCTGAGGGCGTACTATCTGTTGACGAAATGCTCCGATGCATTAGCAAAGAAGCCACCTTGTCACCAGGGTGCTTTCATAGGCTGTTCAGCTTCTTCCAGGCTCAAGCTCGTATTCAGCCGCCAACTCCAGTGTCTAAAGCCACAGCAGTTCCGACACGTTGTATCATGGCATCACCTAGCTCACGACTTTCTCGCTTACGGCGCAACGGCACATATGATCCGGCTTGGTCGCCGTGAAACTGTGGGTATGGAACTGCTTCCAATTTCAATGGTTTGCGTCAGCGCCTCCAATGCGGAAGGCCAGGCGGTTTCTGGCATCGAAACAGCAGTAGATAGGTACCATGGTACCAGCGCTGATTCCTAGCACAAGGCGGCGCCTCGAGCCGATGTCATGGCTCGCCGTCTAGTAATCAGTCTTGACCGCTGAGTATGCCTTGCCGCCTCGACAGGCCTGTGACCTGATTGGTCAGGTGTTTAGCTTTGTAGATGCGCAAGCTACCTACTACAAGACTCTTCTCGTTCAAATTGCTCTCGGGCCATGCCAGAGTCCTGCGTGCGTACCGGGCTGACCGAGCGGTATGCGCACTGCATCTACTCGGTCTTCTTTGTATTCGATATCAACCTCGTTAACTGAGAAGGAAAAGAAAGAACGAAAAAGAGGGATTGCGGCTGCTCATCACCAATGAGAGTTGAGTTAGCCAGAGATGACGACAGCTTACCGAAATAATAAGTATTTTCGGACAGCAAAAGGGATGCAGCAATGTATCCCACTAACATCCGCAGCGAAACAACCATCTTTCTGGCGTGGGCTGAGTCTTGTCCGCAAAGGCTTCGTCCTCGCGCCCATGCATGCCACCGCCACGCCTGCTTGCTTACCTCACCTTACACCTTGAGGCTCAGGTGGGCTGGGCTCTCCACACCGGATGTCTCCTCTCCTCCCTCTGCTCTGACCAAAACCAACAAAGCAGCTGGCAGGCAGTCAGGCTAGGTGAGCACAGCCCGCACGCTCCCGCGCGCACTATCTGCCGGGGGGTGGAGGCCGCCCTTTCCAGCCAGTGCCGACCCGCCGTTCAAGTCCTAGGAATACCGCCGCCGAGTCCTGGATTCTAGGACGTCCCATCTCGCTACAATCATACCATCCCATAGCTAGATAAACCAGGAAGATGGGTGGCGGAATGGTCCCCATTAGGCCAACGCTTCGCTAACCGCAGCCATACTTGCAATCGTCTTTCGAATTTCGACTCCGTCCCTGGGAGCACCATGGAGTCGAAAACCTCGCTGTCGCCCTTCGGGGATGACCGTCGTTCGCTGAGCCAAAGTCATTCAGCCCTACGAGCTCTCACTTCATCCCGCCTCGGCCGAGCGCGACAACGACGTGATTCTTGCTCCACGAGTTCATCGTCCTCAACCCGCTCTTCCATCGACTCCACCGGTCCTCCATCATGCGTGTAAGTCACCCACTGCTCAAACTTTTGCCCAAACCTGGTCGCTGTAGATCTTGAGCTGAACAATGGCCCAGTACTCGCACCGTCACCCCAGACCAATGCGCAATACACAGGTTCATCGTCTGGGCCGCCGTCCAGCGCAACACGTCCCAGAAGATGACAGCCGCTGACCGTCTCGAATGTCCGCTGCTGCTCTGTCGCAAGAGGTTCCCAAGCCATGAGGCTATGTTGAGGCACTTGTATAGCTGCGATCAGCTGTCCACCGGCGAGTACTGGTGTTACGAGTGTGGGAAGGCCGAGAAGTTCACCGATGGGAAGTGCAAACGCTGCCTGGGGCATCCTGGAAAGAGGCGTAGGATCATGTCCGTCGCGAAGAACTTCTTCTCTTCGTTGGGGCAAAAGTCCAAGAACCAGGGCATGCTCGACCTCGACATGAAGAATGCATCCGACATCGCCATATTTCCACCGCCGAGCTACGATTCTTGCATTCAACCTCAGCAGGTCGAGCTATCCTCGTGCTCCGAAATCCTAGAGATCGATTCCATCGAGGTGCCTCTTCCGACGCCGACCAATATTGACCGAGGCATCATGGAAGCCGAGTCCGCAATGTCCATGGCCATGGAGCCGACGGCCTTGGAATCAGCCGTCTCTGTGATGCCTGACCTCTCATTCGACTGGCTGTTGCAGACCAACGTCGGTGCAAATGACAACAGCATCTCAGGCAAACCCGATCGGCCGTCATTGTCTCTATATACTTACGGTCTCGAGCAGCGTCGCAAACAGCATCAGCCTACGACTCGAACCAAGAACCTGTCCCCTAGCAATTCGCTTAGATCGAACGCGAGTACCGACACAACAGCGAGTTATCTCGTTTCACCTGCCTCTGCCTTCAGCGGTACCTGGACGACTGCCGAGACTGGCATCACTTCACCAGCGTCCGACAGCAGTTCTGGCGGGCTGCTCTCACGTGGTTGCTCCAATGCAAGTCGCTACTCGAACTACAGTATCCAGCCGCATGCCTTCATCTCGGAACTTCCAGCAGACGACATCATGCTCCAGCCGCTTCCCTTGACTCTCTCGGAGGACTTGGATTGCGACCAGCAGCTGTCCCTTTTGGATACGTCGATTTTGAAACCCCGTCGAAGCGAGACTAGGACCTGTGGTCCCGGAAAGACGTTTGATGCCCCGGCCACCATGGTCAGAGCAACAGATATGGCCATGCCTGCTTTTGCTGTTGATGCCAACTCTCTTGTCGGGTCAGCATGGGATACACTGAAGACTCATATCACCTCATCCCTGGAAAAGCTGCAGCACCTCTCGCGCAATCCTCTCGTGGAACAGTTACAAGGCTTATCGTCACAAGATGTAGCCAATAAGGGTATCGCTACCCTGAAGGTTCTGCTCGAGGGAATACGGCCAACAAGTAGCATCGACATGCTCTGCTTCGTCCACATCACCTACTCGCTTTCTCTCATTGTGCACGAAGACGACGCTCGCAACCGCTCGAGGCAGCTCTTTGCCCAAGCTTTCCGTTGCAGCGATTGGCTGGTGGGATGTGAGCGGGAACAGTATACCGAGGTGGCGTTGGCGATTTGGCAGCCACTGGACTTTTCGCCCAGTGAAATGAATGTAGTGTTATCGGAACGACATCAAGATGCGATTTCCAGTCCGTCAAGTCTGAAAGGAAAGGAGCGAGCCACTTCGTGGCCGAGAAAACCCTTGGAAAAGAATGTCTTACTGGAAGTAGCGTGCTTCTTCTTGGACGGTATGCCCTCCATCAAACTCGTGTGGTTTCCTCGCTGACACGGATCAGAACTTGAACGCACCGCGTTGCCGAGCAAGGACCTCGAGTCGAGCGAGGTTCTTGGCTCGATGCTGTGGACAAAGCACTCTACGCATGCCACCGACAGCTTGGTCTTGAAAGAAAGCTTGGATGCGACTTGCAGAGCGTTGCGAAGTGAGGTTCACAGAGGCTTCGCTCATGCTAAGGGCCTCAATTCAAAGATCAAGCGCATTCAGAAGCGCATCGGCAGCAGCAGTGTTCGCAGCGCAAGGAGGGTGGAGCTGGAGCTGTTGCAGGCTGGCAAGGTAGATCTCGCGAAAGGCCCATTTCCTCCTACCTTGGTATTGACATTGCCTACAGGGATGCGTAACACTACAAGAATACTTCGATAGCTACGTGCCCATGGTCAGGGAGCTGCTTGATGATGTCTACAATCAGCACGTACCGAGAGGGCTGTCACGAACGAGATACCATGTACACGGTACCGATCTGATGCAAACCATAATCTCGCGCATCTGCGAAAAGGAGGCAATTAAACACACCACGCAGGATACCACCAACGTGACTAGCGAGGCGGCTTTAGATGAGTTCATCAGGAGCACAACAACAGCACTGGACGACTCGTGGGAAAGCTTCCTCACGGTGCAGGAGGACCCGCTTGCCATGCCGACGCCTCTGACTGGCGCTCAGATGATGATGATGGACGACACAACGCTTGCCGACACTGTAACGACCTTCTGCGAAGCCGGTGAATTGCCAACGCGTCCGACTTTCCCGATGCCGCCCACGAGAAGCAAAGTTGATGTCGAATCGTTCGACGAGATGGCAAGAGCGTCTCCAAGCGGAGCGGGACAAAAGTTCGAGTTGAAGACGAGCGACAGTTGCGAGATTTGCGGATACCAGCCAAAGGGCGACCCGCAGTGGTTCAAGGGCAGCATGGCGAAGCACAAAAAACTGCAGCACTCGACGGCACCTCCCAAGATCTACCGGTGCCCGTATCCCGGCTGCACAAGCCAGTATAAGAATCGGCCGGATAACCTGAAGCAACACCAGCAGGACAAGGGTCACTTTGTAGACGGAGAGACAGGACGGAGGCCTAGCAAGCGTAAGAAGAGGGAGGAGTAAGGTAGGTGGTACCTGTCGGTTTTGCATCATACAGTACCCAGCCGTCACATACATGTAGGATGAGTAAACGGAATTGCAGTTTTTGGCGCACAAGGAGAAAGCTAAAGATACCATGTTGTACTACAGATACTTCCTAGTCGAGGCTATGGGAGTAGTTTAGATATTGAGAGTGTCAAAACAAGTCATTGTGATATGATGACTAATATTGAACTCGGACCGTGGGAACCTGACACCAAGCTGTCACTGCTTTAAAACAAGCCAGGTCGGGGTTATTGTTGCTTTTCGCGCTTTCATATGTGATGCGGCTTTGTTATGCACTTGATGACTATGACCTGCCCTGGTGAGAGTGGGCATACCGAAGTGATGCCACGGGCTCAGTCGCCATGAAAAGGATGGCGTTGTCGACAAGCTTATACCGAGTGGCTGGGTTGAAAGAGTTCCGCGGACAAGCTGGCAAGTAGTAGCTTTGGAGCATCTCAGTGAAGTCGGTGCGAGGTCAAAATACGAGGCAGGGATATGGCCTGGTTGGGTAGGAATTCGTAGGTACCTCACTACAGGCAGTAGGTAGGCAAGCCGGACCCCCACTAAAAAAGCACCACCAGCATCCAGCTCTTCTGGAGGCTGGAGCTCACTCGCGAGTGCCCAGGTGCCCAGGGGCCCAGGGGTGGGAGGGAGTGGTACGTAGGGCTGATTTGCGGGCTCCAGGGGGGAGCTGGGTGCTGTAGCAAGCCGCGGGAACCCCCCCGTAGTGTACCTAGACGCCGTGAGCGGGGGGGAGGGGATATGCTTTGGTATCGCGTGCGGCGTACCCGTGCATCTATCCGAGGAGACAGGGCGAACAGTTGAAGGCGTGAGCTCAACTTACGTCTGTGTGATTGGATTCTCAATTGCCAGAAGGATTTGCATGTTATTTCCTATACCGTTCTTCCTTTTCATTTGGGATTCTCGATCAAGGTTTTCGATATTAAAGGGGACCTAAAGAGTCGAGCGCAAAACGCAATTGGAGGGGGCGTGTTCCCGTCTCGTCCTGAAGCCCCCCCCCTCCCCGGAGGTGGTTGTACCTAGCTTAGGTTAAGGCAGGTAGGTAGGGGGAAAGGTACATCCTGCGCGCGCGCGCGCGAGAGAGAGAGAGAGAGAGAGGGTGGCACAAGCGTAGGCTACCTACCTACCTTAGGTACCTTAGGCAGGAGTGCGGATAGCAAGAGGCACGCATCTCCAGCAGCTGTCAGTGTCAATTGCCGAGCCAGCCAGCACCAGGTCGAGCCCCCGAATGACACTTTTCCCGCCTAGAGGCTAGGATGCAGGCAAACGCCAGTGGCTTGTCAACCATATGGTAAGTTTTTATTGGGATGTGCGGTATAGATATCAGGACTGCGATGATGGAGTGGCTGCAGCTTTTTGCAGACACGATGACCCCGGGCCCTCGTCCGCTCTTTCGACCGAACGCGCTGGATAATAATCCGATGTTGCGCGTGTAACCTTCACCCTCGTCGAAACACGTTGCCTATGCGGTCTATTATTGTTGCGCGTCTTCGCGTCCAACACTCGGGGGTGGCGGTTACCAAAAGTCAACAAGGAGAAAATGCCGGCACAGCCAACAAAAGGAACGCTTGGCATTAGGTGACATCACTGTTCTCTGGCCGAATCACGTGTCTGGACCCACATCGGTATCCGTATATCGTAGCCAGCTCGTATCATTGGTCCAATGGGGGGTGTCTAGTGTCTTTGGAGCCCCGACGGTCCTCAGGCCGGCCGCTCTTGACCCCCTTTCACCTGAAGTTTGAGTCTGGCCCCCCTTTTTTCCACCCCAAGAACAGTTTGGGAACGCCCAAAGAGAAAAGGCCCGCGCCACAGAAAATTTCTCCCTCCAGGCCTTTCGTCCGCCCCCTCCCCCCCCGTCCTGGTCCTCGCCCTCCCTCGCCCAAAACTTTTGGCTTTCTGGCTCAGGCTCTGACTCTGGCTCTGACACCGACTCTCTGGCCTCTTCCAGTGTTGTGTTGTCGTCCACACGGTCCTGTCCACGTCCACATCCACGTCCGCGTCCCCCTCCCCCATCCCTAAATCCGCCCAGGTCTCTTCCATGTCCGCCTTCTCTTCCTCGCACACCACCCTTCACACCTCGCATGTTTGCTCTCCCTCCCCCTTCTTTTTTGTGCACACCTCCCAGAACCCACACACACTCCACGCCTCTCCCTCCCCCCAATCCCATTATCGACACCCCCAGACCACATTCAAGGGTTCGTTTGTTGCATCCTTTTGAGCATCTCTGGGATTCGCCTCACGATAGCGGAGGCTCAACGACATCGAGGGAACGACTTCGACGTCGACGTCGACGTCCACGCTCACGTCCTGCGCTGAGCCCCTCCCGAACCGCCTCTATTCAGGGTTTTCGCGATTCTCGCCGTCGCCGCCGAGCGTTCTCGTCCTCATACGCAAACGTCCGACCTCAACACTCGTTCCCTTTTTTTTTTTTTTCTTTCTTTCCTTTTCTTCTTTCCCTTCCTCTCGTTGTCCTTCTTTGAACCCTCGACGACCCTTCCCTCGACACGATGTCGAGTCTGGGGCAGTCGGGTCCGAACAGCCATCCCGGCCTCGCCTTTCCCCAGCCCGGCATTCGACGCAGTCACGGCGGCCCAGGCTTCCCGCCTCTCCACGCGAATCCTGCCCAGCAAAAACCATCACCTGGCCCTCACAACGCGTCGCCTTATCAACAACAAGCATACACACCTCAACAGCCTCCTCAGGCCCAGTATCCCCATCATCTCTTCCAGACCCCGACGCCCGTCAATGGGAACGTCAATGGATCATCGCGTCCGCCGAGCCACGTCCCCAATGCTGCTGGCCTCGGTAGACAGAGGGGGCCTCCCCAGAGGCAGCAGATACCCCAAAACGCACCTTCAATGTTCCTCCCTCTAGGCAACCAGCAAGGCCTTGGACAGCAGCAGACCCTCGGCCAACAACAGGGTCTGGGACAGCAGCAGGCCCTCGGAGCTCAACAAAGTCTCGGCCATCAACAAGGCCTCGGCCAGCAGCAGGGCTTGGGTCAACACCAAGGCCTTGGACAGCCACAAGGTCTCGGTCATCAGCAAAGCTTGGGTCAACAGCAGAGTTTAAGTCAACAGCAGGGCCTAGGCCAGCAGCAGCAGCACCAGCACCAGCAACACCAACATCAACAGCATCAGGCGCACCAACAACATCAACAGCACCAACAGCACCAACAACACCAGCAGCAGCACCAACAGCAACAACAACAACAGCAGCAGCACCAGCAACAGCATCAACAGCAGCACCAACAACAGCAGCAGCAGCACCAACAGCAGCAGAGTCTGAACCAACAGCAGCAGAGTCTGAACCAACAGCAAACCCTCAGCCAGCAGCAGCAACAAAGTCTTGCGCAGCAGCATCAGCAGCAGACCCTGAGTCAACAACAGAAGCTGAATCAGCAGCACAGTCTTCATCAGCAACAGCAGAACTTGACCCAGCAGCAGATCAAAAATGAGCCGATTCTTTCCCACCAAGCTCAGCCCCAGGCCCAGGCCCAGGCCCAGCAAACCCTGTCTCAGCCTACACCTCCCACGGTGCAGCAACAATTGCCGCAGGCTCCCCAGGTCCAGCAAATACAGCAAGTTCCGCAACAAGTTCAGCAAGTTCAGCAGGCCCAACAAGTGCCGCAGGCTTCTCCGGTCCAGCAGCAAGTGCAACAGCCCCCGCAGCCTCGACCCGAGACGCCGGCTCAGGCCAGCGAGCACCATGGTGACAGCATGGAGGTCGAAACGCTGGCCGACGGTGACGACTCGCTCGAACCCAAAATGCTGGACGGAACCCCATTCGTCCCTCGGACACCAATGGGAGAGATGATGTCAGCTCCACCAGAGGGAGGCAGCTTTCCGACCCTGGAGGCCGTTCACAAAAGCGTTCTCGCGTACTGCACGTCAGTCGGTTACGCGATTGTCATTGGACGCTCCAAGAAGACAGTCCCTGGCCTGAAAAAGGTTCTGTTCGTATGCGACCGAGCAGGCAAGCCTCCGAGTCGTGTCAGCCCCGAATTCCGCAAGCGCAAGACATCGTCACGCAAATGCGATTGCCAGTTCGGCTTCTTCGCCATCGAACAGCGAACCCAGTGGACGATCCGATACCGACCCGATCCGCAACACCTGCAGCACAACCACGGGCCGAGCGAAAGCCCGCTCCTCCACCCGGCCGCTCGCAAGTTGGACAGCAAGATGGTCGCCGCCGTCAAGGCTCTCAAGGAGAACGGTGAGCCGACAAAGACCACACCACGGGAAAGAGCAGCCGCTGACTCTTCGACAGGGGTTAGTGTTAACGAGACGCTCGAAATACTTCAAAACGAAAACCCTCATGTTCCCCTACTCCCTCGCGACATCTACAACGCCCGGGCTGCGATCAACCGGAATCCACAAAAGGTGGCCACTGGACTGGCTGAGAACCGACCGGCGATCTACAGCAAACCACACCCCACGGCTGAAGAGCGCATCCGGGCAGACCTCCGGAAGGAGCTCGCCAAAGCCCGTGAGGAGTTTGACAAGTTCAAAGAGGACAAGCAAAAGGAGGTGGATGAGCTGAAGGAGAAGCTCAAGGAGAAGGACCAGATCATTGAGAGGTTCGAGATGTTTATCGACATCTGTAACCAGCGTGTCATGGTTCAGCGGGAAAGGCTCGGTGGCGCTGAGGGGGCTGCCAACAGCGGTAGCTAAAAAAACAAAAAAGGAGAAGAGCGGGTGGTTCAATCCAGAGGGTATCCTTGCATGGCGGGTTGGGACTGGGAATCGGGTTTGAGGATGGGCTTGTACGATGCTTTCTTTTCTGCGTCGCGGAAGCATGGCCGTTGACAGTTTGGAGAGCAAGGCAGGATGGGACCAGGTGTTCTGATTTGGTCGGAGTCATTTTTGGTCGTGTTCCTAGGTCCCGTTAGAGCTTGGGGCCACAAGGTATTTTTCGTCTCTTGGCTTTGTTTTTCTTTCTTTTTCTCTTTTCTTTCTTCTTTCTTATCCTTTCCATTCGGAAGTCTGGGATTGCATTGGGCGGGTTTTAGCAACAGCAAATATCGTGCGAACATGACTGAAAGCAAGGATTCGACTTCTGATTCCATTCCCGTTGTGTCAATTATAGTAGAGAGCACTTATATGACGAAGCCTGGACACCTTGGTCAGTCGGCCATAGGCCACGTGCCAGGCGCGTCACGGCGTCATTTGACGTCAAACGAGGCTACGAGAAGCTGCCAGGGACGGCTGAGCTTGGTCATTGCGAGGCTAGTGGGGCAGGGTGCGCGGGTTGGCGGGCAGCTGCAGCTCGGGCTACAAGGGGCCGCTGCTAATTAAGAGGCGATTTTAAGAGTGATTTCGGGGCCCTCAGATGGTGCGGGAGCGGGCGTTGGGTTGTGCGGTAAATTGAAAGTATGGCATGCTCTCTGTTTTGGTATCACCTCACTTCAACGGCCAGGTCAGGGCTCCATGGGGGGGGGGGGGGTGACACATGGGCGACGACGCACGCGGGCGGGCATGTGAAGAGCTGCTCGGCCTCGCGTTGCGAAGCTGGAATCGGAGATGAAGGTATAGAAGATGGGTACAGTATGTACCTGGAGTGATGCGCGACTGTATAGGTACTTTAAACATCACTCGACGCTAGCATGTGAGATAAGAAATGCAGACTTGTAGTCGTGTTCTGCTTGCCATGCACGAACGATTTAGGTTAGGGGAAGGAGGGGGATGATGCAGGTAGGAAAGGGAAAAGAAGAACAAAACCCTGAAAGATTAGCGGCAGCCCGATCCGTGGCGGACATGTACAGGGAAGGGGCCTTGGATGCAGCATTGCAGAGTTATGTTTTGTTGGTGCGGACAGGATGGGATGGATGGGATGGGATGGGAAGGGATGGGAAGGGATGCAGTGGACAGACGGGCGGGAACAAAGGGAGGGCATCGGGAGGAGCCCAGGGAGAGGGCGAGACCGGATAGGTACGGAGTACACTTGACAGCGTGTCTAAGCTAAGCTCCTCTTCGATTGTTCCCTCTGTTAGGTAAGCATTGCTAGCAATGCTACGTATGCATGTAGGTACCTAGGTAGTATCCGTATTGTGCTGTACAAGTCTTCATGCTTGGAGCTACCTTAGGTAGGTACCAAGTAGTTTGGTGAGACTGAGCAACGTACCTAGGTACCTAACATGCAAAGACGTGCGGCCAATCAAATTAGCCCCGCAGTCCTTGGCGGGATTGGCTTATTAGTGGCTAGCAAACCTCCTGACACATGCCCGTCGCGACAAGGATCCTGCTTGATCGCGTAAAACCAGGCGACCTCAGGGAAAGGTGGGTAGGCAATGTACGGAGTACCTTCCCGCCGTTTTCAGTGCTGGGTGTACCCCAATTACCCTCCCGTGCTTGCTGCAGAGACATGCTTAAGGCGACGTGAAAGTGGAACCGTGGACAAGTCAACTGTCTGGAAAGTCAACATTGCAGATTGTCCCGTCCCGTATCGTTTATGCTGTAGACCCTTTTTTCCACGACACATCGCGAACCTGAGCTGCGCATCAACCCGCCGCCAATAATCAGCGACACATAAACGACGACGACGAGGAGAATTATCCATTACCGTACGCGATACCCCCCAACGTTCACTCGAGGATATCCAACTCTCCTTTAGCACCTGATTGCTTGCTTTCGCTATTACTTTGTCCACTTCTTTTCGTCCCACCGCCTTCCGACTCGTTGGCTCTGCGGCCGGACAATCATCGACTCTGAGGTTTGCCCTCTGACTTGACAGACGTACTGTCACACCGCAGCTTCTGGCCTAACGTCGTGTCTATGATGATGCCGACTTCGACCTTGTAAATATCGTCTTTTTGCCTCGTCCGAAACAGCCCACCATGGAGGTGGCATCCTCTCAACTCCCGGGCGCGAACGGCGTCGTCTCGCCCATCGCCGACCCCTCCATCGATCCGAGCCGCGTCCTCGACCACATCGCCTTGGCCTGCCAGATAGCCCTCGGCGCCACCAACGAAGACCTCGAGAGCCCCGGAAGCTTGCTTCACAAGCACCGCTACTCCGATACGCTCCAGCGCTGCACCCGCTTCGCGACCGACACCCCGAACGCCTTGTACATTCAGAAGGACCTCCTGCCGGCCTCCACAATACAGAATGGAACTGACGACTTGAGTTCGTTTGACCCGCGAGGCAACGTGCTTCTCTGCAGACATACAGCTAACCACGCAAATGCAGAGTCCCCGGCCTACACATACTCACTGACCACCGAGATCTCTTCGTCCCCGACGACCGTCTCGTGCCTCGTCTTGCTCAAGCAGCGCCCCGGCCCCGTCGATCCCACGATCCCGCTCACTTCTCAGATACTTCTCACTAATCTGCCGGGCCCTGCGACTCTGAACGCCACCGCCGGCGACCAGGGCCCTTCCACTTCGCCCTTTGAGGTTTTGCACTCCTATGTTCACAACGCGCTGGCGCCCTACTTCGATGCCAATACCCGCAGCCAGATCGCCAACGGCGCCAGGGGCAGGGCCGATGTGGACTCGAAGACGGGAATCCCCGTCACCAAGAAGAGGTGGAACGACTTGGAGTTGAGCTTGCTTCACCTGCAGCAGAATGTCGAAATCCCCGAGGTCTCCTTGATGTTCCACACCATGGTGCAGAACGCGTTGGAGGAGGCCGAATCGCGGCATTCGAAACCCTCTCTCGATCTCATCCCCGGGACCGTCCTCTCCGACAGTACCTTCCTCAACAGCCTGCAGAACAACGTCAACAGCTGGATCAAGTCGATCCAGGTCATCACGAGAATGACCAGGGACCCCGCCGATAGCGCAAAGGATTTCAAGTTTACCGCCAGTCAGGAAGTCAACTTTTGGCTTTCGATGGAGTCCGCCTTGGAGGGAATCGAGGGACAGCTCCGCAGCGAGGGCGTTCTCTTGACGTTGGAGATCCTCAAGCACGCCAAACGTTTCCAGGCGACTGTGAGTTTCACCGCTGACACGGGCTTGAAGGAGGCCATGGACAAGGTCCAGAAGTACAACCAGCTTATGCGGGACTTCCCCCTTGACGAGCTGCTCTCTGCAACATCCATGTCCAAGGTGAAGGATGCCACCATACAAATCTTTGGCCATCTGAACAGGAAACTGAGGATCTGCCCGTATCCCATCCGGAGAGCTCTGCCGCTGGTGGAGGCCATCTCCGGAGACTTGGACGAGGTGCTGCATCGACTTTTGCCTGGAACAGAACTCGTGAACCTCGACTACAACGAGTTCAAGGCTATCATGAAGGCCAGCGAGGACATTTTTACAACCTGGGACGAAAGCATCAAGGAGTTCACCAACGTTGCCCGTGAGGTCACGCGCCGGAGGAACGAAAAGTTCATCCCCATCAAGGTCAACCCCAAGCACGCCGAGCTTCAAGGTCGCCTCAAGTACGTCAGCACGTTCCGTGACAACCACGAGCAGCTCCAACGCACCATCGTCAACGTGCTCGGTCCCAAGGCTACTGTGAGCGGCCTGACCGAGACCACGAACACCAACGGCGTCGTTGTCGTCGAAGAGATGGGCGACGTTGATGCAGTCGAGGAAGTCAAGCAGGCGTGGGAGGCGCTGAAGAATGTCGACCTCCTGGATGTCTCCGCCGAAGGCACAGAACGATGGGCCAAGGCCGAGAACGTGTACAATGAGCGGACTTCTCGAGTGGAGAACTCCATCATCGCGCGCTTGCGTGACCGTCTGGCCACGGCCAAGAACGCCAACGAGATGTTCCGGGTCTTCTCCAAATTCAACGCCCTGTTCGTGCGCCCCAAGATTCGTGGGGCTATTGCCGAGTACCAGAACCAGCTGATGGAGCACGTCAAACAAGCCATCCATGGTCTCCACGAGCGCTTCAAGCAGCAATACGGCCACTCCGAGGCTCATGCCATGGCCCAGCTGCGCGACCTGCCGCCTGTTTCCGGTGCCATCATTTGGGCCCGCCAGATCGAGCATCAACTCGACAACTACATGAAGAAGGTCGAGGACGTGCTGGGTTCCGAGTGGGCCATTCATGCCGAAGGCCAAAAGCTCCAGAGCGAGAGCAATCTGTTCAGGAAGAAGCTGGACACGCAGACAATCTACAAGGCCTGGCTCGACGATGTCCAACGCCGGCAGATCTCCATCTCTGGCTTCTTGTTTGACATCCGACGCATGCGATCGACGGGCGGCAACTACGAGCTTCTGGTCAACTTTGACCCCCAGGTCATTACTCTGTTCAAGGAGACGCGGAATCTCATGTGGCAGAACTACGCCGTTCCTCACTCGATCAACAACGTGTCCAAGGACGCCAAGCGTGTCTACCCTTTCGCGGTCAGTCTCATGGAGAGTGTCCGCACCTTCTCGCAGACGATGCGACAAATCTCTGAGATGGGCGAAGAGGCCGTTCTTGTTTATGGCTACAGAAACGACGTCTACGCCCTCGTCTCTAGAGGTGTTCCCCTCAGGTGGGAATCGTTCGTCAACTCGCATGAAATCTTCTTCTCCACCAAGAACAACGCGACCCTGCCAAACGTATCCGAGTTTGGCCTTTCGAAGCCTTCGGAGAGCAAGCACAGCCTCTTCATCCGCGAGTTCGCCGCAGCTGTATCCCTGCTCCAGGCCAAGACTGCTTCTCTAGCGTCCATCCACGCGACCGTCGAGAAGGCGCTTGCGGAGCTCAACACTTGCCCCTACGAAGCCAGTGCTTTCACCTCGCGCTTGGAGACTATCCAGACAGCCGTCGACCAGCTCAACTTGGAGCAGTATGTCAACCTGCCCTACTGGGTTGAGAACATGAACCAGAAGCTCAAGGAGGTGCTCTTGGCTCGGCTCCAAGACGCCATTCTGGCTTGGATCCAAGCTTTCGAGGACGATTACCTTGACGACGGTCGCCGCAAGCAAGTTGCGGAGAACGGCGAGGAGCCCGTACAAGAGGGGCCGGTGATCAAGCGCTTGATCCATGAACTGTCCATGAGGAACCAGGTGATTTACTTGGAACCTCCTCTGGAGTATGCGCGCTCGAGCTGGTTTGTTCAGCTGCACGAATGGCTGGGCATTGTCTGCAACCTCAAGAAGATCAAGGCCACGCGCTACCAAATGACCTTGACAACCACAACTCTGGATGAGCCCCACTTTGACGACCTCCCGAGCGACTGTACCGATTTGCTCAGCCGCGTGTACGTGTCTGTCGAGAACAAGCTCCGCGAAATCGGCACCTATGTCGACAAGTGGCTGCAGTTCCAGTCCCTCTGGGATCTCCAGTCGGAGCAGGTGTATGAGGCTCTCGGCGACCAGCTTGCGAGATGGCTTCAGCTGCTTCAAGAAATCCGTAAGACTCGTCAGACCTTTGACACCCAAGAAGTCAGTCGGCAGTTCGGCCACATCACCATCGATTACGACCAGGTACAGACCAAGGTCAACGCCAAGTACGATCAATGGCAACACGAGATCTTGATGAAATTCGCTAGCAGACTCGGCAACCGCATGCGTGAGGTACACGCCGAGATTGAGAAGGCCCGTCGAGACCTCGAAAGCCAGGGCCTGGACGCTTCTTCAACCGCCCAGGCTGTCCAGTTCATCACCGTCGTGCAGGCTTGCAGGCGCAACGTGAAGCTCTGGGCACCTGAGATTGACATGTTCAGACAGGGACAGTCCACCCTTGTGCGCCAGCGTTATCAGTTCCCCAGTGACTGGCTCCACATCGAGCAGATTGACAGCTCATGGGAGTCCCTGACCGAGATCTTGGAGAAAAAGTCCAAGATTGTGCAGGATCAAACCGATGCGCTGAAGTCCAAGATCATCGCCGAAGACAAGATTGTCAATGATCGGATTGCCGAAGTTGCCGTGCAGTGGAACGACGAGAAGCCCGTTTCCGGTACCACCCAGCCCGATGTGGCGTCCGCCACTCTGGCCTCCTTCGAGGCTAGGATCTCCAAGCTGCAATCCGACTTCGAGATGGTTGCCAGGGCCAAAGAAGCGCTCGACATTCCTACTTCTGCAGACACCTCTCTAGCCACGATTTTGGAAGAAGTTCAGGATTTCCAGTCCGTCTGGTCCAACCTGTCCACCATCTGGGCCAGTCTTAACGAGACAAGGGAGGTCCTGTGGACTGCCGTCCAGCCCAGAAAGATTCGGTCCAAGATCGACGACCTCATCAAGAGCACCAAGGAAATGCCCAGCCGCATGCGACAATACGCTGCGTTTGAGCATGTCCAGACCATCCTCCGCGGACTGTTGAAGGTCAACTCTATTCTCTCAGACCTCAAGTCTGAGGCGATCCGTGACCGCCACTGGACCAAGATCTACAAGCAGATCAAGCCTGGCAAGCGATACTCGCCAGTTTCAATGACCCTCGGTGATGTCTGGGACCTCAACCTCGTTGCCACAGAGGTCATTGTCAGGGACATAATTGCCCAGGCTCAGGGCGAGATGGCCCTTGAGGAGTTTCTCAAGCAGGTTCGCGAGACGTGGTCCACTTACGGACTGGAGCTCGTCAACTACCAGAACAAGTGCCGTCTCATTCGTGGCTGGGATGATCTGTTTGCAAAGTGCAGCGAAAACTTGAACTCGCTGCAGGCAATGAAGCACTCGCCCTACTACAAGGAGTTCGAGGAAGAAGCGTCTTCATGGGAGGACAAGCTCAACAGGGTTCACGTTCTCTTTGATGTCTGGATTGATGTTCAACGCCAATGGGTCTACCTTGAGGGTGTTTTTACCGGCAATGCCGACATCAAGCACTTGCTACCCGTTGAGTCCTCGAGATTCCAGAACATCAACAGCGAATTCTCCGCTGTCATGAAGAAGGTCTACAAGCAGCCCTACGTCCTCGACGTCCTCACAATCCCCAACGTCCAGAAGTCTCTTGAGAGACTGGCTGAGCTTCTCAACAAGATCCAGAAGGCTCTGGGCGAATATCTCGAGAAGGAACGTGTCTCTTTCCCTAGATTCTACTTCGTTGGTGACGAGGACCTCCTTGAAATGATCGGTAACAGCAACGACACCCTACGCATCGCGAAGCACTTCAAGAAGATGTTTGCTGGCCTCTCTGGACTCGTCATGGACGACGAGACGATCATTTCTGGCTTCACCTCCAAGGAGGGCGAGGCCGTGCGTCTCAAAAAGGAGATCTCACTTGCCAAGACACCAAAGATCAACGACTGGCTCGCCCTGTTGGAGAATGGCATGAAGAACACCCTGGCTGAGCTTCTTGCGGAGGCTGTCGATCAGTACACTCCCATCTTCGAGTCCGAGAAGATCGACAAGGAGGCTATGGATTCGTTCATGGAAGCCTTCCCCAGCCAAATCGTTGTCCTTGCGACTCAAGTTGTTTGGACGACAGCCGTTGAGAGGTCTCTTGCTGATGGCGGCAAGACGCTGCAGTCGCTCTACGACCGTGAGGTCCAAGTGCTCCGCCTTCTTGCCGACACCGTCTTGGGCGATCTTGAAATCATCCTGCGCAAGAAGTGTGAGCAGCTCATTACCGAATGCGTTCATCAGCGAGATGCCATCGAGAAACTTATCAGTCTCAACGCTACCACGCCGACTCACTACTGGTGGCTGCTCCAGATGCGTTATCATTACAACCCCGAGGGTGACTTCCCTCAGCGCCTGCAGGTCAAGATGGCAAATGCCACGCTCGCCTATGGTTTTGAGTATCTCGGAGTTCCCGACCGCCTGGTCAGAACACCCCTTACGGACCGATGTTTCCTCACCCTCACCCAGGCTCTCCAGCAACGGCTCGGTGGATCTCCTTACGGTCCTGCCGGAACGGGTAAGACGGAGTCTGTCAAGGCTCTCGGCCTTCAGCTCGGTCGCTTCACTCTGGTCTTCTGCTGCGACGACACCTTCGACTTCCAGGCCATGGGTCGCATCTTCCTCGGTATTTGCCAGGTCGGTGCTTGGGGATGTTTCGATGAGTTTAACCGTCTCGAGGAGAGAATCTTGTCAGCTGTCTCGCAGCAAATTCAAAACATTCAGCTCGGCTTAAAACAAGGAGCCGAAGACGAGAAGGCCCAGACCGAGCTCGTCGGGCGACAACTCCGCGTCAATGCGAACACGGGTATCTTCATCACCATGAACCCTGGCTACGCCGGCCGATCCAACCTCCCCGACAACTTGAAGAAGCTGTTCCGCAGTGTCGCCATGTCCAAGCCCGACAAGGAGCTCATCGCCGAAGTCATGCTCTACTCCCAGGGATTCAATCAGGCCAAAGAGCTGTCCAAGCATACCGTCCCGTTCTTTGACCAGTGTGCGGCGAGATTGTCCAAGCAGGCCCACTACGACTTTGGTCTTCGTGCGCTGAAGAGCGTTCTTGTCAGTTCTGGAGGCCTGAAGCGCGCGAGACTCCTCGAGAGTGGCGGTAGTCTCGGGGCTGAAGAGGTTGTCGAGCCTGAGATTATCGTCCAGAGCATCCGGGAAACCATTGCTCCCAAGCTGATCAAGAGCGATGTCGAGATCCTCACCGAGGTCGAGGAGGCCTGCTTCCCGGGCGTCAAGTACGTCCCCGCGAACCTGCAAAAGCTTGAGGAGGCTATCAGGACCCTCGCAGACGAGAGACAGCTGGTCGTCAACGACACGTGGATGACCAAGGTTCTTCAGCTGTACCAGATTCAGAAGATCCACCACGGTGTGATGATGGTCGGCAACTCTGGCACGGGTAAATCCGCTGCCTGGACCCTTTTGCTCGATGCCCTCCAGAAGGTCGAGGGTGTCGAGGGCGTGCAGCACGTCATTGACTCCAAGGTCATGTCCAAGGAGGCGCTGTACGGAAACCTCGACTCCACTACACGTGAGTGGACGGATGGTCTCTTTACCAGCATCCTGCGAAAGATTGTCGACAACCTTAGAGGCGAGGATTCTAAGCGCCACTGGATCGTTTTCGATGGTGACGTCGACCCCGAATGGGTTGAAAACTTGAACAGTGTGTTGGACGACAACAAACTTCTCACCTTGCCCAATGGTGAGCGTCTCAACTTGCCTGCAAACGTCCGCATCATGTTCGAGGTCGAAACGTTGAAGTACGCCACCCTCGCCACGGTCAGTCGTTGCGGCATGGTCTGGTTCAGCGAAGATACCGTCACGCCAACCATGATGCTCGAGCACTACCTGGGCACGCTCCGCTCTAAGCCTTTCGAGGACCTTGACGAAGACAGCGTAGCCGCTGGGCAAAGCCCCGCGAAGGCTCTGGCCGTCCAATCCCAGGTCGCCGACCTCCTCGGTGCTTTTCTTTCCGGGGAGGATTTCCTCATGGCCACTCTCAAGGAGGCCGAGGGCTACAACCACATCATGGACTTCACTGTCGCGCGCGTGCTTAACACCCTGTTCTCTCTCCTGAACAAGGCAGTCCGCGATATGATTGAGTACAATGCCCAGCACTCGGATTTCCCCTTGGACCCCGAGCAGGTTGAAGCCTTCATCGCGAAGAAGCTTCTCCTTGCGCTGGTATGGGCCCTCACGGGCGACTGTCCTCTGAACGACCGCAAGACCTTCGGAGATGCTGTTTGCGGCCTTGCCAGCTTTGGAAACCCACCTCTCGACGGCAGCAGCTCACTCATCGACTTCGACGTCACTCTCCCCATGGCCGAGTGGGCGCCGTGGCAGAACCAGGTACCGACCATCGAGGTCAACACTCACTCCGTCACCCAGACCGATGTGGTCATTCCCACGCTGGATACTGTGCGTCACGAGGATGTACTGTACTCTTGGTTGGCCGAGCACAAGCCGCTGCTTCTCTGCGGTCCTCCCGGTTCGGGTAAGACGATGACGCTGTTCAGCGCTCTTCGCAAGCTTCCCAACATGGAGGTTGTCGGCCTCAACTTCTCCAGCGCGACGACGCCCGATCTCCTGATCAAGACCTTTGAGCAGTATTGCGAGTACAAGAAGACTTTGAACGGAGTCATGCTCTCGCCGACCCAGATTGGTAGATGGCTGGTTATCTTCTGCGACGAAATCAACTTGCCCGCCCCCGACAAATACGGAACGCAGAGAGCCATCTCCTTCCTTCGTCAACTCGTCGAGCACAATGGATTCTGGAGGACCTCGGACAAGTCTTGGGTTACTCTCGACCGTATCCAGTTCGTCGGTGCTTGCAACCCGCCCACCGATGCAGGCCGTACGCCCCTCGGTGCTAGGTTCCTCCGCCATGCTCCTCTCATTATGGTCGACTACCCCGGTGAGCTCTCCTTGCTCCAGATCTACGGCACCTTCAACTCTGCTGTTCTCAAGATAATTCCGTCACTCCGTGGCTACTCCGAGCCACTTACGCAGGCGATGGTGAAGCTCTATCTCGAGTCTCAACAGCGCTTCACGCCCAAGATCCAGCCCCATTACGTGTACAGTCCTCGTGAACTTACCCGTTGGGTACGAGGTATCTACGAGGCCATCAGGCCTCTGGAGACACTATCAATCGAGGGGCTTGTCCGTATCTGGGCACACGAAGCGCTGCGTCTCTTTCAAGATCGTCTTGTGGCTGAGGAAGAGCGCCAGTGGACCGAGGATGCCGTCCGACGGATCGCCCTCGAGCTCTTCCCTACCATTGACGATCAGAAAGCTCTCGGTGGCCCTATCCTCTTTTCCAACTGGCTTTCAAAGAACTACGTCCCTGTCGACCGCGAGCAGCTCCGAGACTTCGTTAAGGCTAGGCTCAAGACCTTTTGCGAGGAAGAGGTTGACGTGCCCCTCATTCTCTTCAACGATGTTCTCGAACATGTTCTCCGTATCGATCGTGTCTTCAGACAGCCTCAGGGCCATCTTATCCTCATTGGTGTTAGTGGCAGTGGAAAGACTACGCTTTCGCGCTTTGTGGCCTGGATGAACGGTCTCAAGGTGTTCCAGATCAAGGTGCACGGCAAGTACTCTGGCGAAGACTTCGACGACGATCTTCGAGACGTTCTCCGACGCTGTGGTTGCAAGGGCGAGAAGATTTGCTTCATCATGGACGAAGCTAACGTTCTCGACTCCGGTTTCCTCGAAAGAATGAACACTCTGCTCGCCAACGCCGAGGTCCCTGGCCTTTTTGAAGGAGACGAATTCGCTGCCCTCATGACAGCTTGCAAGGAAGGGGCCCAGCGACAGAACCTACACCTGGACTCGCCCGAAGAGCTCTACAAGTGGTTTACCCAACAGATTGTCAAGAACCTGCACGTTGTGTTCACCATGAACCCGCCGGAGGGCGGTCTTGGATCCAAGGCCGCGACCAGTCCCGCCTTGTTTAACCGTTGCGTGCTCAACTGGTTCGGCGACTGGTCCGACCAGGCCCTCTTCCAGGTCGGCCACGAGCTCACGCACTCTATGGATCTCGACCGGCCCAACTTCCAGGCGCCCGATTCAATTCCAGTGGCGTACCGCGGCCTCAGCCTGCCTCCCTCGCACCGCGAGACTATTGTCAACTCCATGGTCTACATTCACTACTCCCTCCAGAGATTCAACTCCAAGCTTTTCAAACAACAGGGCAAGGTTACGTTCCTTACCCCCCGGCACTTCTTGGATTTCGTCGCGCAGTATGTCAAGCTTTACAACGAGAAGCGCGAAGATCTGGAAGAGCAGCAGCGTCATCTCAACGTTGGTCTCGAGAAGCTTAGAGACACGGTCGACAAGGTTCGCGACCTGAGGGTCAGCCTTGCCGAGAAGAAGTCTCAGCTCGAGAGAAAGGATGCCGAGGCGAACGAGAAGTTGCAGCGCATGATAGCAGACCAGAGAGAGGCAGAACAGAGGAAGAACACATCCCTGGAGATCCAGGTTGCATTGGAGAAGCAAGAAGCCGAAGTGGCCTCGAGAAGAAAGGTCGTGTTGGAGGACCTCGCCAAGGCTGAGCCCGCTGTCGAAGAGGCCAAGGCCAGTGTTAGCAACATCAAGCGGCAGCACCTTACCGAAGTACGATCCATGGGTAACCCTCCTCAGGGCGTCAGACTAGCCCTTGAGTCTGTCTGCGCTCTGCTCGGTCACAAGGTCAACGACTGGAGGATGATCCAAGGTATTATTCGCCGCGACGATTTCATTGCCAGCATCGTAAACTTCGACAACGAACGGCAGATGACCAAGTCTCTGCGCGTCAAGATGCGCAACGAATTCTTGTCAAACCCCGAGTTCACCTTCGACAAGGTCAACCGTGCCAGTAAGGCCTGTGGTCCTCTAGTGCAATGGGTCGAGGCGCAGGTCTCATACTCGGAGATTCTGGACAGGGTCGGCCCTCTCAGAGACGAAGTCGACGCGCTCGAGGAACAGGCCCTGCAAACCAAGGCAGAGGCCAAGGCGGTCGAGAATACCATCAACACCCTCGAATCCAGTATCGCCCAGTACAAGACGGAGTACGCTGCGCTTATCAGCGAGACCCAGGCCATCAAGTCTGAGATGTCCAAGGTTCAGTTCAAGGTCGACAGAAGTGTCAAGCTACTCGACAGTCTGTCGTCCGAGAGAGTCCGTTGGGAGGAGGGCAGTAAGTCCTTCGAGACGCAAATCAGCACCCTCGTCGGCGACGTGCTTGTCGCCGCCGCCTTTCTGGCGTACAGCGGCCTGTATGACCAGACCTTCCGCAAGTCGATGATGGATGACTGGCTGCATCAGCTGCAGCTCTCCGGCATCCTGTTCAAGCCTCACAACCCTGTCACCGAATACCTTTCGACGGCTGATGAGCGCCTCAGTTGGCAGGAGAACAGCTTGCCGGTTGACGACCTGTGCACAGAGAACGCCATCATCCTCAAGCGGTTCAACCGTTACCCTCTCATCATTGATCCTTCCGGTAGAGTCACGGAGTTCTTGCAGAAGGAAAGCAAAGAACGCCGCTTGACAGTCACCAGTTTCTTGGACGATTCGTTCACCAAGCAATTGGAGAGTTCCTTGCGCTTCGGTAACCCCATCCTCATCCAGGACGCCGAGTACCTCGACCCCATCCTCAACCATGTCCTCAACAAGGAATACCAGAAGACAGGTGGACGTGTCCTTATCCAGCTCGGCAAGCAGCAGATCGACTTCTCGCCGTCGTTCAAGATCTACTTATCGACCCGCGACCCGTCGGCTACGTTCGCTCCCGATATCTGCTCTCGAACCACATTTGTCAACTTCACGGTCACGCAGAGCAGTCTCCAGACCCAGTCCCTTAACGAAGTGCTCAAGTCTGAGAGACCCGATGTTGACGAGCGGCGATCCAACCTCATCAAGCTTCAGGGAGAGTTCAAGGTTCACCTGCGACAGTTGGAGAAGCGCCTTTTGCAAGCTCTCAACGAGTCTCGCGGAAACATTCTCGACGACGACAACGTCATTGAAACCCTGGAGACCCTCAAGACGGAGGCGGCCGAGATCTCGGACAAGATGAACAATACCGAAGGCGTCATGGCAGAGGTCGAGGAGATCACCCAGCAGTACAGCATCATTGCCCGCTCCTGCAGTACTGTCTTTGCGGTGCTGGAACAGCTTCACTACCTTAACCACTTCTACCAGTTCTCGCTCCAGTACTTCCTCGGCATTTTCCACTCGGTTCTCCACGGCAACAAGAACCTCGCCAACGAGACGAACCACAACATCCGTCGCGACGTTATTGTCAAGGACCTGTTCGTTACAACTTTCAAGCGGACTGCGCTGGGCCTGCTTCAGAAGGACCGGATCACGCTGGCCATGCTGCTTGCCCAGGCTTCGCCCTACAAGATGGACAAGACACTTATCGACATCATCCTCGACGACCGCGTAGAAGGCAGAGACCTCTCCACCGACAAGGATGCCAAGGACGAGGCGTTCACCCGTGCCGGCCGCATGAACGTGCTCAAGGAGAAGCTTGACAAGGTGTCGTCCGCCGACTGGGACAGGTTCTTGACGGAGGAGCTCGCAGAGAACTTTGTCCCCCAGATCTGGGAGGACAACACGGAGGCTTTCGACCAGGCTCTGCAGTCCCTGCTTCTCGTGAAGCTGTTCCGCCTCGACCGATTCGTCCCGGCTGCCGAGCGCTTTGTTACTCTTGTCTTCGGCTCCGACACCTTTGACGTCGTTGAGGACCTTAAGGAGACCGTCAGCCAGGTGCCCGCTACCAGGCCGATTTCCTTAGTCTCCAGCCCTGGTTTCGACGCCAGCTACAAGGTGGACAACCTCGTCGAGAGGATGCGCATCAAGTGCACCAACATTGCCATGGGATCCAACGAGGGTCTCGCAAGTGCCGACAAGGCTATCAGCAACGCTGCGCAATTGGGCAACTGGGTCTTGGTCAAGAACGTTCATCTCGCTCCTACCTGGCTGCAGAGTCTCGAGAAGCGCATGGAATCGCTCAACCCCCACTCGGACTTCCGACTGTTCCTGTCGATGGAGTCGAGCCCCAAGATTCCTGTCAACCTGCTCCGTGCCTCGAGAGTACTCATGTACGAACAGCCCGCAGGTGTGCGCGCCAACATGAAGGACTCAATGACCTCCCTGTCGACGAGAGCCACCAAGGCACCTGTCGAGCGTGCGAGGCTGTACCTGCTGCTCGCGTTCTTGCACGCCGTCGTCCAAGAGCGCCTGCGATACGCCCCCAGCTTGGGTTGGAAGGGCTTCTGGGAGTTCAACGACAGTGATGTAAGTTTCCCCTTGGTACGATGTAGTTGAACGTGTACTGACATGCTCCTAGTACGAATGCTCGGCATTCATCATTGACACTTGGATCGAAAACGCGGCCGGTAGCCGCACGAACATTGCTCCCCAGAGTATCCCCTGGGAAATGATCCGCTACCTCGTGACTGAAACCTACGGCGGCAAGATCGACAACGAGGGCGACTTTAAGCAGCTCAACCAGCTGGTGCACTCGTTCCTGACACCTTCGGCCTACGATGTGGGCCACAAACTCGTCGAGGGCTCAGAGAACCAAGAGAGCAGCCTCGTCGTGCCATCGGGCACCTCCATGCAGGATTTCATGGCGTGGATCCGCAAGCTACCGGAGCGCGAGCCGCCCACGTATCTTGGCCTGCCCGCCAACGCCGAGAAGCTGCTCCTCGTTGGTCTCGGACGTAGCCTCATAAGTAACCTGAAGAAGGTGACGGAGCTGTTGGAGGAGGGTGAACAGCTCATGGTCGAAGCCTAGTGAGCTTTGCAGTAGGATGGGGAGTGGTTTGAGGGGTTAGAATAAAGAGATGCATGATCTTAAGACCGCGCCTGAGGAGGGAACTGTTTCACCCCCCTCCGTTTGTTAGAGGCTGCGCGTGCGTTGCGCCACCTTGTGTTTTTCGCTTTCGTCTGGACTGTGTGGGCGACATCGCCAATGGGTAGAACGGACTGCGTCGTCTTTTATACACTACTTACACACTGATACCCTAAATTTCTAGATTGGTACCCTGGTAGCTTGTTCTGGGTTTGCTTGCTGTACGAGGCGTGCTTCCATGAGTGACACGATGCTGCGCGAATGGCGGGAAGCTTACACACCGAAAGGCGGACAGCAACATGGCGACCGCGATAACATGTCACAAGCCAGCTTGCTTATGGGGTGGTCTGGAAGGTATGCATTGCGATGCCGCGTTACGATCGTCCTGAAGGGAACGAATAGCAAGCAAAAGCCAATGAAACACCGGCGATGGACAAAAAGAAAGCCAGGGAAAAGCATTCTATCCAGCTGCGTCAACACCATTCGTTCATGAGGAGCAGAAAATTAACAGGTGGTCACAGGCTGGTTGCGCTCTTGTAGCTCGAAAGGACGATGTTTCCATCCAGTGACTGCATACAACTTGAGCGCACCAAAATATTGGGGGGAGTGATGGACACTGCAAACAAAATCGGGAAATAAGGCTGAAAAGGGAGAGTGTGTGAAAATGGAAAAAAAGAGAGACTCATGGAACATTTTTCATGTTCTCGACGACCAACCTGGGACTCGAACCCAGAATCTTCGGATGAGTTTGTATTCCTCATAGGAATCCGACGCCTTAGCCATTAGGCCAGCCGGCCATATGGATCTAATTGCTTTTGTTGGGGGTCTCGGGTGGAAGTTGGGCCTAAGTTTGGTGTGTGTGCGTGCGCGGTGGGGAGGGGGAGAGGGTGGGGCCCACCCTTGGGTTGGAACTCTTCTTCCGCCGCGTGGCCGCAGTCTCGGGTGCGGATTTCTTGGAAACGCAGAGGCCTCCGAGAACGTGGGTGCGTGGAGCGCCGGTTCCCGTTATGACGGAGGGGTCTTTCCGGCGGTTGGTCAATGAGATATAGTGCGGGAGATCGGGATGCGTCCGGCATACTCGAGGGTGGCTGAACAGATGTGGATCAAGCAAACCAAGAGGAAGTTTGTGTCGGGGACATTGGAATATCGATGGGGTGTACAGCGAGGTGACTTTCTGCGCAAACGGATCCCCTTGTGATAGAGGGCTAATAGCATCCCGAATGAGCCAGCCCCAGGCTCTATTTCATCTGTATGCACCGAAAGCCGTTCATGCCCCAGGCATGCGCCTGGAAGCCTGAGATGGCATTGCTATGCAGGCGTGAGGGGCGGCTCTTGTGACTTATTGGGATGCATTCGGGTTGCGCTAGATCATATCCCTGCTTTAGTACTCCGTAGACGAGACGACTCTGTCCCAGTGCTACCAGAGAGCATCATGATGCCCATCAAGGGCGGGCCCGCGGTCCAGAGAACCCAGCAAAGTCTTGCCCAAGTAAACTCACCCTCGGTGCCTTTGCCTCCCCACCCGCCCTCGCCAAAGCTCGTCACCCAGACCTGATCAGGCTGCTAGTCCACCCCCTCGTCCTCGTCCCCGGGAGCTCGTTTGCCATCTCTCGTCTCCGGCTCGAACCCGAGACAGACGGCCGTGGCGTAGTCCCCGTCGTGGCTGATCGAGACCATGGCCGTCTGCCCCGGCTCGCCCTCCCGCTCGCCCCGGATGATGGCCACGGGCGGCCCGCTGCCGTTGGGGTTCGCCTTCCCTTCTACGAGCGCCCGCCTGACGATGGTGATGTCGTGGAAGGAGAGCCTTCTGAAAGGATGCGCCTTGAACGTGGCTTCTTTCGCGGCGAACCTGGCTTCTTTGTCAGTCTCGTTATTACAAGTGCGAGTGAGCGTAGGCGGGCCCGTAATGGAATATTGACGGCGGGTAGCAAAGCTGATAATGATAGTGGTGGTGGCAGTGTATATGTACATGTGCGAGCTTACCTCCCAGCTACAAAGGTTGCCCGTTTCCACAACAATGGGTTGTGCTTCTTTAATGCTTGAAAATCCCCGTCTTGGCTGGACTCCAGTTTGATCGTCGATGCCTGACCTGACGAAGGGCAGGCAGGAATTAAGGTGCGCTCATCCTTGGTGAAGACGCGCTGGAGGAACCTCGCGCCTCGGTCACTAGCCAAAAGTCGGTATACACGTGAGACTTGACATATGTCGGTCCCGATATTCAGGGGAAAAGGAAATGGTCTCGGTGACACCATGAGTCCATGAATAAGCAGTCGGCGCGATTGCACGATTCAGAGGACAAGATGCTCAGAGGCAAACGGTAGGTAATTGATAGATTCACTACCAAGGTGTTCGAGAGAAATAACGATTACCTACTAAGACTAGTAATGTATGCCGATAAGCATGGTCAAAGCGATAACGATACCGATAAGACTGCCGATACGTCATCTTTCAACGTTTGCATCGCTCAATCAGAATCACAACACGGGGGTAATTACCGTACTCTGCGGATGCGTAACCATAAATAATGCTATGTACATACCACACCATACAATTTCGTCGTCGTAGCAATCTCTCGGTACCACTACTATTTTGAAGCCCGCAATTCTGCCACACGGCTTCTCGGCCATAATCTCCACTCCACCACCTACATCTGTTCTTAGCTCGAAGGGTGCCTCAATCATCACAAAGTCCACTTCATTTCCACATGTTTCGCGTTATGCTTTTGGTGAAAAACTGGACGACTTTACTGGTCGTTGGAGAGAAGAGGAGCGCGCTCCTGGTCGGCAGGGGCCGAAGAGCGGCTCCTCCAGGGGTAGTCCTTGCCGCTCGCAGCCGGGTAGGCAACGACGATCGTCGAGACGAACAGGACAGCCATGATGGTAAAGGCAAAGATCCACTGGAAAGCAATGAATTGACGGTGGAATTGAGCAACACCAATGGCGGCAGCCAGAACGCTGAGAGAGAAGCCAATGGTGTAGTCCTGGGGGTTCAGGTCAGCAGATGAACGAGCAATACGGGATCACCCATCATACCTTGTAGGCGACGATGAAGAAGCCACCGTAGACGAGGATAGACCAGATGAATATGTTGCCAAAGATGCGGGCAACCAGGCTGTGGGGGTGAGGGACCATGATGGCACCGTTCCAGTAGATAGCCACAAATGTCCACGCCAGAGGAGCAGAAACGACCGGCCAGTGAATGAAGCGCGGGTACGTGTTGTGACGGAAGTACAACGACGACAGGTTGGCGAAGTTGATCAGCAGAATGATCTCGGCCCAGACAAAGTGGGAGCGGACGAAGAGCATGACAAAGGCGAAGTGCAGAAGGTTGTTCAAGATAAAGTGGGATCCAACGCTTGCTGCAGCATTGACATAGTCGCTATTGCTCGAAAAAAGGTGGGCGACATAGCCAATTTGCAAGATGAATAGGACAATCCTGAACGCTGTTAGACCCGAGTATAGCCCAGGGGCTGTTCAGGCTCACCAGTAGATGTCAACGATGACCGAGTTCAGTGTGAAGGCGGTGGGGTACAGGTAGTTCTGGTCCCAGATTCTCCTGCGAATCGTGAAGCCATCGCGGGGCTCGTTGACGGTGTAGTAGAGGGTGACGATGAGGGCCAAGAGCCAACTCAGAATGGTCAGGACCTTGTATGTCGTGATGGTCCTGGCGCCATGAGACTCCCTCTTGGAGAAGGGGTTCACTGGGTTCGACAGAGGGTTAGTCTCGAAAGGCAAGAGAGCATTTGACAGGCAACTGGGAGAACTTACGGGCGTGGATGCGCTCTGTTGCGGTGGCCATGTTGAACGACGGGTTGCCAAACTCTTGTGTGTTCGTCTTGGGTATATCTCAATCAGCAAACGGGTTTTATTGGTGTTTGTACACGACGACGTTGCAGGAGGGCGGTAGCTTGGAAGTGGAAGAAGGGCTTGAGTTGGGGGAGGGCCACAATTGGCACTTAAGAAGGGCAGGAACGGGAAACTTGAAAAGGTGGGTGGGTGGTAGGTGGGACGTTAAATCTGCGGGGAAGCAACTCGCCACAAGTACAGAAGGGTGCAACGAGGATGCATGAGGCAGGTACCTTTTCCTCTCCTGCAAGCAAGTGCGTCGGTGTTACAATCTTGGCAGAGATGGACTCTCACACTGCCACACCTTTTACGCTCCCAGCCACGGCATGCGGTGTCCACCTCATCAAATAACGGATTTAGCACGTGTTTTTCAGGCAAAGCCTTAGCAGTCAACCCGAACGTTTGTCCAAAGTCCAAGGTTGTCTGTGCCGGGAGTATAATGCAATCCTTAAGCGTCACCGAAAGGAAAAGGCTTGGGAAGGAAGGGTGGAACATGGACCACTGGACAAATGAGATGAGTTGGTTTGAGCGTGCTTGTCTAGCCTGCCTATCAGGCTGCCTCCCCCTGTCTGCGGTAGGCTACGTACAGGCTGGCTTGGCCGGCCGGCTGGCGCCTTGAGCATAGCATAGCAAGGTACCTAACATCGCATCGCCGGTTGGCTGCACTGTACAGCACGCAGATGTCATCTATGGATGATCTGCTTGGTCAAGAATCCTTTTGGAGACGCGAGGAAGTAGGAGGTGCCCATGTGAGCGGTTTGGATGGGGATCGCCCCTGCACTTCGTGGTTTAGCAACATGATACAATGAGCCAAAGCTTTGGTACGTAGTCATTGAACAGGCTGATCTGGACGTATCAACCCTGCTTGTTTGATACGATGGTACGGAGTAGGTACATTGGCCACACACCGGGCCACAAGGCAGGTAATGATGCTGGCGTCAGAGCTAGGTCGGTAGTCGTGTTCATCCAGCCATCCGAGTCCGTTCGGCGGAACCTGTATCAAGGTAGGTATCAATAGGACGGATGGAATCGAGTACCATGGGGCATCCGCTTTGTATCTGTACCTCAGTTCGGGCTTGGAAAGTGTCTTGGTTGTGCATCGTTCCTTCCGAGCCCCATTGTGAAACGGGATGACTTGGGGGTTGAGGCGCTAGGAAAGGAGGATAGGCAGCAACGATTATATATTACCTGCCAACCTAAACTACCTAGGTGCTAGGTACCTGAGTAGGTAGGTATTGGAAGAGACGATGTGAAGCTCAGAATGAGAGTGATGCCGCCAAGCGTTGCGCAGCAAGCCGCAGATGTGGAGTGGAGTGTGGAGTGGAGTGGATGGGACAGAACCTTGCAGCTACAGTCCCGACAGGGGTGTGAGGCCCCGCGGAAAGTGATGAAGGTGATCCGTGATTGGGTCATCCTTGTAAAAGTATGACGGACCTCGATGTCAAAGAGAGCCACCCTCTTTCCCGTTCCCAAAACTATCCCATCTTTTCCTGCAACCCAGTGTGCGGCTACATACGGATACACCACATTCACATGTACCAAACGACGGACGACAACCACGTCCGCTCGTTCAGTGTCTCTGGCCAGACCCCGACAACAGTCACTGCTTGGGCCATGTCCGTCCAGTGATGGAAGGCCCATGCTGTCGCACAAAATTGCTGTTTTCCCGCTTGTTCTACTGAGACACCCTACCCAAGCCGACCCGCCAATTGCAATGGCTCGAGAAGCAGCCCGCCAGCCAAGCCAATGCCTCATACCCAATGGCACAATTCTCTTTCCTCAGTCTTCTTACTCTCCACAGCACACAAGGACGCCTATGTGTGGGTGCTTTGTGCAGTCTTTGCTGGAGGCCCTTCGGGAAGCGACCCCCCCTGCTTGTCACCTGTTGGCCTTCATCATCATCACCTCATGCCTCCCCGTACAAGATCCAAAGCGGACGCGCTGCGACCAGATGGGGCACGCTTTGCTCTATTCTTGGCAGCTCTGCGGACTAGCTACCTGCTTATGTAGAGCCAGTGCTCCCTGTTCTACAGTTCTAGGCCCGTACGCGGCTGGCATCGACCCAAGGACCACGTCTGCACAGACATACGAGGTACCGGTACCTCTGTCTAGTGGAGATCTCACCCCCCCCCCCCCCCCCCCTCCACGTCACCGCACCATTTTCTCCGGCCGCGGGGCTAAATTGCGGGGCACATATCAACTCGGATCACCTGGACACCCCCGACACACCCGAGCTTGATGTCGTCCTGCACCTCACCCTCACGCCCGATGACAGCATCCGCGCTTCAACCAATCCGGTTGTCTGAGAGTTTTGATCCGGCTCCTGCCGACTGGTTGTCACGAAAGTAAGGCACTGGTTTAGACATGATTTGGTTCACTCATTAAAGGGAGAGCCCATCAAGACGGTAGCAGTTTCTCAAGGACGTGCCGCGAGATCAAACTAAGTTGCTTCATTCGGCGGCCCGCTGTTTGATTCATCGCCTCCTCTATCATATTGTGTGCATCGTTGTACGTATACTACACTACAGTCCACTGTTCCCGGTCCCCTTTCCCTTTTCCATCTTCCCCAAACGGCCCTCGTTTTGATCCACGGCCCTTTGTCGGGGAAGGATACAGCTCCCCAGGCCAAATAATCGTTTCTTTTCTTTTTCCTGGATTATTCATCTCCCGTCTCGCACAACTTGTCCAAGCTTCTTGCTGTTCTGTGGCGTGGCGGCTCGTCATCGAGAGTTCGCGTCGCCGCATCCACGTTGCCTTCGTCCCAGAGACACAAGCCTGTTCTGGATGGAGTCTGATTTTGCGCGTGTTCCTACCGTAGCCGGTTCATGTTGTGGATTGTTGTCCAGCTTGTAAGTAAATGTTTGTGTAGACATGCGGTCCGCATTCCTTGGTGTGTCGGTCTCCGCCGACCTGACGCCGACGTGTCATTTGGGCTATTGAAGACTGTGCGCGTTACGGCTTTGTTGTGATGCATCTTTTCAGTGCCAGTGCCTGGCTGTCTGTGAATTTATCGATGAATTTCAGGTGATTAGTGGTGCTATGTCGTAAACGAGTGGCTTGGTGGAGGAAATCCCATTCTGAGCTCACGAGCCTGCAGGCCTTCTTTTGCGAAGCCTCAAACTCGTTTTAATGAGGTTCCGACCCCAAGCCAGCTATTGGCCGATTGAAATGGATACTGGTGATGATAGCTCAGCAACCCTATGCTCATGCTCCAGTGATTTGGGGTTTGTATATTTGAGGTTGTGGCTTTGGTGTTCAAGTGGAAGAATTTTAATTCGTCTTCACGCTTGGACAATGACAATTGCTAGCCCAAGGGCGGCAGTTCTGGAGTCGCAACTCGAAGCTCGGCTGGGCGTTGATTGGTTGCCAAAGCTCTCTGCCTCTTCTCTTGAGGACATCCGGTCGCCGTCATGAGGTGCGAGCTGGTAGCCTTGCGGCATGAGCCCCAAGTGTGGTAAGCATGGTGGACCGCCAGGCTTTCTCGCAGCTACGCTGGGCAGAGGTTGGCCGTGGAGGGCCAACACGCCGAAGGAAAGAACAGTCTAAACGTCTCCGGGCACAATGGGCCAATCTCAAGCCCCTCATTTGTAGTTTGTATCCCGACAAAAGCCTTTAAGAGGTCATCAGCCATCCGCGGGAGCAGGACATGTTTGTCGTCGCGTAGGCATCTCTGCCATTAAACAATGTACCCCGATATTGGAAGAAGCAAGTGTCAGTTGGTCTACGGACTGGGTATATGGAACTACAAAAAGCACAACAGAGGAGATGATGGAACGCAAGAGACTGTTGGTTTGTAAAGACAGGTTTTTTTGCATATGACTTTCACGCGACGGGAGAGGGGTGTAAGCGGAAGGATCGAGGTACCATATAGACCTCGACGATAGCTGTGAAATCTCACTAACGCTCGATTCTCATAAGCTACATTGGTATAAATAGACCGCCCCTTGAGCACCGACAAAGATACAAGTACATGATGTGGATCAAGCAAACCTAGCAGATCATGTCTACGAATACAACTTTTGTTTACCACTCTGCCCCCACATCCATTGGGAGCCCGATGTGATGGAGAAGCATTTCAGCCAAGCAGCTTCGCAATATCCGCCATACGAGTCTCCTGGGTCTTCTTGCCCTTGTTCTTCTCCTGGAATGCCTTGCCCACAAGCGTCCGCTTCTCGTGCTGGATGTCTAGCACACGCTCTTCAACGGTCCCCTCCATGACAAGACGCCACACCGTCGTTGGCCGCTTCTGCCCCAGACGGTGCACGCGGTCTACGGCCTGGTCTTCAATGGCCGGCGCCCACCAGCTGTCGGCCAGGATGACGGTATCCGCGGCGACGAGGTTGAGGCCGACGCTGCAGACGGCCAAGCTGGCGAGCATCACGCGCGTGTCAGGATCGTGGTCTAGGGCGTGAATGGCGGCATCGCGCTTCGATGCCGTCATAGACCCATCGATGCGGGCAAATTTGTATCCTGCCTCAACGAGCTGGTTCTGGATGATAGTCAAAAACGACGTCCACTGTGAGAAGATGATGACCTTGGACTTGGGGTCTTTGGTCGTGGCCTGGAGGATCTTCAGGAGGGCTTCGGTCTTGGAGCTCTTCGCGTCGCCGTCAAAGTTCTCATCATTTTCTTCGCCGCCTTCAGGGGCGGGCTCGAGTAGTGCGTCTTCTCCGAGCTGGTTGCGGCACATTGGGCATTTGTGCTGTGCCTCAATCACCTTGGAAATGCATCCGCGGCAGAAAACATGTTTGCAGTGCGTGATGACGGGGTTGTTCAGAGTATCAAGGCAAACGGCGCAATCTTCCTGTGTCTCGATATAGAGACGCAGCGCCTCTTGCAAGATCTTGATGTTTTCTGAGTTTAGAGCGACGACGGACTGGCCCTCGAGAGCTGCAAGGAGATCGTCGATTCTCTTGCGGCAAAGCGTCCAATGATTACACCTAGATCTGGGTCAGTCCGAGTACTACTGTCAAAATCGGTCGTTCCTTACACCTGACGCAGGCGAAGGAGCCGCTCCAAAACATTTTGGAACTGGCCCTTGACTCCGCTGGCATTGGCCTGATAATCTTTCAAGGCCACCTGTGCTTCGGACCTGTGGTTTTGAATTAGCAGTGTTATTGCAGAATTCTTATCCGATCGACTTACAGCAAGGCGTCGTATTTTCTCTTCTCATCCGGTCTGAAGGCAATGCGGTGGATGTATTCTTTCTTCATTGGTAGCTTGAGATCGATGAATTTCATGTCCTTTTTGCGTCGTAAACAGAGGTCCCGCATCAACAGCTGGAGAAGGGCTTCGGCTGTCTTGTCACCCTGCGCGAGAGGCCGTGCAATAACAGTATTAAAAATAGCAGGCTGTTCGACACCTCCGGTGATGGAAAGAAACTGCAGCAAGGACTGGAAGTCTTTGACGTTGTTGATGCTGAAGATCGTTAGCAGAGTGTTCCTAGAAGCGCACGTTTATGTAACAAATAGGATGGAGGGGTTCTGACATTGGCGTTCCCGTGAGCACCCATCTTGACTGCGCGTTAAGTTTTCGGGCGGCAACAGCAGCTTTCGTTTTCGCATTGCGTATGATGTGGCCTTCATCAAGTACGACTCGTCTCCAATTTGTAGCCATAAGCGATCCCATCGGCGTCTCATTCTTTTCTTTGCCACCCTCAGTTGCAAGCTTGTTGTAACTAGTGATGACAACCTGGTACTGGGCCAGCTCATTCTTTGTCGCCCTGTTGCTCCCGTGATATGTGAAGATCTTCGGCAGATGCTCTTGCTTGACGTGCCTGTGAATCTGTTGTTTCCAGTTACTCATGACGCTCAACGGGGCAACAATAAGAGTCGGGCCAGGGCCACCGGTCAAAATCAGGCTGATGACTTGCAGCGTCTTGCCGAGACCCATATCATCAGCCAATAAGCCTCCGGAAAGAAGCTTTGGTGGATTCGACACCACAAAGTTCGTCGCCATATTGTACATGCCACGTCCTCGTTGGTCCCATTTCCACAGTTGAATGCTTTCCTGAGTGCCCTTGGCCGGCAGTCGAGGATTCTCCTTAGCCATCATCCAAGCCAGACCCTATGCGCGATTAGTCCCGAGCTATTGTTTTGAAGCACTTGTCGTGCTTTACACTAGCTGTTGAGCTCGCGGAAGAACGCCAATGCGCTAAGAGCGTAATCTTACCTGTAACTGATACGGAAGCAACGTCGACTCCAGGACAGCAGGTTGCTCTGCCATAGGCATCTTGGACAAGAAGTCTTCATCTACGACGAATGACCGTACCGCGTCTCCACGGGGTTGGCCCTGCATTGCCTGACTGGCTTGCGCTAGCTCCTCCAGTGATAACTCGGGCTCTGCCGTGCCGCCATCCAGACCAACTGTTGACTGACTGCCCTTGATACCCAGCATCTTTCGCTGGGCATCGGCCTCAGCTCTCGTCTTCTTGAGCTCGCCAGCTTTGATAAGCTTGTCTTTCTTCAGCCTTTCTTCTAGCGCCAGACGGTCGATGCGGTTGCTGGTTCCATAGATATGTAGACGAATGGGGCAGTCGAACATGCCCTTCTCTCCTGTGAGAATTGCTTCTATCGCAATTTCATCCCGGTCCTGGTTCACATGTGAGTAGGTTACCCTGTCAAATCAGTCGAGGAACGTACAACATATGGCGCCAGCTTTTCCACCACTTTGCGCGGCAAGTGGCCAATCTGAACGCCCATGACATTGCATACCCGAATGGCATTCCGATCGTACTATAGTTATTTTAGAAACATCCTTGACATGGGCAGAGACAATATCCTCGATGCTCTGGATCCCCTCTACAAAGTACGGCAGTAATAGAGAAAATAATACCTGGTTGTTGGGCTCTCGCAGGCAAACGACGACCTCGCCAGGAGAGGCATAACCATTGTAATAACGCACACCAACGATTTTGTTTTCTAAGTCGTCATATTAGTTCAGAGAAATCAAACAGAAGCAGAGGCACAATACCGAGAGTTCCATAAAGCTCCCGTAGTGGGCCGTCGGGAGCTTGAGTCAAGTCAATTAACTCCTCGTCGGTGTCATAGTATGTATGAGCTTGAGACGAAGGCCCCGTTATGACACCGGGGCTGACAACTGGCTGAACGTTGAATCGTGCATTTCCAACCCCCCTGACGCCTGCCTGGCCGCTTAGAGTTACCGGACGGTTGCCAGACGCCCTTTTTGTCGGCCGTGGGGTGGAATCGCCGTCGCTGTCGCTACTAACGAGATCGATGACGGGAGGACCGCGCTTCTTGGGCGGCATCCTCAATGCCGAAAGCTCTGGGCCTATTCCCGGAGCCGGATTGGGGCTAATACTGGAGCAGATTGGGAAAGTCGTTAGATTGGTAAGATTTTAGGTCGGTACCGAGCACTTCCACATTCGGCTTCCCAGAATCAGTTTCCCAAGCAGACGGGAACCTCATTCAACACGTCTTTCGCGTCCTGCTTACTTAGCGTTTGGGTGGGTAGGTGGGGGGCGACGTAACGATTTGTTTTAGGTATGGAGGATGTGGATGGTGTATGGGGCTTGATTTGTGGCTGATGATGATGGAAGAGTGGAGCTGGACATGTCGAGCACGCCATCGTGGGGAGGTCCACATCAGCCAATCACCACCTGTTGACAAAATCACGACATTTCACGTGACCAGATTCGGGGCCGTTTGGATGGTTTCTGGCCAGCAACGAGGACTTTGCGGCTCTTGCGCACTTACAACCTCACTTCGTTCGGATTTTCCAGTCTCAAGTGTTTGTCTGTTGAATTTGCTACCCTTTGGTGCCCGAAATACATACGGAAACGCAGCAGGTCGAGCTCCTCGTCAGCATCTATCCCTCTACGTACCGGATAGAGCACTCATTCATCATCAGTCATCAGCCTGCCGACATGTGCTCTTCGGCTCTCGGCATTCTCAGTCTTACATCAAACAGGACGTCTCCAAGCTCGGACAATCATCAAAGCCAAATATGCGAACCCCTAGAACGAGATAGAACACCGTCGGCACTCTCACATCTACTGCTTCGGTAGTCGGCGGCCGTACGCCGAGTAGTAGCCGCACTTGGCCACATGGCTGCGCTTGCCCGTCTTCTCGTTGAAGATGTTGCATCCCCCCTTGGCGACGTTGGGAGGGGTGTAGACTACAACATGGTCAGCCGATTCGTTACAGAGTCGGCCAAGCAAGACCTACGGTGAAGGGACACAGCGAAGTCGCTGCCCCTGTTGCAGACTCGGTGAACACCAAGCTCATCTGCCATGTATGCCACCGCATTCTCCTTGTGTGTTCTCTCAGAGATGACCTTCATGGGTTGTTCTGCGTCGCCTTCGGGGAAGGCATATCGGATCTCAGTCAGATCGCCTTTGAGGATCTTCATGAGGCAGTGGGCATTGCCGTGGTCGTGGATGGGACTGCCCTTGCCTGGGGTCCAGACAAGCACAAGCTGTGTCGCGTTAGCCTGATGTGTCTGCCACGAAGTCGTGGCGGCGACGCCTTGTACTCACAAGGTTGCTCTTGCCGTTGCCCTCATCGACAAGGTTGCGGGTGTATCCCATGCCCTTTTCTGCGAATGCAAATTGTACCCATTCGCTCTCTCTTGTGTTGTACTCTTCCATCAGCTTCATCAACTCCTTGACATCGACATCTGCTGAATCCAATCCCGACGACGGGCCAAGTGCCTCTTTCAATCCCCACACGAGCTCATCGAACCGGTTGCCGTCGTGCTTGAGGTCACGCCCAAAGGCAGAGGTGATCTTCGTCAGGATATCGAGGGCCATGGCTACGGACACTATCAACTACGTTGTTGCTCTGGATGGTGATGGGCTGTTGGGTAGTCGTGCGGGGTTTGGCTCGTTTTGCTCGTCGATAATACGATTCTGCCCGGTCACCAGGACTGGCGCTCAATACCTGATGGAAATGGGCGGGTCTGGCGGAACTACTGGTTGATCCGACCTCGGACAGTGGGTCATCCTATCGTTCCTGTTTATTGCCCTTTGAGACAGTGTCAATCTGGCCACGTTACCAGAGCATGGCTTAATGGAGCGACCATTTCGACGGTTGGCGGATAAGTCTCCAAAAATACGCGCTTCTGGTTGGGCGAGATAGCCACTTGCAAAACTCAAGTGATCCTGGCAAAGCCGCTGATAGGCGAAAGACGGCCCGGATTTTTCAGTGGTCAGATGGCCAACTATAAGACGAGATGGTCCTGCTTAGCGTTTCGCGGTTTGAGATTTAGCTAAATATCAACATAATGACATGCCCCTTTAATGCAGTGATTGCAAAAAACAAGACGTTTGACACAAGCAATGCCTATTCTCTGTTCTATGGCCCGGGCCCGCTCTGCTGGCGCTGACCGATAACCGCTCCAGTCACCTGAGCGGGTCCTGGCGGGGCATGTTGCCGAAAACGGCGAAGGGGTCCCTGAGCACTTCTCACTAGGGGTACTCAGTGTGGATTGGAGAGAACGGCCGTCACTATGGCGGAAAACTGCAGATAGTTCAACTTGAGCTCAAGTTCCTTGATTGTTCTCTTACGGGGTATGCAAGTAGGTTTCGAGTTCACAAGATGGTGAAACACTCACATTTTTTCTGCAATCATTGGCATGACGATATTCTCACGGGCACCTGCTCAGGGCCTATGGTTTGACTCCTGAGCCTGGGCCCCGTTACGTCTTGGCGACATGCATAACGGTACCATATGCCGTATAAGCCGTCCCCAAGTACTTGGTCTGGCATTTAGCACGGGATTAAACGAAACTGCCCAGAGCTTCGAGTGGTATTAATGGCTTCCAGTCTTGGTCCAACCTTTCGGTTGCAGTGACACTCTCTGAGGGCGGCCTAGTTGCTCAGGTTCCTACCACCCCATATTGTTCGTTCACCGTATTCATCGTATCCTGCATCTTTTGGGACATCAGTATTTGCTTCTCAAGCATGGTCTCCGTACTCTAATTTCATCACCTGACCGCATATAGTCTTCTAACAAAGGAGCCTATCGTTCCCGTCTCTCTGTCATCGGGCCTCTGATGGTGGAGGTTCACCTTCCCGCTTGGCATGTTGGCGACTTTTATAAGCTTGCTTCGGTTAGGCGAATAGTGCAAGCCCTTTCTATTGACCGACTCGCTGGATGTTCTCTTTCCGTCCTGTCTTAGGTTGATAATTGCTGTTACAACATTCCATGAGTCTAAATCTAGCGAGATCTTCTCCGCACCCTGTTTTAGAGACCTAAGGGACTGGCAGACGCGGGCTAGTTCGTATCGAAGAGTCTGAGCAGCTGGCTAGGGCAGATCTTGTGCCAGGTTCCATGAACCCACCAGATACTCCTAATGCAAAGCCTTTCTGAAGTCAATAGCCTTATGTCGTACTGTCGTTTTTGGATTGCATTCGGGGCTTATACCGGTTTAAACAACTTGTTCTTGAGGTAAGAGCGCCAGAACATTACGATCTTGAGGACATGCTTGGGGGGCATTGGGGCCATTCCCTTTAAGCACTGGTCTCTATCATCTAGAGAGGTATGTTTGGAAGTGCAGAGGGTTTGTTGTCTACGTGTTGCGCTAAGCGATAGATAGTCAACAACTGAGGTTCCCGAAGAGGCTAATGGCGGGGTCCGAGGTGCAGGGCAGATTCTGTGGCGGGGCACCACCAAAGAAGTCCAGGCGCAGCTGTAGGAAAGTTTGAATAATAATTGCAATTGCAGTCGCACCCACTGGTCAAACCCCGCTACCGCCCAGACGCGACCTGGGAGGACACCAGCCTTTTCGCACTTTCCGAAGTGACACAGCACCCGCGCAACAGCTCGGACTCGAGCAAAGCGCCGCTCCATTGACCTTACAATGGCGTCCTACCTTGAACCTGCGGGGTTCAAGGACATGCTGAACAGTAAGTTGCATTCCCTCTCGCGTGACTGCCAACGGGTTTGACGTCCCTTGTGCTTACACTCCTTTTGTACAGACGCCCACGATGCGTGGCAGCAAATTCGTATTCCCGTAATTCTTTTCGCGGCTTTCGGCTTGCTCGTTCTACGTTTCTATCTACACAGCACCAAGGAGAAGGGAGAATTGAAGGCGATCCCCAAGGTCTATAATAGAGAAGAGTCTGCGACCAAGCTTGTAGACCAAAAGAAGGAGGCGAAGACGGATGGTGAACTCAGCCCGCCGAGCCCTACCGCCGAGCCGAAAGCGCAGAAATCGAACGGACCCAAGAGGATAAAGGGCGGTCTAGTCAAGCGAGCCACTTCGGACTCATCGAGAGGAGAAGCCCTGGCCCGCAAGATAAGGCCTCTAGTCTTCTTCTCAAGCATCACCGCAAACACGTCTAAGATTGCAAAGGAATACGCAGAACGCCTCGAAAAAGAGCTGCAAAAAGTCGCCACAGACACCAACTGCTTTTTCGCTACGCCCGAGGTCCTCGATCTTGCCGAGGTCGACTTTGACGACTATTTCATCACCCCGCCCAAGTCGGAGGAGGACCCTGCCGAGCTCTTCTACCTCTTCCTACTGCCGAGCTACAACATCGATACGATCAACGACACTTTTCTGGAACACCTTCAGGAGACTCACCATGACTTCCGCATTGATACTGCTCCACTGTCTTTGCTCCTTGGATACTCCGTTTTTGGCTTTGGTGACAGAGAGGGTTGGCCGACGGAGGATGACGGTTTCTGTTTCCAGGCCAAGGAGGTCGACAAGTGGATGGCCAAGTTGACAGGCCGGAAGAGAGCTTTCCCCGTAGGGATGGGTGACACGAAGAGGGACTACACCGAGCGGTTATCCGAATGGTCCGAGGGCGTCGTTGATGTACTCGGCATGCTGGCCAAGACGGGCAGCTTGGGTGAGGGTCTTCCCGGAAGTGGCGCCCCGGAGGAGAGTGACGACGAATCCGCGGAAGAGGATGATGATGAAGTTCTCATTGAGGACTCGGAGGCTAAGCCCGAGAAGCTGAAGAACCGCAAGAATATTGATGACGTCGAGGACCTGGGCCGAATTATGAAGAGCTCAAACCCGGACGCGGGCACAAAAAGCCGCACGGTGGCGGCACCCATCGCCGTTGACTTCACAACGTACGGCAAGACAGCGCAGAAGAAGACGCCCACATCCGTGGTCAAGGAGATGGTGCCAAAGAACTCACCCACCTACGCATCACTCACAAAGCAGGGCTACTCCATTGTAGGCTCACACTCAGGCGTTAAGATCTGCCGCTGGACCAAGTCGGCTCTCCGCGGCCGCGGCTCTTGCTACAAGTATTCCTTCTACGGCATCAACTCGCACCAGTGCATGGAGACGACGCCTTCGCTTTCGTGCTCTAACAAATGCGTCTTCTGCTGGCGTCACGGCACAAATCCCGTCGGCACGACCTGGCGCTGGGTCGTCGACCCTCCAGAGCTTATCTTCGACGGTGTAAAGGCCAATCACTACAGCAAGATCAAGATGCTCCGAGGAGTTCCTGGTGTTCGCGCCGAGAGGTTTGCTGAAGCCATGCGCATCCGGCACTGCGCTCTCTCCCTCGTCGGCGAGCCCATCTTTTACCCTTACATCAATGAGTTCCTCGGCATGCTCCACGCCGAGCGAATCTCCTCTTTTCTTGTCTGTAACGCCCAGCACCCGGATCAGCTTGCCGCCCTCAAGGCTGTGACGCAGCTGTACGTCTCCATCGACGCCTCCAACAAGGAGTCTCTCCGCAAGATCGACCGCCCCCTGCACCGGGACTTCTGGGAGCGCTTCCAGCGGTGTCTCGATATCCTAAGGGAGAAGCGCTTCAAGCATCGCACCGTCTTCCGCCTGACCCTGGTCAAAGGTTTTAATGTCGACGACGAGGTCGAGGGCTACGCTCAGCTCGTGGAGAAGGGTCTGCCTTGCTTCGTCGAGATCAAGGGCGTCACGTACTGCGGTACCTCGACGGCGTCCAACGCTGGCCTGAGCATGTCCAACGTCCCCTTCTACTGGGAAGTAGCCGAGTTCGTCAAGGCGCTAGAGAAGAGGCTCAACGAGAAGGGTCTTGGGTACGGCATCGCGGCGGAACATGCCCACAGCTGCTGTGTCCTACTTGCAAGTGAACGTTTCTATGTCGATGGCAAGTGGCACCCGCGCATCGACTACCAGCGCTTCTTCGAGCTGCTGGAAGAGCGCGGCCCGGATGGTGACTGGAGGCCGGAGGACTACATGGGCGAGGCGACACCCGAGTGGGCTACCTGGGGTAACGGCGGTTTCGACCCCCGGGACGAGAGAGTGGACAGAAAAGGCAGGAAGATTGAAAGGTAATCAATTAGGGGTAATGAGCACAGACAGGAGGTTTGGGCCAGCCACGAGATTTCTGGGTCAAGACTTCATGAAATCGTGAAATTTCATAGACTTACCTTCTTGCCTAATTCGTCCCTGTCTGGATCATCAATATACACGTGGTTTCCTCTTACAAAACCTTCTATCAAAACAGCCCAGCCGGCCAGGTATTGTACATTGAAAAGTCATAATTCCTCCCTCTTTCTCGTTCTTTTCTCAGTATGCCAGGGATTACGGATGGATAATTGGGTTTCGCAGCACCACGCCACTTGATGGGGTAACTGCGTGTTTTTAGTCGGTGCGCCGGAGAGGAATTTCCGGTATAGGAAAAGTGAGAGTGGAGGGGACCTCGTTATGATGGAGAGTTGCTATGTCGAAAAGGATGTTCGTTTAGTCCAGGCCGACGGTGGGCAAGTTGCTGAAGTCGGCGTTGATGCCGCCCTGGTACTCGCCAAGTTTTAGACTATCGTCGTAAGCGATCATCTCGGCGAGGACGTCGAGGACGGGCTGGGAAACAGTCAGCGACAAACAGTCCAAAACAGCCACTATATGGCAGTAATTTCCATCCTCACCTTGGGGACAGTCTTGTCGTAGATGTTAATCAGGTCTTGGGGCGTAGGGTAGACCTTCAGACCCTTGTAGAACGCAAGCGCAGCGTCAACAGCGCGGGTGGCTGTATCATCACTATTGTCAGCAAATGATACTAGTTGCTTTGTGGAACCTTTCCGGGAGAGGTTGGACTGACGGTCTGCGGAGAGAGTCTCTCCCTCGGAGACCTGCTGAAGGAAGTAGGTCTCCTTCTCCTCGACGTCGGTAGGGAAACCCTCGTCCTTGGCGTCGTCGACGGCCTGCTTTAACGCTTGCCGCTGGCGAATAGTCTCCTGCTGGGCCGTTTCTTTCTCGGCTCTGTGCTGTTTGCGCTCGTTCCTGCGCAGTTCTCTTCGGAACTCGGCCTTGTTGCGGCGCTGGTAGTCGAAGTAGGCGACGTAGGCTTTTTCGGGGGATGGGGTTAGCAAGAGAGCTCCATGGCGCCAATGGTTTGATGGCTTTCAAATATCGGCAGAGCCGTGACCCGGTCGCTGGATGCGTAGGTGTCAAGGAAGACTCACCAACCAAGCCGGTAACGGCGGCGGCGACTGATGCCGTCACTATCGTCGACGTCTGGGACATTTTTTTTTGGAGATTTTCGGGGGGTTTGCGGAGGAGAGTTTGGCTCTGGAATTGCAGCAATGGATAGCTGAGGAATCGACGAAGCTTGCAGAGAGGTGCGCTCGGAGTGAGATATACTGCGCTTCGAAAGTTTGGAGATGATCGGAGAGCCGGGAGAGACAACTGGCGAAGTTTCGTTGACGGAGTGAATATCCAAGGAAAGAAGCTCTATCGGGAATCGATGGAGCTTCCTCTACCAATTTTTTTAGCCTCTGCGCCATTGCTCCCAGGTCGCGTTCTTTGGCTGCCAAGCAGCAGCCGCCGTAGGTGGGTCTAGGGGCACGGGCCAGTGCAAGTGGGTGTAACGAATCACCGAATAATCCACATGCACTCGGATCTGTTGTCCACTGGAGAGAGGGAGGAGGTTACGTAGTGTGATGAGTGCCGCGGTACGTCCCAGTCAACTGTCTTCGTCCAGGTCCGAGTACTATCCGTACCTACCTACCTAGACACTACGGATACCTACCTAGTACCTACTACCTATCTTGACGTCCAATGTGCAGGGTCCCTGTCTTCTCAACGGCCACCACAGCAAGCAGCTTCCCATTTCTTAGACGACAGACAGTGCATGAAACAATATCGACCTGACCCGACTTGCAACACCACGAGGGGGCTTTGTCCTCGCCCTTTCTACATCGCAACAACCTGAGCTATATGCGTACTTAGCGCCTCTCGATAACAGCACCTCCGCGCTTCACACCAACTCAATTGCCCAGCATGTCGGAGGATCGGGAGCGGAGCAAGATCTCCCTCCGGAGCGGCAAGCGGAAGGCTCGCCCTCAGATTAGTGCACCGCGACAGATCTCGGAACCCATTCTGCAAGATGGATCAGGCCCTGTACGGCCCCCCGACTCGAGGCCGGCGGCCGATGCTGGCCCCCCTCCAGTTCAGCCAAGGCTTCGGCCGCCGCCTCAAGCTGGAGGAGGAAAGGTAAGCACTCTCCCAAAGATGGTGCCTATGGAGTGCGGCATTGAGGCTTCAGGAGCTGATAGCTCGACACACAGACCTCGGACTTGGTGAAGCGACGATATTCGACGCGGTTTAATAATCTGCCGAACGACTTCGATGTGAACAATCCGCCGGTACCGGCCATGCCATCTCTTGACAAGTACGAATCCCGCCAGCGCAGAGCAGCACGCCCACCTCCAAGCCGTGGGGGTGACTCCGCCCCCGCTCCAGTCGTTGATATCAAGGCATTACGAGACCCCGATTTGGCGCCAGATCAATGTGAGTGCTCGGCTGACCAATGTCTGCCTCGCTTGCAAATGACTAACTCCTGAAAAGATGTCGCCAACTTGCTCAGTGAGGCATCAGAGGACCAGATCCGCGAGTTCGAGGAAAGCCTGCGCAGCCTCAAAAGCCGGGCCGATGCAGATCTGCAGCAGAACGTTTTGCAGAACCGCACTCAGTTCATCAAAATCAGCAAGGAGGCTGAGAAACTCAAGGGCGAGATGCGGGCGCTAAAAAACCTCATGACCGATCTCAAGGTCAACACGACGGCGCTGCGACAGGCCTCGAACAATGGGAACATTGAGTCATCTGACCTTGGCGGAGAGCTTACGACGGGCATGAGCAAACGGGACAGGCGAAGTTCGGTCGCCGATCGAAGCGCACTGTGGAACTCGCAAATGCAGGCACTTTACAAGAACGTTGAGGGGTCCCAGAAGTTCCTGCCCAACTCTGCCCGTCGCCACGTTATTCAAAATGCGGGCGCATGGATCGAGCTGGACAATGCCACTTACAAGTCCCGCCGAGCGATGCAGATATTCCTCTTGAGCGACCACCTGCTCATTGCCTCTCGCAAGAAGAGGAAGGCGGATGTGCCTTCACGTGAGGCACAAGGCCCCCTCGTCAAGCTGGTTGCCGACAGGTGCTGGCCACTGCTCGACATCGAAGTGGTTGACATGGCAGGGTCGAGCGATAATTCTACAACCAGAAACAAGCTAGCGGACGCTATCATGGTTAGAGGTGTCGGCCAAGAATCCGTCATTTACCGGACTGAAAAGCCCGAGGACATGGAGAAGAACAGCCTACTTCTGAACATTCGCAAGGCGGTGGAGGAGTTGCGCAAGGAGAGACAATCGGAGCTGGAGGCGAACAACAAGGCCAAGGAGACCATCAACTACTTTGCCTCCCGGGACCCGGGTCTGCTTCAGAAAACAGAGCTGCTGGAGACGCTATCCGATATCAAGGATATGCTCATCGAAGTCGATGGAAAGCAGCAGAACCTACGATGGGTAGAAAGCCAGATGGACGAGCTCGACATCGACATTGCGCTACAGAGCTTCGAGCCGGCCGTTGGCCGCGTCGAGAAACTCAAGAGCCTCGCCCGGGGGCTGAAGAACAACGTGGTGGCGCAGGACTTTATCAGCTTCAAGGTCGAAGAGCGGTGCGCTAAGTTGGCGGGCATGATCATTCGCGAGCTGGAAACGACGCACACTGCGCCTACGAAGAACAAGCGAAACATCAGCTGGTTAGCCAGACTGGGCTACGAGGACAGGGCTCGCGAGGCTTATCTGCTAGCGAGGCACAGCATCATCCAGAAGAGGTCGAGGTAAGCTGGGACAATGACCGCCTGACTGGAACTGATGGCTAACCTCATCTTTAGGCAATGCATCTTCCAGGGTAACTTGCACCAGTACATCTGGGAAGTCTCATTTGTTTACTTTTCACTCATCCGTAACACTGTGAGCTGCTTTCACGCATGCTTTCCCCCGCCCATGATGAGTGCCTGCGTCAAATGGGCCAAGGAAGAGGTGGAGACTTTCAATGGCATCCTTGCCCGTCAGCTCAGTGGTACTGAGCGCGGCGGCAAGGTATGGACTGACTGCATGGAGCGAGCACACGAGCACGCAAAGATGTTGAACGAGGTGCAGCTGGATTTCCGCACTCTTGTCGGACGGGACCTGGACCAGCCGTCGGGAGTTACCAGTCCGGTTGGCCTCGGGCTGTCGTAAATGGAAGTGCCAGAGTGTCTGCAAGTCGTTGAGGCACACGGATGATCCAAATCAACCACTATACTGTTTGATGGTAGATGAGATTATGGTCATGGTAATGGAAAACGACTGATTGGGCCAAATCTTGCGAGTTGCGTTTGGCAAAAGGTCAGGCATACGGTAACCTTTTAGATAGACGCGGAAGGGCCGCCACCACTGACTGGCATCCCTGGTTTGTCACTGTTTACCTGCGAGGGCGTTATTGATTAAAACGGATGAACACGGAGACTATGGGCTGACAGCGGTCCCAAGATGGAAATGGAAACAAAATCGAATGAGAGAACCGATGCAGCATGATTGAAGCACGTCGATGAGGTGAAAGTAGTTCAAGAGCACGTTAAGCTACATAGGTGAAGCAAGTGAGATCTTTTGGAGAAGGAAGTCTAATGCAGGAGTACCCTTATGCCGGGGTCGATGCAACAAGTGGGGGCACACTACGAGACGAGCTATTGCCTCAGTGCAGCGTATCGGGTTAAGCGAGTCCAGTCCAGTCCCAGGCCCTGGTTGACATTCAAGGCAATCTCTCCTCCAGCCTGCCCGTTCCGTTTGGCTTGTGGCGTGCCTACCTAGCTACGTAGTCCACCGTGCCACCCCCCCTCGCTCCTGCCCACCCTAATCTGGTCTGGCTACTGTACTCTGTAACCAGCTGAGCAAAGCAGAGCAGGCAGAACACCGCACCGGCACCACCTTCCACATCGCAAAAATCCCCTGCATGCCCAACATCGACGCCTTTCTGATCCGACCACATGCAAAGCAACAGTGAACATAATCTCTCTCCATCCCACACACTTGCGAATGCCTCCACCCTCGTTCATCCTTGCCGCCGGATACTCGATTGCAATTCTCTCTACTGTTTGGCCTTGGACAAAGCTCTGACCGCCTTTGACGATTTGCCGCCAGCCCCACGCTAGGATTGGGGTGCTGTGCTAACCTGAATACCGCGACCGGCCGCTGAAAACATAAACGTCATCCTCACCAACCTCGACTACGACGACGACGACGACGACGACGCTGCCGTACTTTGCATTCCACCTTTCCGCCATTTGTGACCGGTTGCTCTATCTCCAACCCTGACATTTCAACCCACTAGACGACTTTTAACATGGATACGAACATGGAGGATGTCGGCCGCGTCCCCGCCGATCTGCCCTCCGCCCAGAACCTTGAGCCCACCACGATCCCGACCCTAGATGGCTGGATCGAGAGCCTCATGAGTTGCAAGCAACTCGTTGAGGCCGACGTCCAGAGACTCTGCGAGAAGGTCAGTACTCACCTTTCTGAGTCGTGATGGGGATCGCGATGCGCGGACACCAGCTGTGGTCATTGCTGCCAATCGCCTTTATCGTCGCCCCCTCATCTCGAACCACCCCTCTCTCGCGTGATCGCCAGGGATGCTTTTCTAACATCGATCAACAGGCGCGGGAAGTCTTGCAGGACGAGTCCAACGTACAACCAGTCGTACGTTTCCCCGACAGTCGGGAAAGTGATTCGCGCTAACCCCCTTCCTGCAGAAATGCCCGGTGACAGTGTGCGGTGATATCCACGGTCAATTTCACGATCTTATGGAGTTGTTCAAAATTGGCGGTCCCAACCCAGACACCAACTACCTCTTCATGGGTATGTTGTTTCCGCGATAAGCTCGCGTCCTTGTGGATAGATTCTCACTCGTACCAGGCGACTACGTCGACCGAGGCTACTACTCCGTCGAGACTGTGACTCTCCTCGTCGCCCTCAAGATCCGATATCCGCAGCGCATCACCATCCTCCGTGGCAACCACGAGTCCCGCCAGATCACCCAAGTCTATGGCTTTTATGACGAGTGCCTTCGGAAATATGGCAACGCCAACGTGTGGAAGTATTTCACCGATCTCTTCGACTACCTCCCCCTTACTGCCCTCATCGACAACCAGATTTTCTGCTTGCACGGCGGCTTGTCCCCGAGTATCGATACCCTTGACAACATCAGGGCGCTCGACAGAATCCAAGAGGTGCCCCACGAGGGTCCCATGTGTGACCTGCTCTGGTCCGACCCCGATGACCGCTGCGGTTGGGGAATCTCGCCCCGTGGTGCTGGCTACACCTTCGGCCAGGACATCTCTGAGGCGTTCAACCACAACAACGGTCTTACGCTTATTGCACGTGCTCATCAGCTCGTGATGGAGGGCTATAATTGGTCGCAAGACAGAAATGTCGTTACCATCTTCTCTGGTGAGCTCTCCCTGGACCTGGTGATATGCCCAACGATTACTAACGCGAACAGCACCCAACTACTGCTACAGATGCGGTAACCAGGCGGCGATCATGGAAATAGACGAACATCTCAAGTACACGTTGTAAGTGCCCTTAAATACATGCGTTGCCAACAAGAATGGCTGCTGACCATATTTAGCCTGCAATTCGACCCTTGTCCGAGAGCCGGCGAGCCGATGGTCTCGAGACGCACGCCCGATTACTTCCTCTGATACATCTATTCAATACCCTTACCGCCTGCTCCAGAGCATTCTGGATGCTATCTGTGGACGCGATGCGAAAGATTCAGGGGCGGCGCATGCTCAACTTGCATTGGTGCTTGGGAGAGTCTAATTTTGTCAGATTACTACCAAAGCCAGGAAAACCAATGTACTCCCAAGAAAGAGAGATTCCGGTTGAGCGTTATGATAGATAGGGACAGAACAGCCTATGAAGCTCGAGCGCGAGCACGACCCCCCAATCGTCCGAAGACGAGTCCCAGGGTGTTCTGAACTCTGTCCTGTCATCGCGTTAGATACTCATCATAGACCGCCAGCTACAGAGAAAGTGTCGATGCTAGTGGCAAGCCGATGTTCCATCTCCCGTGTTCTAGGTACCTGCAGGGTAACTCGACATTCCAATGCCGTTGCTCAACAACCCTGTTCATGTTCATGTCAAATAAGCATAAGGCCAGCAGCAGGTTTTTCAATCATTATGTACCCGAGGATCGATCAAATCAGGCCCATCTTCGTCCTATCATCACTTATGGTCATGTCGACGCTTACGACTTCGTTTCTTGTCTTTACTCGGCCCTCTATGCGTTGACCTCCCCCTCGAATTCTTCTCATACACGCGCTGCCGAATAACCTGCCTAGTTACCCTGACGTCCCTTCCCCCGTTGATATCGATGTTGATCTCGTTGCTGATCTCCCCGGAGCGACTGCTTCGGAAGGAGTGGGTTCCACCCCCAATGCTGGGCAGATAGCTGGCCCGCGAGAAGTAGTCAGCCCTGTGCAGGTGACTACCTCGGGTATGACGAGAAGGAGCAGGAGGATGATGGCGGTGATGGCGATGATGATGGTGGTGATAGTGATGATGGCGATCCAAGTTGCCGCTGGGCGTGAAGTATTCCGTGAGGGACGAGCCATGTCGCTTACGATCGTCGACGTGAACGGTGATTCTCTCGTCAAGACTCGCGCGGAAGGTGAGGCCGCTGACGCGCTTGTAGGCATGCTGGCCCTTGATGAAGTCACCAGCCTTGCAGGCGCCGTCGGGGATGTGGAAGCGGAGGTCGAATCGCGAGAAGGCGTAGAGGAGAACGACGACGAGCTCGAGAGCGTAGAGGAAGATGTAGTAGCAGACCTTGTAGTGCCACCAGCCGGGAAACCAGACGGGACGGACGGCGTAGTTGGCGGCGCAGATGTAGACGGCGCCAATGGCCAGGAGGGTGGCAGCGGTGAGGACGATGACGATTTTGGCAGTGAGTGAGCCGTAGCCAAAAGGCTCGGGACAGCGGAGGCCAGGGTAAAAGGCAGCGAAGAGGACGATGGGGATGGGGAGCAAGGCGATGATGGCGAAGACAGTGGAGGCAAAAAGCTGGACGAGGTGGCAGTCGTGGAGTTCCTTGGGGACAAGGGTGTAGAAGCTGGCGATGAAGGCACTGATGGCGCAGATGAGGGAGACGAGGAGGAGGAAGTAGCAAAAGTAAAAGAAGTACACGACGGCAGGAATCCAGCCGATGTTGGGGTGGAGGCCACAGAGGAGGCGGTGGGCGAAGATAAGGGTGATGGCGTAGAGGAGGACGATGCCGGCGGAGGCGAAGATGCTCCCCGCGATGTTGAGCCGGACGTTCCACGGCTGGGTGGCCGAGGCGATGCGCAGGGAGAGCGCGATGATGCGCGTCAAGCAAAAGCCGACGAGGACGCCCGAGAAGAGGAACTTGTGGCTGCAGCCGAGGTTGCGGACAAGGATGAACAGGTTGATTCCGGCGGCGGCGACGAATAAGATGATCAGGATGATGCAGACTGGCACGTCGATGGAGATTGTCGGGACGAGGCCCAGCGCCGCCACCTGAGGCACGTAAGGGGGGCCATAGTCGTATACTGGTTGCTGAAAAGAGGAAGAAAGGAGGCGGCATGTCAGCTCTTATAAGGCCCATGATGGAAGGGGGGGGGGGGGGTCCACGAACTGGATACTCAACGGGCACAACCGCCGCCATTCTGGCGAGGCGCGATACCGTAGCCGTTCGCAGGGCGACGGAGCTGTGGCCGCGGTGGTGCGAAGGAGCTGTTACAGCTCGAGAAGGTTGTATCTCGACGCTTGGCAGGCAGTGCTCATGCGCCGGAAGGAGGGGAAGACGTCGAGCAACAGGAGCCACCAAGAAGGAAACAGTCGACGCTGGAATCCTGCTCGGCGGTCCTCGTGGACCCGGGGGCTGTAATTCTTATCATCGCGTACGCGAGACCTTGTTCGTCTCAACTTTTGCTGCTTGCCGCTAGCGTCGGCGAAGGGTGCGCTGGCCTTTGGATGTTCCGGCACGGACTGGAGGGGGGGAGGAAGCGGATGCGAGGTTTCAGTCGGTTTGGTGGCAATGGGGAAGAGAGGTGAGACGAGAGCTCTGAGTGGCCTCTTTCGCCGGGCCATCTGGCTTTGGAGTGTTTCTCGAAGGCGGAACGATGGTGAGTGGTGGACGTTCGTCTCAAGGATGGAATGGCTTTGGGGGAGGAGTCTAGATGACGGCACGTCGCCTCCCCACGTTCCAACGTCTTTTCTTTTCCCTATTATCCGTATTCGTCAACATCTTTAACAAGAGGGTATTTCAGAGTGAAAAAGACACCGCATCCGAACGTCAATCTCGGGAGAATCTGCACCTTTGAAAGGCGAGACTAGTCTGAGCCATACTTGCAGGTATCCATGCTTGCGTTAGTATGCGATCTGCGACATGCAGAATCTCTGGAGGCTTTGAGCTTCAAGGCAAAGGCGTCCTGCAAGCCGTACGTCGCGAAACGCCGTCCACCCAGACGCTGGCATGTCGGAGAAGGGGCCTACAAAGCAAGCGCCCACGTCGTCACCGGTAACAGTCTTGAGTTGAGCCATCACACGGCAGGCAGGCTGTGCAGTGGAAACACGTTTCCCCTCGGCCTCGTTTACCCCTCCTGGGACACTTGACGTCGGTAGTCCGCATCGTCTTGCACGTGCGCTGCTGGTTGCTGGTCCATCGGAGCAAAAGTCGATGGCCGGGGGACGCACCCACGGACCCTTGCGGTTGGAAGCAGTCTAGTGCCGGGGTTTCGATATGAGAAGCTTATTCAAGAGGGGGCAGGGTGAGAAGAATCCGTGTTCGAATATTGGATGGGGGAATCCAACTCAGGATTCATCACGATGTCCCGTGTTAGGCTAGTTGGACGAAGGCGAGTCGGACTCCTTTAAAACTTTTCTGCTTCCTTGTGAGCTGTGGACGTTACCAATACAGCATCTTGGCAACTCTGAAAGCCATTGTCTCTTGTGGATTAACTTGACATCAACAAGCGTATCAACCATCTATTGCGGGAGGGTTGGTAAGCTAGGGATGCGTCTATGGAATCGCCGTCTCGGATGTAGCATTTGGAGTTCCGTATCAAGACAGAGCTGTGGTGGGTTAACCGGCGCGATCTGACCAGTATCTCGGCAACGTGTGTATCGTAACTTCTAGCTTGTTGAATGGGTAGCTGTGCCGCAAATCTGATATCGCTCCGAGTTGCCCGAGTTATTCGCGACGCCCTTCGGATGCGCCTCCTACTCCTCAGTCGGTTGAACAGAGTTGATCATCAGGGTTTCAATGCCGCGCCAGATCAGACCGTCGCGCCTGCTGTTCCAGCAATGGGCAAGTGCCACGTCCATAATTAGCAGAACCGGCGGCGGAAGGATGTGAGCTATAGCAGTAGTTTTGGTCATTTGATGAGGTTCCCGTCCAGCCCGTTTCGCCGCTAACTCGTGACGTCTTCCCAGTTATAGCTTGGTACAAGACGAACATTCGCGAACTTGAGAGTGGCGGTTCGTACCTAAGCTTTTGCTTTCGACTTTCTTCGTGGCATGTTCCCAACTACGATAGTGCCAAACTTGATCGAGTGATAACTCTTAGTCGCCGTCGTTACAGTCCGAGACCAGCCGGATCCGCTACCTCACGTGTGCAATTCTCATCGACGAGGTGCAGGACCCCGCCAGGCTGGCATCGTCAAGTCAGAGGCCGTAAGGCCAAGAGCCGGTCGCACAGCCAAGACTTTGCCCCTTTACGAATCAGCCGTCAACGGGTCGTTGTTGGCTGCTGTGGGGGCGTTTTGGACAATTGCCGGTGAAGGGCATATCAAGATCATAGCGCTGTGGAATAGTCGTTGCAACCGCCGAGAACTATAACAAAAGCTTGTTAAAACAGGAGACCAATCAGACGTCGTCATTGTGCAGTGTGGAATCTCCCCTTGTGACAGATCGGAGGATGAGCTGGCGCATCTTGGACTCGCATGAAATGCTGTTATTAAGTAATAATCATGGGCACATGTGTCCGACTTCTGGGTGGTGCCGAATGGCAAGTATCCATTTCTTTTGACTATACACACTCGGTACGTATCCCAGGCGGTCCCTCCTGGTCACATATTACAGTCGGTTGAACATGGAACAAGAATCATGCTCAACACTAAACCCCACAATGGAAGGTATCTAGAAAGAAACGTAGTACCATGGAATCTCGCAGCTAAACCTCCCTATCAGCCACATAAACAGCAGCACGTCGGCATAGTCGTACACCGTTCAGTGTACCTTTCTCCCGTTGTTTCCAAGCCGTTGCCCCGCAAACAGCAACTACCGATGGTCGTTTCTCAAATTCATCTCGAGTTGGACTTTGTTTCCTGCTGATAGCAGGACATGTATACGGTACTCGGGGATGTGATCCAGTTCCTATAGGCATCGCTGGTGCGTGCTGTATCGTATGCGGCGAGCAACGGCCTCAAGTCGATCGTCGTTTGTTAGTCTTTAGAGTACAGCGGGCACAAGGCGTTCGAGGCCAAAATTTCAAAGACCCGGGGATAGACTCGCCACGCCAGCATGGATTTCGAAGAAGAAAAGGAGACGCCCGTCGCCCACGCTAGCCCTTATGTAGACGTCGATGGAGATCGAATGACGAGGCAAAGGAGTCACGAACTCCAACGGAGGAGACATGCACGTTCGATGATTCTACCAACCCTACGACTGAGAACCATGGCACCGGTGTCTCAACGAACAAGGGCGACTCAAAACCGTAGCAAGTCTGATTGGGCATGGTCTCTAGTCGTCAATCGCAGCAGGCAGGTCCATCTCGATTCGGGCTGGGTTTCAGTGGTTGTTGTCCCCGACAGCCACCACAACCTTTGGGGAAAGATAAACTTCCCGTACATATAGGTATAGAATGGTTGACGTAGCACGTAATGAATGTACCAGACTACAAGCGACTGGTGCCTTTGATGCATCCACATTCCATTGCCAACCAGTGTCTATCTAGCCTTCTAGCGCCGTTTTGGTTGCTGGAGGCGGGGAGGGGGTTGAAGTCGTTGTGTCCATAACGCCGTTGGCATTATTGAACTTGCGGACAGCTAGTTGTTATTGGGCGGGTCGTCCAAACAGCATGTTCATCCATCACGGGGAAATAGTGTAACCTGACACAGCGGCCAGGCCGTGTCCGTGCCATGCAGGATAGGTACCGTATCCTGTCTCTCGAGGTCCGGACTGCGTAGAGCCCGGGCGGGACACATCGCTTCTTACACTACGGATACTCCGTAGGTATCTGCATTTTCGTATCTTGGATCAGTGATCGATACGATCCCCCTGCTCAGTGCTCGCCATGCCATCCCCGCTCCCATCCTGAAGCACTGTCTCGCCAATCAAAACATGCCATTTCTGGACATGAGACATGGGGGGGGGGGATTTGTGGTAATTTCGCGTATTGCTTGCTTCGCTTTGCCGCGTGGCTTGCTCGCCCCGATAGTTTGTTGGGCGCGGTCTTCGCGTTGCTAGGCTAGACCGTTGTGTTTATGTGTGCTTTGCTCGAATGGAGGAGATACATACCTGTAGTTCGATACCGTATCCTCTGGCTAAACTGACATACCGCTAGTATTCGGGCTAACGGCAAGTGGTATCGCGGCCGCCAATCAACTAAGCCTATTACAGAAGGCAGTCAACCTACCTATCCACCCACCTATCCACCTAACTACCTACTTGCCAGCCAGCCCACGATTAACTTTACTAGCCTATTAACTTCGCTAACCTATGTTATTTATAATGCCTAACTGCTAGCCGCTAGGCAAAGTTAATCTAAATCGTACGCCTTAACGTAAGATAGGTAAAAAGCCTCTACCTATTATAAAGTAATAATATACACTAAAAAAACTAATTTAGTAGCTTTAGAGGTCGTACTAGTAATTAAAGTAACTTAACGTACTAATATACCTTAAGCACTACTAATACCTATCTAACGCTACTTATACCTACTAACAGGCTAGTAATACACCCCTTAACCCTACTAACAGCCTCTACTACCTAAGTTTCTATAAAGCTACTACCTACTTTAAAATACCTATTATAATAGTAGTTAACTAGTACTAAAGATAATTAACTATTATTAGCCTAACTATATAAGAATATTAACTATAATAGCTAGTAATAAAAGCTAACCTTTTTAGTTACTTTTAGTAATAATAAGCCTATAATAAGATAGTTACTACTAAATAGTTTAAGCAGGAGGCCTAAGCCTTTTTTACTACTAGATACCTTAACACCTTTATAGCTAGTAACCTACTTACTTACACTTACCTCTTCTAATTCTTTACTAGCTAGTTTACTAGCTTTCTTAAATAATATAATATTTTATACTACTAGCTTATAAAGTAAGCCTTAAAGCTACTTACTAAATACCTTACTATTATTACTAACTTCTTTTACTTTAACTAATAAGTTAGTTAGCCTTTATTAGCCTGCTAGCCTATTAGTAGCCTCTAATTTCCCCCTAACTATATTATTAACTTTAATAAGACCCCTATACCCTTTAAGTATCTTAATAGGTTAACTTAGGTAGCCTAAGGGGCCTATACTATAGCTAGTAAGACTAACTATAGTAGCTAGAGTAAGTAGTAAGCTACCTTAATCCTTTATATCTTTACTAATAAGATTTAATAGCTACTACTTAAGTTAATTTTTTATAGCTAGCTAAGTAGCTACCTTATAGTATATAAAGGTAACTTATATAGTAATAAAGTAATAGTTAAGTATAATAATATAGCCTATAATAATAAATATCTCTTTAGGTAGTAGCTAACTAATAAATTCTTTCTTTTTATAGTAAGGTAAAAGTATTTATTAGTTATAAACGTTACTACTTTTTATAAGACCCCTATAATACTATTATAACTTTACTTTTATTACGTTACACTAAGCCTTATACTACTTAGTATAACCTCTCTTCTTTAACCTCTAGATACTACTATTAATAAGCTTTTTAAGTAGTAGTTATTTAAAGTAACTAATAAATATATATAGTAAATAAAATAAGAAGCCTACTAGCCTATCCTACTTATCTAGCCTATTTAGCCTATCTAGCCTATCTAGCTAGGCTAGCCTATTAAGTAGTCTATATTAATAAAATAAATTATAGTTACCTATATAGTTATAGTAGCTACCTATTACCTAGCTAAAAAAGGTAATATAGTCTAGTAATTTTTTCTTTAGTATAGGATTAGTACTAATCTAGATAGAAGTAATATTAATAAGATTTAGATTAAGGACATACTAAATAAGAAGATATTATAAAATAGATAAGATAACTTTAACTATAACGCTTATATAAAAAAAGAAATAACCTAAAAAGAGATACCTAACGTTAATATAAATAATAACTACTAAGAGTATATATCTCTAGCTAAAGACGTCTAGCAAGCTATTAGAGGCAGTTTAATAAGGCTATAGGAAATCTAGTAAGATATAGAAGGATAGGAGGAAATCTAATGCTAATTTAAAGTCTGTTTGCTGGCCCTTGCTACCTAATTTGCTTCTAACGTATATAACTAACCCCTGCTTTTACCACTTCCAGATCCCTGCTTCTGCCAGCCCACCATGCCCCTTACGGCGGCCGCAATACCACTTGCCGTTAGCCCGAATACTAGCGGTATGTCAGTTTAGCCAGAGGATACGGCTTGGTTCGGTCATTCTGCTGGATGACGAGGATGCCACAGGACTGGGGCTGTGTCTGGTCTCTCTGCAAGTGCAGTGCGGCTAGTGTTGGTACCTGCGCAAGTTCTTTGAGGAAGGTCTGAAGCCACATCGCAGCACAGCGAACTCGTTGCTCCGTGTTGCCGACCAAGCAAAAGCAGGGCACGGAAGGGGGCCAATGGTGAGGTAGGTGTTCAGCGTTGTCCCTGACCATGTCGTGGACCGTGCATGACTGGGAGGGGAGGACCCCAGGACTCTTGTGTGGATTGAGCTGAACGGACGAACGCGAAAATGGATGCCGACGGCACTTGAGCTTTTACAGCTTGTAGATGTAATCTAGTTGCGCGGGTTGTCATTCTTCAACATGTTTCGAATCTAACGTGGAGGCGGCTAATTATCACGTATAGCCTGCTCAGTAGGGTCGGAACGGAGCAGGGACCATAGCCCGTTGTCTGTCTGGCCGCCGTCAAACGCTGTGACCGCCGCTTTAGGCTGGGAGACGACTCGAAACTTCTGGTGGGAGAGAGAGTTGTTGCAGGCGGAGTGGTGTGCAAAGAAAGAAAGCTACAACCACCGGGTACAATCGTTGAGGCTGAATGGCAGTGACACGAACCGGCGCGAGTGATGGCAAGAGAGCGTCAACGAGGAGACTGCTGGTCTCGGATCAACGGTAAATGTAATTCGTAGTCCACGGGCACTTATTTGGCCTTTGCGCCAGCAAATCCTCCCTTTGTCCTCGTACTGACTACGCGGATCTAGAGAGCCGGCGGTATGGTCCCCTCAGTCACAGCTCACAGTCGCGTTGTCTTGTTCGAATGCAAACGGTACGGTACGGTACGGGCAGAAGATGGTTGCCGGCGCTACGACGGTTGGATACCAGGCGCCCGGGATGAGATCAGGAGAATGACCCCGGGCGACCCAGATGCTGTCATGTGTCAACTGGCCTGTTTCAATACATTAAAGTGATGATTCGTGGAAAAAGAGGGTTTCTGGATATGGGGGGAGACTGAGGACAGTCCCTAGGCAGCGGTAATGAAGGGGCCATCATGGCCGGCAAGACGGGGGGGGGACTCTGTCGCCAGGCTCACTCGCCTGCTCCGCCAATTCTGAACAACGGTCAGGCCGCCTTTCCTGTTTCTGATGATTCCGGTGGCCGTTGTTCCTCGTGCGGGCAGGGATGCAGGGATGCAGGGGGTATGCAGGCGGTGCTTCATCAGGTAGGTGCACATTCTGTGGGTAAGGTACGGATACCCAAGGTACATACCGGCTGCTCCTAACACAGCTTTTCTAAGCAAGTGCGTTCGTAGTGTATCCGTAGGTATACTATATAGGTACAGTAGGTAATCTACACCATCTTCGTACTTGTCTCTAAGCGACCATCGTACCCACCCAGGCAGGCATGGGCCGGGCTGGAATGGCATGTTCTCCCCCGAGTGCAGAGCCCACTCACAGAGTTCACAGAAGACAGGGTCTCTTGGCTCGATCCTTCTCATTGGGAAGAAAAGTCGCGCGGATGTGCTCGTCGGCTATAATCCCACCTCCTATGGATAGCGCGCAGAAGGCAGGCCCCCAGCCTCATTCCAGCGTGTCTTACCGGGGCCCATGCCCTCCCCGGCCCGCGTCCAGAAAGAAGTGTGATCCTTGCCAGAGAAAGAAAGGCTACACCCTCTTTGTTCCGCCTTGCCGCCGCGTCCCTTAGCCAGGTACAGATTCGAGGCCTAGCTACTAGGTACCTGGGTCAAGGTCAAGGTCCGGGGTTATGAGTAAAGACGTGCCTCCATGATAGGCTGTGCCCATGTCCCTCCATTTTTTTCTTCCCTAATTTCCCGCCGTCCTCTTCCCGAACCTGTATCTCCTCTAGAGTCTTCCTCCCCTTTCCCTTTTCCTTTCCCTCCCGTGCGTGTGAGTGTGTTGCGTCCCTGTGCGTGGTTGCGAGCGTCGTTCCGCCCCCAAACAACAACAACAATAACAACAACCTCATCATCATCACCATCATCATCGACTGCTCTCTCCCTCCCTCGTTTCCACGAGCGCCCGCCCCGACCCGTCGGCTTATTCTACTCCTTGAGCCTAACTACATCCCCCTAATTGTACCTCTACCCGAATATCGCCAGTCTTTTCCGCCCACCAAATCCACTTACCCTCGTTGAGTCTTCATTTCGTCCCATCTGCCAAGTTGCATCTTCAGCCTCGGAGTCGACCTTCCTGCATGCACCGGGCTTGCCCTACGACCGAATTTCTCACTCGGACATATTTGCCAATACGTCAACCGCGACCCTAATCCGAGTGCCCGTGTGCCCGTTCGTCAAGTTCCTTCCTCTGTACCAGCCTGTCGATCGATACCAATTGTCTGCCCGCACACCCAAGCAAGCCCGCTTCCTCTGCTTTTCCCGTCCGACAACAGCTCCATTGTACAACCTGGCCTATCCCACCGACCATTTGAACGTCTGGAAGAGCTAGCTATTTTGTTTGTTTTTCCTTTCTTGGTTACGACTATCAACTCGTCAAACATTTCTCGGAGCCACCCTCCAGCACTCTTTTACTGTAGCCCTCCCGTATCTGCGGCAGACGCCGTCTGAGTTGGCCCGCGAACGGGCCTACCGACCCCGAGAGCGGCGAGACCTTGGAAAGACGGTCATGAACTAGGCTCCCTCTTGGTCAACAACTTTTCCTCGAGGCCTCCCAAGTTGATGGCCGCCATCCACGCGATGATGGTCCCGCCAACCACCCGAAAAGAAACCCAGACGTCAGGAAGACGAATCATGGGTCAAACTGCGAGGTCGGCGCTTTTGGCGATGCTATCTGCCTCGGCGCTCGTTTCAGCACAGTCGAGTTGCGTCTCGCTCCAAGGGTCAACCACATGCCCCGCTTTCAAATCGGCCTCCATTTCGACAACAGGCTTCGTTGCGGGAATCTTGTAGGCTGACTGCCATATCTCTCTCTGCTGTTGTCCGTACTGACCTGCTTCGCCAGCCCTTTTTTGCAGTTTGTCTCTGACAGGGAGACATTCGATAAGCAGATGTTGTCCTATATCGACACAACATACGTGCGGGAGAAGTTAGTCTGAATCGCTCACAGTTGTATTCAGACTTTGCTCACATTTCGACAGATATCAGACATTACTTGGTTGCAGCAGCGTTAATCTTACAAGGCCGGATGAGTTGTATGCCCGGTTCACCACCACGGTCATTTGCAACGCCATCGTTCAAAACTCGATAGATGCGTGCAACTTGTCTGCATCCGACTCGCGACCAGTCTGCGCAGACACATGTGTAAGTATTTGCCATCTTGCTCATGTCAACCCCTTGTTAACGGCTTGGACAGGCCGAATACGCACAGGGCGAGGCATTGCTCACCTCGGACACCAGCCTCTGTGGCACTCCGGGCAACAACTACATGAACCAGATCCGAGCGGACTTCACAAACTGCGCCCTCCCCGCCGACTCCCTCTCATCGTCAAATTGCATTCAAGGCGTCTCCAATGAACCTGACAACTGCGGCTTCGGCAACAGCACTGTCGGGCTCTGCTCCTACTGCTCATCTGGCGGTATTAACTCCACCGACACATGCTGTTACAACTCCGACATCGACAGGCGATGCGCCGGTGTCACGCTGCCTTCCATCTTCCCTACGGTAACGTTCACCCCTCCGACAGCGACCGCGACCGCGACACCCTCGAGCACGGCAGCCGCGGCCGGAGGTCTCTCAGGCGGTGCCATTGCCGGTATCGTGATTGGTAGCGTCGCTGGCGCTCTGCTGCTCGCTGGACTCATATTTGCGTGCATTCTGCTTGCAAGGAGGAGAAGGCGCGGAAGCCAGAGCGGCAGCATTTTCAATCAACCCTCACCGTCTAGACAAGGGCCCGCTACGATTAAGATACCGCCGAGCCAGCCTACGGTTGGGTACGAAGTCTTACCCGGAGGTCGCATCGCTCGTATGTCGGCTTTGGAGAGCGCCTCGGATCCAGCCCTAGCACCCCCCACTCGCAGCAGCGGCCCTACGGCAACTACCGCCGCTGGAGGAGCAGCAGCCGGTTACATGGCAGGCAGGAGAAGAGGCGACGACCAGTCTTCGTCCGAGTTTGGAGACAGTCCCCAGTCGGACACCAGAGCTGGCGTGCTGCGACCTCCTCCAACTAATATCAGGAGGACAGGCTCCTTATCAAGCAACTCGGTTCTCGGAGATCCTCAGTCGCCGACGAGCGCCGGAATGTCGTCCCCTCAAGGCATGGCCAGTCAGCAGTCGGAGCAGCTGCCCTTCTTCAAGGACTACTACTCCCAAGACGATATTCACCCGGGTGATAGGGTCGCCACCCTTTGGGCCTACCAGCCACGCGCACCGGACGAGTTCGCTCTCGAACGAGGCGACATGCTCAAGGTGGTCGGCATTTGGGATGACGGTTGGGCGACGGGTATTTTGTTAGACGAGCATGCGAACGAATGGGAAGCTCGACGTCAGGCCCTGCGAGACAGTGGCGTATCCAACACGTCTGGCCGACATGACCCCTCACCGCCTGTCAGCGGCGAGATCAAAGCCTTCCCCCTTGTCTGTGTCTGTCTGCCACAACATTGGAGGAAGACAATCGAGGGCGACGTCTCGACCGAAGGCTCCAGTGCCCATCAAGGTCACCCATCGTTTTCGTGAGATGCAAACAGAGCTTTATGGACGTATCATACGCCCCTATCACAACGGCTGCCTTCTCAGCATTGGCTACGGCGTTCGCACATTGAGCTAGCACTCACTGCGACATACAAAGACGACCGATTCCCTCGAGTGAACCCGATCAGCAACTCCTTTCGAAGCATACATCACAGCTTCACGAAAAGACCATCGGGTCAACTTCTCCGGGGGTCCTTCTCTGCACATACACACGAGATAAGCACATTTTCTCGACGACACGCGCTTAATGTCTTTAATCTTGGACGAACGAAAGTTTTCTTCTTCAACGCGGCGTCGCTTCGGATCATGATGACCGCACGGAGGCTTGATGGATCAACTCTGGCACCCGATGCGAGTTGCTTTTGACGAGATCAAGATACGCGATTCTAATTTATGACGACAATGCACGCACTGTGTCCTCCCCTTTCGATTTGACAATTCGACTTATATACCCATGGTGTGAAGTGTTGGTGTTCGAAGAACAAGAGGTCGGGGAGGGCCTCTGCAACCTGACTAATGGTGAGTTGATTCGGCGGACAGGCTGGGGCGTCCGTGGTCGTTCTTGGTCCTGTCAGGCTAAAGACCAGATGATGGGCGAGGACATCAAGACCAGAGCAGAGTTCCGGAAGGGGGGATAAGTTTGGGAACATCCGTAAATATCTCATTCACGGCAATTCCGCCCCAAAACCCATGTTGCTACACTTGGTATCGTCACATTATTCGGGTTCCCTTCAGTATCCTCCTAGGCAACTACTCAATTTACCTAACCTGACCACCAGAAAATTCTCTCAATGCAGTTGCTTGCCTTTATCTGATTGCCTTGTAAAACACAGACCGTATGTCTATACTCACGCCGCCAATACTACCCTATTCGGTTTTAGCTACATCCGGGGGATGAAACTCAGGGAGTCACGCACACTTGAACAGCTTGATCCAGGTCTTGTCCCGTCCTCGAAGTGAGTGTCTGGTTCAAGTGATGCAGTATCTGTAGATAGGATGGATCCATTATGATGTTGAGTATCGGGCATGATGCTTGTACCGTGTTTTGCTGGCTGTGCTAGAGTATCTTTGTGTACCTATGTGACCTTGAGAGGGACCGCCTTGGATACGTATTTTAGTGGATAAAATGTAACATGGCGCTGAGGTATCACCGGAGCTGCGGCCAGAGATAAGAAGGGGGGGCTTAGTACGGATAGTAGAGAGGGGTTTTCGTGTTTGGAGACGTCCCACAGCGAGAATAAAACAGTTGAGCTAATTATCATATTATGAGGTGCTCTATCTACCCTTCGCCATCATTTATGGAGCTACCTGGTAAACAATGAACAATCAATGTAAGGGGGACGGTCTATTTAAGTAACCATCCGGCTTCATCGCGGATGCGCATCGAGCTGGCAACTTGATTTCTCTAGCCCGGGCTCCTGCTCCAACGGGATTCTTCAACCCGCCCCCCTCCTCCCCTCTGCAGCGGCTGGTGGGTGCAAGGAATGGTTCGAGTTGTGAGCATAACGGTGAAACGAGCCTTTGACCATCCTGATCCTATGCTCTGCCTGTACTGTGCTGTACTCCTTGTAAGGGATCAAAAGGCGTCTATTGCCGAGAAAATGGAGGGGACCTCTCTCGGAATCGCCGAGGGTTTTGTAGTCATTCTCTGACCCCCACTTGCCGCTGATATGTGCTTCCATCGGTGCTATAAATCGACTAGGCCGTCGCAGGGCTAGTCCATGTTCCGACTCCCACTTGCTCTGACAGACGATCTGATGACCTTCACCTCATCAGGCTACCTAGTTTCATCCATCACTCTCTGCGATGTGGCCCCGATAGGTGAGGACGTTAAGGCTACGGATCGGTTTCCGTCCCATGTCCTGACGCTCTTTCCGATCTACATCAGCTGCGCCGTAACGAACGTGGGACGGAAAATCGAGATTGCGAAGAGGTATATAGACCCTCGGAAGATCGTGCTGCTGCAAAAGACCAACCAGATTTTCCGCCACATAGGGACGAGTACCTGAGGCCGGCTGCTTCTAGATGCCGCAATCTCGTATGCTGAGTCTATGGGAAAACGGTTCTTAAGGGGCCTTCACGCTAGCTGCCGATAAAGGCCTGCCTCATGGGAAATTTGAAATACGTATTACCCCGCCACGACAACCGGGACAGTGTGTTGATGTCTACTACACCACTCTCTGAGCTCAATGAGACTCGGAGCCATTTCAGTGCAGACATTGGCCGGTACACTCTATTTTGGGTGAATCTCTTCTCCCATTCCCTTTGCGAAAGTGGCAACCAGTCCAAAACTGTTTCGTACGCCGTTTAGTCATATATACGGCTCGAACAAAACAAAGTTCCAGTCGCTGTCATGGCGGACCGAATGCGACCCGGCTGAACTTGGAGAGTATGGACCCGGTCCTGGAATTACCATACTTCATGTCTCTTTCGTGGAAGAAGTTTAATCTAAAGGACAACAACTTTGCGGGCATCTCGTCTTTGCGCGTAGGCGTCATTTCTTTCCCTTCACCACGCCGACCATGCCCTCGTAGTGGATGAGCAGGCATTCCAGAGTTGCCCACCCCACGCCCTCGAAATCTCGTGGCCCCGGCCACCATCTCACCATCGTGAACAAGAATGCGTTGTAGATGGAAGTAAAACTCCTCATAAACAGCCGCCTGGGGAAGACAGTGGCGCTCGGTGGCGCTGAGAGTGAGGCGAGTGTGTTCCAAACAACTGGGCTTGTTGGAATGATCTTGGAGGATACATGCCAGCGACCAACGCATGACATGACGCGAAGCGCCATCATTCGAAGCGAGCTCCTTCTTCTTGAGGCGCACTTGAATCCATTCGTGAACCAACGGGTGTAGTGTGACAACACGGTGCCGTCAGAATAGACGAGCGTAAGGGACCTCAGGAATCCGAGCGTTTGCTGCAGCGTGGTGGTGTTTTGCAAGAACTGTAATACGCCCACTTCGGTATTGGACGACGCGCTCTCGATTCGGCTGAGGGGAACTACATGGTTCACTAGGAACCCGAGAACCATAAGCATCTCCGCAGCACGGGAGTTATCGGCTTAGATCTTGACAAACGACACCTCCCAGGTCGACATGATGGAATCGTTCCGGCTGGAGAAGGCCCATGTGTAGCAAAATAGCTTGGAGGGCCCGAGGAACCCTGCCAGAGCTTAATGTACTGGTTGATCGTCATTCATAGGTACACGCGCAAGTACGATGATGTCAATGTTACGGCGAGGGGGGAGGGGTTCCCGAGTCTCCCCACGAGCTCATTCACAGCGTCTTGGCTCCGCGTCGAACCACCGAGTATCATCGAAGCGTCGATGTTAAAGAGCTTTACCGCTTCTTGCCAGTACTATTACGAACGAACCGGCCTTCTCCCACAGTACGGCTAAAGGCATACTGAATCACGCCGTCGTCGTTTTTATTGGCCTGGAAACGACGACATCGCCCAGCTTGACGTCCTGCTCGGGCCATCATCAGTCCGAACCTTGTTGCTGGGAACGTGGAGCGCATCTGGTTTGCGATCGTCGCGGCGGCGTTATTTCCCATGTGACCCCAGCGTATAGATGTTGTCCTAGTGGGAATTTTGAGGAAGAGGGATGTACACGATCCAGCATGGCCTTGACTGCAAAGGGGGATGGCGGAAATTAAGCCCACGCTATAGTCGCCATGCGTGAGAGAACTATATCTGCTGCCGAGATGCTTTGTACAGATGCAACTGGCGAGTCAATTCTCACGGTGATCGTTCAAAAAAACATCGCGTGGCATGCCGGAAAGCTGCTTGTCATATTGGTGCTCCAGATAGACTTGCTGTCAAGGCGCCCGAGGCCGCTTCAAGATCCAGTCACAGTGGCTTGGATATCTTTCTAGATGGTATCTAACCCTCCTAGGTAGGTACCGGTTCACCAACCTCTGTCTGGACTGACCATCGGGCATGTCGGAAATTAGTTGTGTGAGAAGTGCCACATGATAAGAAGCCAGAGTAAACTTTCGACAGGAGCTTTTCTGGGGGTCAAAAGCACACGGAATGGGCTCATACACCAGGACTTGCCGGCGAGTCAGACAGGTTTCCTCCACAGGCGTTATGAGACGGAAAACAAGATGAACCCAAGAGGCATGGCCAGAATAACAATGATGGTGGCTGTTACTATTGGGATTCATACAACGAAGGAAACTTTATGCCATCTTGTTTCTCAAACAAAGACTGCATTGCCGTTCTCTTGGTACACATCTTTTGCAAGACAATGGACGCCTAGCAATGCGCTCCAGGCAACGTGCAAGAAGCAGCTTGCTACAACTTCTACTAGGATGAGGCTGCCTCTGAAGCCAATCATATTTGCATTCAACAGGGATAAAAGCACAGGCCAAGCCCCGCCGTTGTGGTCCCCCGCAGTGCTCTTCCCTGTCGGAGGTTTGCACAGCGGGATGCCAATGCACCCACTGTTCGCTTATGTAGCTGCTGCGTACCTTGCTCTAACCTTGGTGATGGTGACCTAATCGTAACCCGTGATCGTACCTAAGCATCTCTACTAGGAATCTACAACTACCTACCTACCTACCAACCCACGCTTGATACATATCAGCGTTCGGCTGCCGCGCACAAGCTCGCCTTGGGAGTATATTCTAGTCAGATGACTGCTTCCGTCGACCTGGTATCTCCAACATGCTAGCTTCCTACCGCGCCGACCAAGTAATCGCATAGGTTTCTCAGCTACCGGACCGAGTTATTGCTGCCCGCCATGGGTCAAGGCTTTTCGCTGGCGACGCCGTCTGCGGGCTCTGCAGGCATCGACATACCTGAGCTGTCTGATCTTGTATATGAGAAGAGCATCGGCAATGCGCGCTTCATGAAGAGCATTCGCGCGAGGCATCACGATGGCGTCGCTCTGGTCAAGGTGCTGGTCAAGCCGTACACCCCGATGCCGCTGGAGAAGTACAAGCGCGACATAGAGAGTGAGATTCTACAGAAATTCTGGAATCATGTACCCCTGACTGATATTCTCTAGAGCAACGCAGCGCCTTGGCCGACGTACCCAATGCACTGGGCTACCACCGCATCGTCGAAACTGAAACGAACGGATACCTCGTCCGACAGTTTCTCTACAACTCCCTCTACGATCGAATGAGCACTCGACCGTTTCTGGAGGATATCGAGAAGAAATGGCTGGCCTTCCAGCTGTTGTGTGCCTTGCGCGACTGCCATGCTCGAGACATCTACCACGGCGACATCAAGACCGAAAACACGTTAGTCACCTCTTGGAACTGGCTGTATCTTTCCGACTTCTCGGCCCCCTTCAAGCCGATAATGCTTCCGGACGACAACCCGGGTGACTTCTCATACTATTTTGACACGTCCGGCCGCCGGACGTGCTATGTGGCCCCCGAACGCTTCGTTGCAGCCGATGAGGTTAACAGCAAGGACGCCAAGCTCACGTGGGCCATGGACGTCTTCAGCGCCGGCTGCGTCATTGCCGAGATGTTCCTGGAATCTCCTATTTTCACCCTCAGCCAGCTGTATAAGTACCGCAAGGGTGAGTATGACCCCGTCATCTCGCAAATCAGCCGCATCCCGGATAAGGACCTGCGCGACATGATATCGCACATGATCCAGCTCGACCCGGAGCGCCGGTATTCTGCGGAGCAGTACCTGGACTTTTGGAAGAAGAAGGTGTTCCCGGAGTACTTTTATAACTTTCTTCACCAGTACATGGAGTTGATTACGGATCCTTCCTCTGGGAACAGTCCCATCTCGGGTGCGACGAGGAACTTGGGGGAAGCGGATGATCGCATCGATCGCGTTTTCCTCGATTTTGACAAGATCTCTTACTTTCTCGGTTATCAGAACGACAAGCGCCCAAGCCAGGTCGAGCCCTTGGCTGGGAAGCTTGGACTGGGCCATTTCCCTATCCGCCTGAACATACCGAATCACGACCAATACATTACTGGGACATCTGAACCGCCTGAAGATGACGGGACTCTTATCTTCTTGACGCTGGTTGTCTCTTCTCTCCGCAACACTGCGAGGGCGGCGCCAAAGATCAGAGCCTGCGACGTTCTGCTTGCCTTTTCCGAGAGAATCACGGACGAGGCAAAGCTGGATCGAGTACTGCCCTACCTTATGACGCTTCTTAACGACAAGTCTGATTTGGTGGTGATTGCAGCATTGCGTTCGATCGCTCAGCTGCTCCATCTGGTACGAGTGGTATCTCCTGTCAACTCACATATATTCGTTGAGTATATCCTGCCTCGCTTTCAGAGCGCCTTGATCGCGCCAAGTAGGCCACAAAGCTCGTTGGTGCGGGCAACTTACGCATCTTGTCTCGGGAGTCTCGCAACAACAGCTGCTCGGTATCTAGAGCTGGCGGCAACCCTGAAAGCCGACGGCACTTTGACTGTGGCTGACCCCGAGCTTGAGCCGGGGATCGAGGCCGAGGCCGCCTTTGATGGAATTTTTGACGATGCCCAGCGGGAACTTTACGAGATGTTTGAGCTGCACACGAAAGCACTCGTGGAAGACCCAGATGTCTGTGTCCGGCGCGCCTTTCTAACATCTGTGCCTGACCTTTGCCTGTTTTTTGGCCCAGCAGAGGCTAACGACATCCTCCTGACCCATCTCAACACCTACTTGAACGATCGGGACTGGATGCTGAAGTGTGCCTTTTTTGAGACCATAGTCAGCATTGCCGGTGTGGTGGGAAGCGTCAGCCTCGAGGAGTTCATGCTGCCGCTTATGATGCAAGCACTGACCGATCCCGAGGAGTTCGTGGTACAGGCTGCTCTCCACTCCTTAGCACAGCTGGCACGGCTGGGACTCCTCTCAAAACCCAAGATCTGGGAGCTGATAGACGTCGCCGCAAGATTTACGATGCATCCAAACCAATGGATCCGGGAATCAGCAACAGAGTTCCTTTCCGAGACGACTCGCTTTCTATCTCCGGCTGACGTTAGGTGCATCGTGTATCCCTTGGTCAAGCAATACCTAAAAACAGGCATGGTGCCTAACTTCTCGGAGCTCAGCTTGCTGGATGCTCTGAAGCGGCCGTTGTCAAGGGCCGTCTTTGATCAGGCCGTGGTTTGGGCACTCAAGACCGACAAGGGTGTATTTTGGAAAATGTCACAGCAGCTTCGTTCCTTCTCTTTTGGGTCGCTTCCGAAGACTATCACCAGCAGGTCGTCTAAGGACACACTGAGCAAAATCAATCGGAACGATGAGGACGAGCTATGGCTTGGACGGCTGCGAAATCTTGGACTCGGGCCCGATGATGAGTTCAAGCTCCTCGTCCTGCGGGAATTTATATGGCGTATCAGCACAATGAAGTCGCGGGATGTCAAGGATAATGAACCGGCAAAGCTCAACGAGGTGATATCCCTAAAGAGCCTTGGTATTACTCCACAAACGGTCTTCTTCGACGACGAAGAACCACTACAGCAGTCGACGTTCTCTTCGGACACGGCACAAAAGAGTCCCTACACGATTGCGGATGCTCTGCTGGATGCGTCTATGACTATCGACGACTCAACAGGGAGGAGACGGTTTGCGGCGCTAAACAGTCTACGCACCCGTGTTGTAGAGGACAGAGGCCCCTCTTCGCGCGACGCTTCTAGAGCCAGATCGATCGACCCCTCGAGAAGGGTATCAACCGGACAGGCTAAGCTGACAGTCGGGAGCCCGACCGATGATGGAGGCTCGGTTCACGACCAACCGTACTCATCTCGCAGGGCGATCCGCCACCAGACGAGCGCCCTGAGCCTTCTAGATCGAAAGGACAGTAACAAGAGCGTGCCAGAAACCGGGATGTCCGGCACCAATGCATTCGGTCAGGTCGAGGGCCCCTTTGCCCAGGCCCCGCTTGCTCGACCAAACGCACAGGATCGTCGAACCAGCACTGCAAGCACTATAGCAAAGCTAAGGCCCAACCACTCCTACGAAGGCACGGATCCCAGCATTCTCAAGATGCTCGACTCAATGTACCAGGATAACTACCCGCACGACATTGTCGAGTTCGGGCCAATGGTCACTCCCATTACTCGCCGCAGGACGAACCGTTCTGTAGGCCAGCCGGGTGACGAGCCATGGCGCCCACAAGGGCGGATGGTTGCCACGTTTGCTGAACACACCGGCGCCATCAACCGTCTGGTGGTATCGCCAGACCACGTCTTCTTCATCACAGGAGGCGACGATGGAACTGTCAAGGTCTGGGATAGCGCCCGCCTCGAGAAGAACATTACGCATCGATCAAGGCAGACCCACAAACATGCCGATGGGGTTAGAGTGCTTGCACTGTGCTTCATCGAGAACACGCACTGCTTCATCAGCTGCGCAAGTGATGGGAGCGTCCATATTGTCAAAGTGGAGACTGTCGCAGCGAGCGGCACCTTGCGGTATGGGAAACTCCGTCTTCTCCGGGAGTACCAGTTGCCGGAAGATGAGTATGCAGTGTGGTGCGAGCACTTCAAGATCGACTCAACGTCAGTCATGTTGCTCGCAACAAACCGATCCCGAATCTTGGGCATCGATCTCCGCACCATGTCTTTACTGTACACGCTAGAGAACCCCGTTCATCATGGGACGCCCACGTGCTTCTGTGTGGACCGTAAGAGGAACTGGCTATGCGTCGGTACAACACATGGAGTCCTCGACCTGTGGGACCTGAGATTCCGCATGAGGCTCAAGGGTTGGGGTGTTCCCGGTAAGAGCTCGATCTACAGGCTCTGCATCCATCCCAGTAAGGGACGAGGCAAGTGGGTATGTGTGGCCGGCGGGACAGGACAGGGTGAGGTCACAGTATGGGACCTCGAGCGTACAATCTGCAGGGAGATATACCGCGTTGGAGGCAACAAGGAGGGCCCTAAGGGCTACGAGCCCTGGGACGTGGACGAGGACAAACCGGAGGGTATGCTTGGGCGGTTCGCTACCAATATTGAGCCGAGCGGCACCGGGAACACGGATCGTGGTGTTCGTGCCATGATGGCGGGCACTGGCGCCTCCGAGGACTCGCGCGACGTACGGCACGCGTTCATCGTCACAGGCGGGTCGGACAAGAAGCTTCGTTTCTGGGACTTATCCCGAATCGAGAGCTCGATTGTCTATAGCGGATTGCTTGGGGAAGATCCGAAACCAACATTTACGGCATCCCACCCGACGACGACGATGACGCTCAATACGGAAAGGATTCCCAGGCAAGCGCCAACGGCGCCAAACGCTGCCGTGGGCGGAAAGGGTGTCACAGGCAGCGGAAGGCCGCCACGGTCTACGGTCATTTCGCTTCAGCAGCAGCAGCTTCTGCGATCTCACCTAGACTCCATCATGGATGTTGCCTTGCTAGAGCTGCCGTATAGCATGACGCTCTCCGTGGACCGGTCCGGAGTGGTGTTTGTGTTTTCATAGGGGTCGAGTGGAATGGCGTTGGGTTAGGAGTTTCGGCAAACATAGATACCTAGAGAATACAAATATACGTAACCAATATGGCAAAACAGCTATGGTTTTGGCGCCCTCGCAAAGTGACAACTCGACGTGAGACAGTTTTAGGACGGTGTGCGCGGGCGAAATATTGTAGGAAGAATGCTAAAAGGCAAGCCGTATGTAAGACCATAGGCACTGTGCTGCTGCGGGGATGATACAGTCTGTTGCGTTGGCAGCGTCTAAAACCTACTTTTTAGTCTGTGCACCCGCGCTACATATAAATACAACCTAATGTAAATTTACGTTTTTTAGCTAGCAGGATCTAAAATCTATATTACCTAATATTTAATACTTAAAGTTACGTATATAATAATAATAAAGGTATTTTTAGGCCTATATAAAGCTACTTATTAGTTATATATCTAATTATTCTTTTAATTAACTATCTTGCTATATAGTAAAGTTTTTTCTTATTATAATAATCTATAAGAGTATGCCTTTTAAACAGGCAGCTAATTTAATAAAGTTATAAGAGTAGTATTATTAAATTATAGGGATTATAATAGTTATTTAATTAATTATATAATCTGTTGTGTGTATCTAGTTAAGATCCTATAAGAGCAAGGAACTCCCCCTATTTCTTAGTTAGGAAATCCTAAAGAAATCCTAGCTATATAATTAGTAGATTTACCCTAAAAGTAGGGCCCTTTTACTGCCTATTCCCTAACAATTTGCTATAAGGTAACTATGTATTTACTAGTTAATTTATATATAATTCTGCTATATTTAATACACCCCCTTAGCACTAGTAACGCAGTTACTTACTATAAAGCCTACACTAAATATCCTCTATATATAGCCTATTTATTTATTAATTATCCTTTAATATCCTATACGTTTTCCTCCTTTATCTAGTAGTAAAGCTTTACTTTATTATTAGCTAATTCTTACTATTAATTTACTTTAAGGCATGTATATTAGTTACTTATATTTAATTAAGCTATAAATATAGTAAATTATAGCGCACTAAGCGCCTTTATTAATTTATTAGCTATTAATTTAGTAGACTTCTTATATTTAATAGTAATTTAATTTACTACTACTTCTTAGTGTAGCTAGTAGTTATAAATATCTATATACTATAGCCTTATTTATAATTAAATAAGCTTCTTAGTAATAAGCCTAATAGTTTAGGTATTATTATAGCTAATATAAATAGTTAGTAGCTATTTAGTAGCTACCTACTTATTAAGTAATAATTTAGTTCTTATTTATATTAATAGTTAAATACTTAGTATAGTAATTAATCTACTAGTAAAAAGCGCCTTTTTTATAGTAGATAATAAGGCTAGTAATTTAGCCTTAGTAGTTAACGTTATTACTATATCTTATTTATTTACTTACTAAGAGATAAGCCCTCTAAATAGCTTTAGTATATACGCTTATAAGCTATAATAGTCTAGTAAGTTATTAGTAAATAAGGCGTCTAAAGTAACCTCTAATATATTATCTTTACTACCTAGCGTTACTTTATATTTAAGGTAAAAGTGCTATATATAGTAAAGATATCTAAGTATATAATTTACTACCTTTTAGTAATCTAGATTTAGATTATAGTTAAAGTAGGTAAGCTAGCTAGCTATAAAAGTAATATCTAGCTAAGTTATTACTACTATATATAAGATTATCTCTACCTTTTTTTAATATTAATTAACCTTTTATAATAAGGCTATATATTTACTAGGTAATAGCTTAGCCTTTACTATAGGTAATAATTTATTATATTTCTTATTTATTAGTAGTAGTTTAGTTATTTTATTATAGTATACTACTTATAAAAGCTAGAGATAGTAGTTACTTTAGTTATAAATTACCTTAAGGCTAAAGAACTATTATAATAGGCCTCTACCTTTAAGGTAGTATTATTACTAAAAAGCTGTTATCTTATTACTTACTTACGCTTTATCTATATAGTAATAAGCTAATATATAGTTATTAATATAAAAAAAGAATATAATATAATTCTTCTTCTAATAGTAATTCTTACTAAGCACTTAGTAAAAGCCTTATATAGTAAGTCTTTCTTTAAGGTGCTTTTACTATAGTAGTAGTAATTATTAAAGCCTATAAAGTGCTTTTAATAACTAAAAGATCTAGCTAGTAATTTAGTAGCCTAGAGGTATCTTTATAAATACCACCTTATTAACAGTAATATAAATAAACGTATTTACTATATTATATTAAAGTAATTCTAAATTAAAGTAAGTAGCTATTACTATAAGTATTTTAAATAATATACTTACTAATATAGCTATATAGGTATCTTATAAATCCTTTACTTATTAGTTACTATAAATAATAAGTCTTACTTTAAATTTAGTTAATTAACTATATTTATTAAGCTTATAAGTATATACCTAGTAGTAGCTAAGGATTTAATACCTTTTAGCTACTACTTATAGCACTATTACCTAAGATTTTAATATTTTATGCCTATATAAATATACTATTTTAGCGTCTTTAAATTACTTTTTATATAGGTAGCTTATTAACTATCTATAGATTAGTAAAAGGTGTAGTAACTTCTAATACATACCTATTAGCCTATAAAGTCTAGTAACTCCTTTATTATATACTAGTAATTTACTAGTAATGTCTTTATAATTATTATACCTATTAGGCGTTATATAGTTAATTAATTCTTAGCTATAGGCACACTTTAGCTAAAAGTAGTAATTTTTACTTATTAGTTAACTCTATAGTATACTAGACTATATTATTACCTATAAGCTACCTTATATATAGTCTGTAATCTTTTACTATAAAGTAAGCTCTATAAGGAAAGCAGCCTTAAATAAAGTCCTTAGTATAATCTAACTACCTATATATATAGTAAGATAATACCTTTTTATAACGCCTTTAAATAAGGTTACTACTAGCTAGAGATTACCTAATAGGCTAGCTATAGTTACTTAGGAATTAAACACCTTTTTACGCTTAGTAACGTCTTATAAATTAATTATATAGGGATAAAATAAGGCATAAGGGATTACTATCCTTATTACTTTAGAACTATTAGTTCCTAGTAAGTTACTAGCTTATAGGCTATTAGCTATTAATAAATTATTTAAACTATTATTAGCTCTAATTACCTTAAGTAAGTTACTAGCTTATAGGCTATAGGCTATTAATAAATTAATTAATAGGCTATTAGCTATTAATTTAGGTATTTACCTATTAATTATTTTACTATTAGTAAGTATTTAGCTATTAGCTATTAGATTAATTAATTTAGAACTATTAGTTCTTATTTTACTACCCCTTATGTTAATATTTATAATAGCTATAAAAAAGGCGCTTAATAGTAATAGTAGTAAAGTAAGAAAAAGTGTAAATTTTACCTGCTTATATAGATATTCTAGTGCGTTACCTAATTATAAAGCGTCTAGTAAAGTAATATTAGTATATTTAATTACTTTATCTATTTCTTTATTAGCTTCTTTATATAATAGGGATTAATTACTAGCTATAATTAGCTTATTAATTTATTATTAAATTACTATAAGATTAGCTTTATAAAGCTTATTAAGTAATCTATTTATTAATCTATTAAAGATTTATTTCTTATTAAATATTACGTTACGTATAGTAAAGACCTTATTTTACGCTAGATACTAGACGTAATATAAATTACTAAATATATATCTAATAAGGAATCTAATCTATATATAGGCAGTAAGCTTTTACTAGTAGTTTTATAATAGTTATATATTTACTATTAGTATATACGCTTAGTAGCTATAGGCTTATAAATATAAAAGATCTAGCTTTACTATTAGTAAAGGCTTAGTATACTTATTAAGTATAAAATATAAGTAAAATAATTAATATAAAGATTTCTACCCCTAAGCTACTAATAGTATTTAATTATAAAGGTATATAGCTATAGTTATAAGTTTAGGCTATAAGACTTTAAGTAATTTTATATTAATCTGTATATATTACGCCTTAAGCCTAATAATTATAGTAATTTACTTAGCGCTACTATTTTAAGCCTAGGTATTTACTACTAACAGCTTAATAGAGATTCTATAATTAAAAAGCGTATTTATAAGTTACTTAAGGCATAAGATTTCTTAGTAAGCCTTAATAACTTTTAGTATAATTAAATATTTAGTTTTTAGTATTATAAAGAAGCCCCTTATTATTAAGTTAATAGTATCTTAGTAGTAGCTATATAAGTAGAAATCCTACGTAAGGCCTATTACCTAATCTAAAATTATTATTACTAAGTAGTATCTTATATAGCCTTATTTAAGATTAGAAAAGTCTAGTACTAGGTAATTACCTAGCGCTATATTTATAATAAATTTATAAAGCTAGTAGTAAATCTACTACCTTATTTTACTAAGACTATATAAATTATAGTCTTATATTATTATAGCGTTAACTTAGGTTAGATATACTTTATATATAGTATTTATAATCCTTTATAAAGCCTTAGCACCTAAGTAGCTAAGACGCTTATACTATATTATTATATTACTATAAAGTAGTTATTACTATATTAACGTTATATATTTATTTCTTACTTATAAGGTTAGTAGTAAATTATTAGTAGAGTGCGTAGTAAAAACGCCTTTACTTTCTTAGCTATAACTATATTACTTATTATATTTAAGCACTTATTAGTTACCTTATTCCTTAATGTAGCCTATAAGGCTATAATCTATACGCCTTAAGTAATTATTACCTAGGCTTATATCTTACTATATACCTTACGAGTGTAGCCTTATAAAAGAAATAAGTAATATAGTAAATACACTATAATATATTACGTTATATATATAAAGCTTTATTAGTAAGCTATTAGCGCCCTTTAAGGTAATTTCTATAGTACTATATCCTTTAATTATAACTTAGGTAGTACTAGCCTAGATATAGTTACTAATTAGGGCTACTACTAATATAATAAACTATAATAT